TCTAAATGCCTACGTTGCCGACGTTCGTTTTTATATTGACAGCTGGGTCGAATTATATTGTGTATTGTACCAAATGGCATATTCCACCTGTCGTTTTCGTACAATAATTATGAAAAAATCGAAGTAAAACTCCAGAAATCCTTTGGATTCATGCCTTCTGGGCCCTAATTGACTGCGGAGGGACCCCCTGCGCCATATGTGATTTCCAAGTCAATTAAATTTTCACTCCGAGACCTCGTATTACCATCGTTTTAGCAAAGAAGCGCATACAACACTTTTTTTGCCTCTATCCCGTTCAAATGCGAGTTTATCGATTACCAGAGTGTTCTAAATTCTCGTAAAATTGTCCTGACCCTTTCGATTCTCATATCAGAGCCTTCGATAATTGTATGTTGATCAAAATATGAGAGCTCGTCATTTTGGTTCTGGTCTGGACTGAGTTAAAAAATTTTCTTGAAAGATCCAAATTTTTCATGCGTCAGGACAATTCTTAGCTGATCAGGAGTGATGTGTCAAAGTTTTGGACAATTTGGCCTAATACCCTAAAAAAAAAGTGTTGTATTCGAATCGACTGATTTGAAGGATGTTTCACTTCACCTTAAATGCAACAAGAAACAATTCAAGGGTTGCAATTTCAAAGGAACTCATACCTATCGACGGCACTAATGCTATTCATTTTTCAGACGCGTACAGGAGAAAAATGAAACGAGGAATTTTTTAATCGTAACATATTGTAAAGAACCGTATCGGGTATGTACGTAGCGTGTGTAAGTAGAAAATACTTCGATCTCCAAATAATATCTTAATTTTCTGGGGAGGACGCGGGAGGGATAGTTAAATCGGTATAAAAAATTCCAAATAAACATTCAGCTCAATCGTCCGAATTGATCCAGACCGAAATGGCAATTTTAACCGAGGTTTATTTGCCTCCACCAAACTCGGATTAATTCGGATAAGATCGAACGCGAGTCCATTCGGCTATTCGAATGATCGAACCGGGGGTGGGTTTCGCGGTCGGCGAAATTATTTCCGTTCGTTCGACTCGCCGACTGTCCGAATACCCGAGATGCATACATTTGGCGATACTCCATTCAGAGCCTGTATATTTCCCTCTAACTAACCCCCGTGGACGGGACGAGTTCGGGAAGAGGGATGATGGTAATGTTGCGACAACTCTTCGCGGTATGCTTCGGGCTTTCGCCCGGAAACTAACTTTCCGGGGAATCGAATTAACCGGCGTGGTCCTCTTTCCTGGTATCAACGCGTAATACCTCCTTTTCAAATTCCTTACTCGATTTTCATTTCGATTTGAACCTCGCGTCCGTTTCCCTTTATTCGATTTCCTCCTCAATTTCAGGTCGTGCTCCTTTTTTCGACTTCCCGAGAGTCCCCGAACCCGGGACAGAAACTGACAATTACTTTCGATCAGGTTCACCGTGCTTTTGTTGGCGTGTACCTCCGGTACTCGCAGATTACTGCATTGTACCTGGTATAATGCCAGCAACGATTACAAAATAATTTCTAACAAATCCAACCTTCCCATCCTTCAACCAATTCTTAATAGGTAAAATTACATACTAATATTTTAACAATACAGTGCAAAAATAACATGCGATTATTCTCCATGCAGTACTGGGAGTGTCATCGATAGGAAGTATTTACACACTGTTTCATCCATTTCTTCTTAAGAGGATACGACATTAACTATATTTGTCATTGAGGAACGGAACAGAATTGTATCTAGCGACGTTTTTTTTTTATATGTAATACATCTGGAAGGCAATTCGTGATTATTAACCGGTGAAATGGACCTCCTGAATGGAGTCATTACTTGGCTACTCGGGATAATAGCCTGCTCTGTACTTGTATGGATATGTATATTATACCCTCTTCTGTATGTAATCTATTATACTATAACTACCCCCGCGGACAGAGCGGCTTGAGGGGTAGAGAAATGGCGGTGCTACCGCGACAACCCCGGAAGCGCCCGGAAATAACTTCTCGACGAATCGCGTTAACCGGTATAACTCTCTTTCCCATTATTAATGGGTAATCCTTCGCCTGTCAGATTTCTTCCTCGCTCTTTTGGCCTCTTTTTTTATTCAATTTCACATCTCTCCGCATTACGTGACGTCGACTCATGTCCAGATACGTTCACGATAATTATTCCCACCCAAGAAGAAGCCAAACAGAACTGATAAAAAGTATAACATGCACCCTGCATATTTAATGACAGTGGCAGTACATGATAAAGTATTAGTTCAAATGCTGCTGACTATATTTTCATGCAAAAACTTTCGACTCCATTTTCAAAGTCAGCTGCGAAGCTGCCGTATAGTACTTACAGGGTAAAAAGATCTTCGTGAAAAACAAGTACATTTATTCCCCGTAAGACTCCATGGTATCATATGGCAGTGAACTCGCTGAATAGGTATATAAAGACAATCTAAACATATCATGTAATTGAGGGATCAATAACCAAGACCTTTACTCTATGACCCGAGGGCAAAGGTCTTACTTGTTCCAAGCTTTAGATCATGAGAGCTCGACGCCATTTTGGTTCTGGTCTGGACCGAGTTAATAAATTTTCTTGAAAGATCCAAATTTTTAATGTGTCAGGACAATTCTTAGCTGATCAGGAGTGATGTGTCAAAGTTTCGGACAGTTTGGCCTAATACCCTTAAAAAAAAGTGTTGTATTCGAATCGACTGATTTGAAGGATGTTTCACTTCACCTTAACTGCTGGTTTATCAAAATTCCGCAATAATCCATCGGGGTGGAGTTTGAATCTGCAACAAGTACGAAGACTCGAGCAGTCTCGTTAAGTGTTGGGACGTGAGATCGATCTAACCAAAGCAACCTATTCTTGCTGGAATTTAGCTATTTTGTCCGACAGAAACCGTGGGGAGTCTCCGCCGGTCCTACCGCAAACATACTCGATACAGACCAACTCCTAGGCGGATACAATCCCGATAGAGACGTCGTACAGACCACTTCCAGACCGCGTACAGACTCTATGCGGAGTACGTGCAGATAGTATACAGACCTCGACAAGACTCTCCGTCAGGATCCTCTGTCAGGATCGATGAACAAACCTGACGTGGCTAGGCAAAAGCATGTTTGCCTTTTACTAAGTAAATACCTATTATTAATAAAATCAACGCTGCCGAACAATTATTAATAAATACAGTGCTTCCCGAGAGGTTCGACTACGATACTCGAGAAGACCCTTCGAGATTAATAAGCCATCATGATGAAAACTATTATGAGAACCAAGGGTGACGAGCCAACACCTGTATTTTAGCAATTATGTCGAGAAAAATTAATATTTTAAACAATCGTACACAATACTTGATCTCCACGTTGGTCTAATTAGGTATAAAGATTAACGTCGTTCTCTTAGATGGATCTCGATTTATGAAAGATAATAAGTAATTAAAGACGTATCTTGAGGATGGATTAAAGACCGCCGCACACGTAACGATAAATCGGAATAAATAAAGTGGGTATTCTTTCTTGCGATAAGTCGTTGGAAATGAAATATGCTAATCATGTGGTAATTGTAACACCGGTACGAGAAAATATTCCCAGGGCACGGATCAAAGTCGACCAGTGCTGGGATATTTTCAAAGTGTCATTTTATCACGATCTTAAAGAAAGAACTCGACGACGAATCGAATTAACCGAAATGCCTTTTTCATTAGATCCTTTCGTTTGGCGACTAGTACCTCTCGGATGTATGTACGCACACACCGACACTTCCGGCTCGTCACTACACGAGGAAAAGTATATCAAAGCGAAGGAGTCGTTCGCCCCGCGTTGGATGAATTTTTCATTCGGCACTCCCGCGACCTCATTCGATTTCTGTTTCTCCCTTTTCTTTTTTTTTTTTTCTTTCTTTTTCATTTATCGCCCTGACCTACTGAGCTCTCGCGATCGCCGTCGAAAAGTTAAAGCCCACGGCGAGATTCTGCAACAAGCGCTCGTACATAAGAGAGTTCCGCGTTAAAAGGCGAGAAAAATTTAATAATACATTTTTCTCGCGTTTTAATAATAAATTTGAATATCAATAAAAATTTAATAATAAATTTTTCTCGCGTAAAAATTTAATAATAAATAACTCCACCCTCCATATCGATAAGGGAAACGACACCGATTGAAAGCGATCATTTTATTTACTCACCGTTTCGATACGCCGACCCGTCACAAAAATCCAGGGAACGAGTTAAAACTCCTAATGAAAACCCACGGTGGAGGGGAGTTTTTCTTAAGTAACGAGAAAATTGCCCCTAAAATTTATGGATTTCCGATAGAGCGGCCTCGAGAGGAAATCCGAAAGAATTTAGTGCAAGAAGCCCGCCCCCTCGAAATTCGATCCTCGTGAGCGATTTTTCCCCGCAAGATGCATTAAAGTAGACGAAAAAGTAACATCCACCCTGTGGAAATTCTATTAAACGGATTATTATTAATTAAGTGTCGAATTTTGCACTCAGCCCAAGTGCACCGTCGGTGCGTCCAGGGGCGATTGCCCTGCTTAAAATGTGGTAAACGGCACTTTCGTTTCATTTCGCCGACTAGGACGAGCCGTGCCTCGCTTACATCGATGCATTAACAATTAACGGGCATCGATGAAAATGTTCGTAAAAGCGCGCGCGTCGTCGGCGCATAATTTCGACCTCGGGGCGCGAAGCCCCGCTCTGTCGAGAGTTTTTCCGGGTATAATGCTCCGAAATTGGAAAAACGTCGAGCTTTTCTCCCCGAGCCCGGGTAGAATTTTCAAAGCGAGCCTCGTTATGTCATTGTAATTTTACGGTTTCAATGGAGACTGAAATTCCGCCGAGGGAGTGCATTACTGCATTAATATATACCGCGCCGAGCTGGATGTCAACGAACCCTTGATTACACCCCTGTCCCCCTTTGAAACGACGTAACTGCAGATCTGCCCATTCATATAACATGTACTAATTCCTGCTAATCGTATTTCTCACTTTTGTCCACAGTTCCGCCGCACAAAATTGCGATTTTCGACGAGAACGAAGTTACCAGGAGCTCGACGGTGGGTCCGTACGTGGAGGGCGACATCCTGAAGCTTTACTGCGACGTTTATGGCGGTAAGCATCGAATTATTAAATAATCGCCGGAAATTGTTCGTTAACGAGCCGATGCCAAAAACGACTCGCCGGTGGATTTGTTAAGGTTTTATGAGACGGTCATTCTGAGAGGCGCGTCCTTTCGCGGGGGATTTATTTTCCATGAAAAGTGGACAATGTGGTGTAGAATGCACGCCGGTGTCATGATGTCAGGGACGTACATTGTGATGTTAATTTACCGTGCAGGGTGGTTTACCCAACTTAATGGGTTTGTGTTTGGCTTTACGTGAATAACGTAAATCCCGCGGATTACTACCTACGGCCGCCCTTTTAATTCGATAAGAACGGGTGATTAACCCTTCTGATTATCGAGTCAGGTAAATTGACGCGCGTATCGTGGGGAAGCTTATTTCATTTTTACATGTCTCGAGCACTTATTCCCAGCCGTATACATATCCTGGGATGGATTTCAACTTTTCGCGAATTAATTTATGGGTCGTTGCGCATCCGACAGCAAAAAGTAAGAGAGAGGAAATTCTACATCTCGGGATAACAGGGAAACGACTTTCCACTCGTCATCTGGGTGCTTTTCCTTGTGTGAGAAAAATATGAGAGAAAGGGGGAGGCTGTCGTTCCGGAAGCAATTTTATGCCTCTCCTCCTTTTGCATGTTTCGGAAAATTCAAGATCAACATAAAACCAGCCGGTTACGAGTTCACCAGATGGAAACTCTGTTCCTGGCCATAAAAAATATAAGCTTATTTAATTCAACCTTAGCGACAACGGCCATACCCACTCCAGGATCTTTGCTTAACCAGTTTATTTAAATCGTTTATACAAGCGGAAAATCAATATTTGGAAATAATTTTTAACCTCCAGGAATAATATCCTCCCTGTGGGATAAAATCTTCCGGCCTTCCCAGAGGTGTCAAAAATACTTGTCTTTTTTACAGGGAAGCTTCGTTTAGGTAGCACAATGGTCTTGTTTAAATATCTCGAGTCTCGCTTCCGAATGCTTAATGTACTTCTCTGCAAACACGGGCTACTTAGACACACGATTCGCGGATTAAGAACATGGACCGGCCGTTCCGAATTTACGGCGTCTCTATCGCGCTAAGTGTCCATTTAATCCCGACGAATGTCGGGTAATTGAGTCCCAGGGCAATTATCAAAACGAACCTCTCCCGCTCCAGGTGGCTGCCGCGTGCGCAAGTAACCCGGCAAAACGAGGCGAATAATCTCATTTATAATTTTGCAAGGACGATTGCACCAGACGCGAGTATTTGTTGTGATTTAATGGTCCGCCCAACACCATCCCGCGATCCCGATGTCACCTACACCCAGTGCACCACCCACCACCCACCACCCACCACCTGCCCACGCACGCATTATTGCGTGAAATGTACGTCCAACCCGCGGCGGTGTCGGTGCGTATTGATCAATTTCAATTACGCCCCCGGAATGCAAAATGAAGTGGAATGCGTTAAGCGAAATTAAAAGCCGATCGCGCTACCACTTTTTCGCAGATATCAGATATCGCGTGCTGACCGGATATGTGGATATGATTTTACTAATTCAGGATACTCGTTAATTTCCTCAGTGATTGTCCCTGTTCTTAAGATTTATCGCCTTTGCGTGGTATTTCATCGTTCCAACAGCGTCATGAATTGATAGATATATCTCACAAGGAAGGTACCTGAGGTGTCCCCCTCCGATCTTGTTCATTTTTAAATATGTTATAGAGGACTAAAATCTAAGGGACCCGTGTTTTTTTTACCGGCGGATAAACACTTTTAGGGGGTGAATTCAGGCTTCAAAGTTGGCCGTGCAAGGGAGTGAGTTGGCTGTTTCATGTAGAAGCACTCGACCGATTTTCATGAAACAACCGTCAAAATGTAGGGAATGAAGAATTATGAAACATGCATTTGGAATTTTACGAAAAAATTCATTTTTAAGGGGTGAGCCACCCCTTTGAATACTTCTTTTACCCCTTACGCGATCAGTAATTGCTCTATCCAAATGAAACTTAGTTAACTTATAGACCAGAACAATACAAAAAAAGTTTCATTTGGATAGAACAATTACTGCTCACGTAAGGGGTAAAAGAAGTATTCAAAGGGGTGGCTCACCCCTTAAAAATGAATTTTTCGAAAAATTCCAAATGCATGTTTCATAATTCTTCATTCCCTACATTTTGACGGTTGTTTCATGAAAATCGGTCGAGTGCTTCTATACAAAACAGCCAACTCACCCCCTTGCACGGCCAAACTTGAAGCCTGATTTCACCCCCTAAAAGTGTTTATCCGCCGATAAATAAAAAAACATGAGTCCCTTAGATTTTAGTCCTCTATAACATATTTAAAAATGAACAAAATCGGAGGGGGACACCTCAGGTATCTTCCTTGTCAGAATCGCCGATAGCCATCGATTTTCGAGACAAAACTCCCTCCGGGTTTCTTCCGAGACGCCCAACAGATCTTACGGTCACTTTTTCGCAAATATCGTCCCAAGGATATGAATAAATCATCCCGTTCATACAAATCATACTCCACTCGAAATATGTCGTAATACCCTTCGCTCTTAACCTAGACCACATTTTTCTTTCTTATTTTAAAGAACATACATACGATGTTTTCCGCACTCACGTACTGAGTAATTTCCCGCGAGACGATGTTCCACGTACTCGAGACGGGAAAAGGTACATGTTGGAATCATTGTTGCAGTCAATTTGCGAATCGACGGGTATCTTGTCGATAACCATCGATTCTCGGGAACTTCTGAGATGGGACTCCCGTGGGATCTCTCTCCGGGCATCGGGTTCGGTTATTTTCTCGTTACAAAATTCTTGAAGAAACAACTATACCCCGGGAAACATTGACGATCTTCATGTACATTTCAGAAATGAAAGTTGCACTCGGCGAAACAATTTATATCGCTATTTAGTTGAAATGATGGGCATTGAACCAGCAGACGGGTACCACGTGTCACCGCGTAATGATTAATTTGAATTGCGCGCTCTGATTATGAAGCACAGGTGGATACGATATGAAAAATGACATGGTGTAATCTTTTCACAGGTAAACCACCACCCATGGTCTCTTGGTACCGCAACGACAAGTTCGTCAGCAAACGCGCCGTGGAATCGCGCAAGGGCGTGATGCGCAGTACAATTGTTATTAAAAATTTGGGACGTGACGATGTGCAATCGGAGCTGACGTGCAACGCCACGAATAACAATAGGTCCATACCGCTGTCCTCCTCGGTGCGCGTGGATATGAATCGTAAGTATTTCCCTTGACATCGTTGTCATCAGAGCTCGCGAAATTGCTTTCGAGAAAGGACATTTCCAACTTTTGTTTCATCTCCCTCCAGAGTGTACAATATGGCGCGATTAATATAAAAAGAAAGCTGGTCGAAAATGAAATCTGGAATTGGAATTACCGTCTCGGTTAGACTACCGAGTGTTGAATATCCCGAGTAGTAAAACTCTGGGGGATAACCCTTAGAAATTTGGAGTAGCTTTTAGGGGAGACCTTGGAAAACTGACGCGCTAAGCAACCCCGGTATATGAGTTCCCTCTCGTGACAGCCCCGTCCCGGAAACCTTCTTTCCCCCGAAACGGGGGCGACGTTTCGCCGAAATCGAGGCTGACGTCACGATTTGTCAACCTCCCCGAGCCTTCGAGACATTTTCCCCTCGTCACCTGGAGCTTTATATTTTTTATGCGGCCCCGAGTCCTCGGCTCATCCCGTTAGAAAAATATTTCCCCGTCGGAAAGAAAAAGACCCTTCGGGAGGAGCGATCTTTCGGATAGACATAATCTCCCGGAACGGTCAACAGCTTCCCACGCGTTCCCTCCCCGTTCCCCTCCTACGAAATATTCAGGAAGTCGAGGATTTATCGCGGCACAATATTATTTATCGCTCGAGCGGAGATGATATTCGGGAATGAGCAGAATTGTCATTTCTTAAGGTGAAGTGAAACACGTCGAGGAACTTGATCAACGTCGATAAAGACGATTTTTCTAAATGCCTACGTTGCCGACGTTCGTTTTTATATTGACAGCTGGGTCGAATTATATTGTGTATTGTACCAAATGGCATATTCCACCTGTCGTTTTCGTACAATAATTATGAAGAAATCGAAGTAAAACTCCAGAAATCCTCTGGATTCGTGCCTTCTGGGCCCTAATTGACTGCGGAGGGACCCCCTGCGCCATCTGTGATTTCCAGGTCAATTAAATTTTCACTCCGAGACCTCGTATTACCATCGTTTTAGCAAAGAAGCGCATACAACACTTTTTTTGCCTTTATCCCGTTCAAATGCGAGTTTATCGATTACCAGAGTGTTCTAAATTCTCGTAAAATTGCCCTGACCCTTTCGATTCTCATATCAGAGCCTTCGATAATTGTATATTGATGAAAATATGAGAGCTCGACGCCATTTCGGTTCTGGTCTGGACCGAGTTAAAAAATTTCTTTGAAAGATCCAAATTTTTTATGTGTCAGGACAATTCTTAGCTGATCAGGAGTGATGTGTCAAAGTTTTGGACAGTTTGGCCTAATACCCTTAAAAAAAAGTGTTGTATTCAAATCGACTGATTTGAAGGATGTTTCACTTCACTTTAAATTCGATCCTGCATCCTTTGGTGTTCGGTGCATTACATTCGCTGGCTTCCATTTTTCACGTAGAACTCCGTACTTTCCGGTAATTTACAGCCAAGTATTAAGAGTACATTAGGAAATTGAATGTCACTAAAAAATGCAAATACTTCTCGCGTCATCGTCATACGTTCGCCGTGTACGAATGACCGTCTTTATCATAAGTGATAACACCCACGAGCACATTTCATTTCTTGTATCACCCAAACGTAGTTCCACGTTAATATATGCAGCATAGCCCTAAGGCTATGCTGCACCCCTGTCTTTTTTTTCTTTTTTTATTATCGACCTTGCGTTACCGTACTCCTTTTTCATTGCCCAGAATATGATACATCGAAGTAGCTTGCATCCACGAATGCGTCGATCGAAGACGCGTCGAAAGGTGCACCTTACCCCATCCCCTTGGCCTCCTGGCCTACGTAGGGAAACTCTGAATTTCATTATCCGAAGGAAATTGGATCCCGCCGATCAATTACCCGTTGGTCGTGCCGTCTACCCTCCACCCGCCACTGCATACGAAATCGTTCTCACGGACGATTAGCGATCGGGACTGGACCGAGGAAGGAAAACGGCAATTCGCGTATGCCTGTCCCGAACGAAAGGAGACTCGTGGAAATCTCGACGGCCACCTTCCGTCATCTCACCGAGACCGCCACCCCCGAATTTCCCCAAGGAAATTCCCCAAAGCCCCCCGGCTCGAACTCGCCTTCTCGGCCGGCCTCGTTCCGAGCGTTTTCATTCGCTTTGCAATTCAATCGGCCAAATCCCGAGCAATTTCGGACTCGTCCCTCTCTGGCTCTCTCACCGGGTATCGGCGTCTTCTTCCCTGCCTGCCATTTCTTTCTCTGATAAGGAACGACGCCGATCGCCTCGCGATTGATAGGGGTGCTCCCGCTCGAGGACGAAAACTCCCCTCGCGAACATTTCGTACCGATCGCCACGCTGAATCGGCTTATCGAGGTAGCGACTCATCAGCGTTCAATCTAGTCTTTAGATTAGACGATTATTCCCCGCCGATTGATGGAATCGATCGGACCCTCGGAAAGTGTTTTTCCTCTTGTAAAGGCATCGACGATAGGCGTTAACACTAGGTTTACGGGCGTTTTTTATATACCTGTTTCTACGAGCACCCGTCACATTGACGGGTAAACGAAAACACGGATTTTCTTTAAAAAATCGATTTATTCAAATTAAATCTGTATTAAATAACACTAGGCTTTACGTTTAAATAAATTATTAATAAGTAGTCCTTTTTTAAAAATTATCACGGAAATGATTGGAATGCTCGTCCTCTCATCCTCGGAGTCGGAACTAGAAAGAATGCGCATCCTTTTCTTGCTACGACACCCTTTCAAGAAGTTTTCCTCTTCACTATCCGAAGATCCTTCTATTTCTCCACTTTCAATGCAAACTTTCACTCTCATCTTCGCCTTACACTCCCTGCAACGAAGCAAATATATATGGATTGTTTATGAAATTAGCTAGTCCGTCAATTTGACGGGTTTCGTAGAGATAGGTATACTACATACAGATTTTAATAATTAGAAGGCTTAGGAAAAAATAATTGCGTGTACAAATTCTTTGGATGAAATGATTAATTTACGATACAAAAATGGTTAAAATTGATGCTATGGTTTTTTCGGTATTTCTTTTTGAAGTTTGAATTCCGTCAAATTGACGGGTCCCGTAAACCTAGTGTTAATTGAACGATATCGCAGTCGAATTAAATGGTCGGTTAAAGATCCGATCGCCCTAGACGTTATCCCGACCCGTTGAAATTAGAATTCCAATTAGTGGTCGTTTATGAACGATTACGAACGAGGAACTGTATTCACGGATCGTCAACCATTATTTTTTTATTAGACCTCTGTAGCTGGGTTGTAAGAATTATGTTCAGGTTATGCAAAAACTAGAGCCGTCGAATGTTCCGCCAGGAGCGATACGACCGGGTGGAAGAGTACATCCTTGCCCACTTGCGCGTCCCAATATCGGCCGGCCGATATAACCGCCCGCAACAATGCGATTTTCCGATTAATCGATCTCAGGGGGAAAAGAGGATAATTTCCATCGGAGAATTGATCATTTCCTCGAGAACTCCTCCCGTCCCTATCGAGTAGGTCGAGCGGGATAAATGTCGGCCGATCTTACCGCGGCCACCCCGCCCGCTTCCATTCTCTCGCCACCCACCGCCCACCCACCACCCACCGGCCGCCCGCTCCCTACCCGGCCATCCCTTCCCGAAGGAGGGCGCCCGATCCCCTGCCGTCCACCCCACTCCGTGACACCTTTTTTCATCCAATTTCCCTGTGGCCGAAGCCTCGCGACTTCTTATCCGGGGGCGAAAGAGAGGCCACTCGAGTCGAAGTGCTCTTTCAGGAAGTTCCAGTTCCAGGACGCGGAGGAGACGGCAAATGGCGTCGACGACCGGCGCCTCCTTCGCGGGGGTCCGACCCGGGGGTGAGGGGGCTTCGGAGCCGGGGGTCCCGCGACGCCGATTTTTCTCGGACGCTCGGCCGACGCGCCTATTAATAGCGTCGACGAGCCCCGACGAACGTCGACGAGCGTCGACGCGGAGGGCGATCGATGCCTCGAGGGCCGTCGAGTTCCGTTCGCTTCGTTTCGGGGTGCGCCACCCCCGGGCCACCTCCCGACCACCCCTCGCCCCCCATGCTTTGTCCGCCCCTTGCCGGCATTATGCATGCACGCGACTCACTCGTGATTTTCATTTCGCCGGCGCGCATTGTATTAGAATTTTTTTAATATCCCACCCCCTCCCGTCGGTCACCCTGGCCCCGCCAATACCGACTGTTCGCATAATTCGACGCTGCCATTCGCACTCGGTTGGGCCACGTTCGCGATACTCGTCGGATTCGCGATTTCACGTGGCCGCTCCTGGAATTTCGACCCTTCGATTAAAAAAATACTCCCTCATGGCGAAAAGAACGGTTATCAACAATTTACAAAAATCGGCAACATCGACTCGATTGGCTGCGTCCATTTATTGATATAGATGATATTAATTAAAATAAACAAGCGTCCCATGACTTGTGACGGAGGTCCGTCTATATAGTATGTATAGGCAAATTTTGTTTATGACCACTTTGGGGAATAATAAATCCAGACAATTGATAAAATAATCTCGTTTTATGGGACGTTGGATATTAATTCACGTTTATTCCTAAATCTGTCGATAGGCGTAATTTATTCTGAAATATTTTTAATATCCACCTTTAACAACGCCGATACCGACGCGTCGCATAATTCGTCGATGCCATTCTCGTACCCCTTCTGAGCACGCTCCAGGTATTCGCGATATTCGTCATATTCGCGATTTCCGACGGTCGCAGCTTTAGCCCGACCTCGTAATATTTCAAGCCCTTGCCGGGCCGTCCAATAAAAAACTTTCCGCCTCGCGGGAAGCGCGGCTGGAATTTCTTTTGGAATTATTTTTCGACATGTGTCACGTAGGTACTCAACGAAATGAGGAAGAAACCTAGGTCAGGGCTCTCCTTGTCCACTTTGCGGTGAGGGCCTCTTTTCCGGCAGAATGCTTCGAAAATGCGACTCTATGCCGAAGTAGATATGAGAGACTTTGAAGTGACCCTCCTTCAAATGCGAGATTACCCGTGATAAGACTATCCGTGATAAAATCATGGAATTGACGGAAACTGTTTGCGTGCGGATTTTCGACATTCTCGCCTGCAACGTTTCGGGGATTATTTGTTAAGGTAGACAAGCCAATTATTCCAACGAGTTTTGATACGCATGTCGTGATTATATTTGATATATTAATAATACGTTATCCGCTACAATTAATGTTAAGGCATCGAAAACGTAAAGTTCGATTAATATCGTCGGAGCGTCCTCGTAAATGGATTCTCATTTGCCATAATTTATTCACGTCTGCCAAGTTTAGCAGGGCGGATTAAATCCTTGAGTTTGTCCTGCTTAAAGAGCTGCCAAATATTTTATTATACGCTCGATTGAACGCAATTCGAGTAGACGCAAAAGTCTAAAATTGCTCGCGCGGCACGTCCTAACGTTAGATAAACCCTGAGTCGATTTAGTGATTGAATGTTACCTGCAGCAATTATTAGGCTGAGCTGGGATTTTCTCCAAAGTGTAAGAAAAAATTCCCATAATATCGGGAAAGCTTCGGCTGAACTTTAATTACTTCAAACAAGCTTAGGTTAATTACGACAAAGCCTAAGGAAATTTGCTCACCCAATTAAGTGACATTTAATTTAAATTTCTGAGCCGCAACCCATGACAGCACCATTCGGTTGTCTGTAACATTAATTAGGAAATGTTATTTAATTCGATAATTTCAATAGGATTCTGTTCAAAGTAAATGAATATCGATTCCACATTAATTTAAACACGATGGTTCGATTAAATCATTCCCATGGGTAAATTACGATTTAGTCGATATTAACTGATTATTTATTTCTGAGGGAATTTCTGAGTTTACGTGCACGCGACCACGTGGACGATATTATCAACTATCGCAGGCGATATTGACAGGTTTGCATGCGAGTTTTAAATATTTATCGATAGACTTCGCAAGGATGCGTGATTTTTTTGGGGAATTTATTCGCATGCGAAAAATGGACTCCGTATGGACTCGAGAATCGGGTCCCAGGTGTACGTGTGGGTGCGTAAGGACACATTGCATTAGAATTTTTGTAATATTCGATTCCACTATCGCCGCGGTCACGATCGACTTTCAACTCTCCGTATAATTCGACGATACCATTCGCGTACCTCGGCTAGGTATGCTCCTAGCATTTCCAATATTCGCCATATTCGACAGTTGCGGTCCGAAAAGTATTCCCAACATTTGAATCGCGTATGTGCCACCGAATGCCGAACTTCGAGCACAAACTTCCTCCAAAATTACTCTTAGGATGAAATATGAAATGAACGTTTCTCGATTGCGACTGAACGACGGCTTTGGCGACCAGTATTGTGGAATCGAACGATATCTCGACATTCCTCCCTAGATCAAAAATCCCCGAAACATTCTCGGGCAACTATTTCCTATCTCCCACATTCGGATATCCCAGGAGTGATATTTGATACCAAAGGGAATATCCCCGAGTCTCGCGAATGAACAATAAAAATATCATCAGTCAAACTGCGGGAAATCTTCAAGTTAAGGTGAAGTGAAACACATCGAGGAACTTGATCAACGTCGATAAAGACGATTTTTCTAAATGCCTACGTTGCCGACGTTCGTTTTTATATTGACAGCTGTGTCGAATTATATTGGGTATTGTACCAAATGGCATATTCCACCTGTCGTCTTCGTACAATAATTATGAAGAAATCGAAGTAAAACTCCAGAAATCCTCTGGATTCATGCCTTCTGGGCCCTAATTGACTGCGGAGGGACCCCCTGCGCCATCTGTGATTTCCAGGTCAATTAAATTTTCACTCCGAGACCTCGTATTACCATCGTTTTAGCAAAGAAGCGCATACAACACTTTTTTTGCCTTTATCCCGTTCAAATGCGAGTTTATCGATTACCAGAGTGTTCTAAATTGTCGTAAAATTGTCCTGACCCTTTCGATTCTCATATCAGAGCCTTCGATAATAGTATATTGATCGAAATATGAGAGCTCGACGCCATTTTGGTTCTGGTCTGGACCGAGTTAAAAAATTTCTTTGAAAGATCCAAATTTTGAATGTGTCAGGACAATTCTTAGCTGATCAGGAGTGATGTGTCAAAGTTTTGGACAGTTTGGTCTAATACCCTTAAAAAAAAGTGTTGTGTTCGAATCGACTGATTTGAAGGATGTTTCACTTCACCTTAAATCGACCGCTTCCTAAAACTGATATCCGAATATCCGAGCTCGAAAGTAATGTTGGAAATTTGATCCGGGCATTTGCATGATCCGGATTTTCGGATATCTGGATACGAATCGTTACTACTGATTTAATTCGGATAGACGGATATCCGGATGGTATCTTTGCAGTATTGCAGCCGTCAGTATCTATTTATAACGATATATATATACACGCCGGATGGATATCGAAATACGCGAAACGCTTCATCCCTCCTCAAAACGCGCAGGGAACATTTAGGTCCAAAATGCAGAGTTTCATCCCATTTCGATTTTCCCATTACATTTCCCTTCCCGAGCTCCTTCACCAAATATACCCCGTATTCCCGGAGTTTCATTGAACCGATATAAACTCATAAATCCCACAGTATAATTAGCAAACACTTTTCCATTCACGACGTAGATGCATAACCAAAAATTCATCCCATTATACGGCATTTCGAGGACCGAACCAGCCTGAATACCATTACAACCAATCATGGATAACACGTTGCATTACAACCCCTCCGTCACAATCCACTCCCCAGTACTTCCTCTTACAAGGAAGGTACCTGAGGTGTCCCCCTCTGATTTTGTTCATTTTTAAATTTGTTATAGAGGACTAAAATCTAAGGGACCCGTGTTTTTTTTTTATCGGCGGATAAACACTTTTAGGGGGTGAAATCAGGCTTCAAGGTTTGCCGTGCAAGGGGGTGAGTTGGCTGTTTCATGTAGAAGCACTCGACCGATTTTCATGAAACAACCGCCAAAATGTAGGGAATGAAGAATTATGAAACATGCATTTGGAATTTTTCTAAAAAATTCATTTTTATGGGGTGAGCCACCCCTTTGAATACTTCTTTTACCCCTTACGCGATCAGTAATTGCTCTATCCAAATGAAACTTGGTTAACTTATAGACCAGAACAATACAAAAATAGTTTCATTTGGATAGAACAATTACTGCTCGCGTAAGGGGTAAAAGAAGTATTCAAAGGGGTGGCTCACCCCTTAAAAATGAATTTTTTCGAAAAATTCCAAATGCATGTTTCATAATTCTTCATTCCCTACATTTTGACGGTTGTTTCATGAAAATCGATCGAGTGCTTCTATATGAAACAGCCAACTCACCCCCTTGCACGGCCAACCTTGAAGCCTGATTTCACCCCCTAAAAGTGTTTATCCGCCGATAAGAAAAAAACACGGGTCCTTTAGATTTTAATCCTCTATAACATATTTAAAAATGAAGAAAATCCGAGGGGAACACCTCAGGTACCTTCCTTGTTATTGCAATTCGATTCATAAACCCCGAAGACCGCGGTACCTAATCAAACTTTCATCCCCTTTCGATTTTCCGCAAGGCGCTCTTTCCCGAGCACCTTATCCCGATACAAGTACAGGGGAGGTTTCGAGATCGGTACATATCCAGTGCATTTCGCATTTGGAATTGCATCGCGAGTACCTGCTAGCCAATATCATCTCTTGGCATAATTCGGCGATACCATTCGCAGGGCCTACGGAGACGCCCCGCTGGGGTCGCAATATTCGCGACAGTCAACGTTTATGGGGCTAACAATATTCGTGATATTTGAAGTACGTCCTAGTATAGGCGGGAATATAAACACGCGGATGTACGTCGGTGCACATAGGCGTGCACCTAAGCGCATACAGGTGCAACACATATCCCCTTCGCGTTGGACGCGGATCGTAACGCCATCATGGGGGATGACGCGCCTCGCGAGGGAACTCGCAGTTTTCGGATATAACTCGATTCCCTCGTCCAGCCAACGGCGAAGGAGCGACAATGACATATCGTTTTATAACCAACGGAATTTATCAACGTCGATTCGCGGGGCCGTTTAGCATATTGCGAGGGCCAAGTGTATCAACGTCGGGGCGATACGCCCGCAGCCGCCCCTGCTTTATTCGTTTTCCCCCGACGCTTCCGCTTTTTCTCCGTTCCGCGTTTACGGTGGTTCAACGACACTATCGGGCTTGAAACGCCTCTTTGCCGGGGGTGTAAATTTTTTACGACCTCTATATGATTACCAAGAAAATACCGTAATTCTTCGTCCTGGTCCATGGACAATGTTTCGCGCCCCGACTCGATTATTTACAAGGGCGACACGTGTCTAGCCACCCCCGTGATGTGTTCCAAAGCGGCGGTTCCGGGAGGTAAAGTACAGGCTTCCGATATAAACAATTGCCATTATAGATTAGGAATACCCGCAATAATGCCTGTACCAAATTCCAAGGTAGCGGTCGTCGGGATAGTTCCGAAGAATTTCGGTAAAGGGGTGTTTCTGTAAAAAGGGGGTGAAATTACATCCCCGACTAAATCGAGAATTTACGAGGGTTTAAAAATATGTGATAAATGTAATAAACATGTTAAGAGGGAAATTGCCAGGGTAATTTCAGAGGACCGGAGAAAAGGAGTGCCCCCTGCCCCAGAAAGTTCCCGTATATCAAAGAGAGTTCCGGACCCCCCTTTATCTCCTTGCCCAAAAGAGCTCGAATTTTCTTGTCCCGCATTTTATTACCATTCTCGACAGGGGTCCGCACCTGGGGTTTCGCATCTCCTTCAGGTATTAGCCCAACGTCATTCTCCCTCTCTTGGGGAGTCTTTTAAAGGCCCTTAAACCCCTGGAAAATATCCGGCACGTAAAGGCGCAGCACGAGGATCCGTGTCCGAACCCATTGGCCTTATTCCTCGATATCTAAGATCTGATTCTTTCGTTCCGTAGTCAGCCCCCTGGAGGTGAATATAATCGGCGCAAATCAGCCGCTGTCCGCCGGGAAGCGATACGATCTTCTGTGCACGACTTCCGGTTCCCGGCCGCCAGCGGTGGTCACTTGGTCGCAAAACGGCCAACGTCTGGACGGCTCGAAAGAGACGGTGAGTTATCTTGAAAATTTACCGATGTTTACCTATCATTTACCCGGGATGCGTACGCTTACCTCGGGAACCATCTCGGGGTCGTTCTCCGGATTTTACGAGCACTTTTGTACGTGGATCCGCACTCGGGCATCGCATCCACCTGGACGTCGAATCGGGCCGGAGCTCCTTCAAGATGGCGGCCCCGCCGGGGAGGTCGAAGGGAAGGAACGATTATCCTCCTCGTCTGGCTCCCTGGGAATCGTGGAAATCCCCTCCGAACTGGCGATTCGATATCGTCGATTTCCACCCCGACGTCGCGAAACGTGACGCCACCGAAGCTTCCATAATTCGGATCGGCTAAAACCCAAGTTATAAGCTCTCGCAGCCGGTAGAGCGAGGAAATTGCCATTTCGCGAGTGGCCGCGGCTGGAAAAGAGACCAAGATAAGAGAAGGAATCATCGCCTCCGGTTCGGGAATACATATTAATTATTTTTTGGGGACTTATATGCGCCGACCTCTTGTGTCGATTCGCGGCTTATTCTTTTTTTTGTCACTCCTTGTTGGTTTTTGACGACGTTTCAGATTTTAGGAAGTAACGAGGTATAGGTCGGACTAGGGCAACCACGTTAAGTTTTATACAACGATCGAAGCCGGCGCGCGACGTTTTTCCCTCGTTTTTACGGCTTTCGACGTCATATTTCAGATATCAAGCGACGGTAATACCACTACGAGCGTTTTATCATTCATGGCGACCAAGGCGGACGCCGGGAGACATTTATCGTGTCGCGCCGAGAATCCGATCATGGGCACGGGTCCTCTCGAGGACGGCTGGATATTAGAGATTCAATGTGAGTCTTGCCGAAAGAGTAACTCTTTACTCGCCGGGTCGACGAGAAGTCGATACTTAAGTGTCGCTTGCAATTACCTTTCAGACGTGCCGGAAACGCGGATCCAGCTGGGCACGTCGCTGAACCCAAACGCGATACGCGAAGGAACCGACGTCTATTTCGACTGTCTGATCCGTGCCGAACCCCCGGTTTACAAGGTTGAATGGCGCCATCAGGTATAAATCTTGACAAAATTGTCTTTTAAATATCTGCGGTCTAAAGATTAACGAACAATCGCGTTTGTCAAAGTTAAGGTGAAGTGAAACACGTCGAGGAACGTCGATTGATCAACGTCGATAAAGACGATTTTTCTAAATGCCTACGTTGCCGACGTTGGTTTTTATATTGACAGCTGGGTCGAATTATATTGTGCATTGTACCAAATGGCATATTCCACCTGTCGTCTTCGTACAATAATTATGAAGAAATCGAAGTAAAACTCCAGAAATCCTCTGGATTCATGCCTTCTGGGCCCTAATTGACTGCGGAGGGACCCCCTGCGCCATCTGTGATTTCCAGGTCAATTAAATTTTCACTCCGAGACCTCGTATTACCATCGTTTTAGCAAAGAAGCGCATACAACACTTTTTTTGCCTTTATCCCGTTCAAATGCGAGTTTATCGATTACCAGAGTGTTCTAAATTGTCGTAAAATCGTCCTGACCCTTTAGATTCTCATATCAGAGCCTTCGATAATTGTATATTGATCAAAATATGAGAGCTCGACGCCATTTTGGTTCTGGTCTGGAGTGAGTTAAAAAATTTTTTTGAAAGATCCAAATTTTTAATGTGTCAGGACAATTCTTAGCTGATCAGGAGTGATGTGTCAAAGTTTTAGACAGTTTACCCTTAAAAAAAAGTGTTGTCAAATCGACTGATTTGAAAGATGTTTCACTTCACCTTAAGGTACTGACGATATGGAATATCTGCTCACCAGCGAGATAGATTAATTTCGTTTGCACCAATTGAACACGTTTCCTGGACGTTACCCTTCCACCTACTTTTTCCACGTTTGCTCGTAACTGATGATTCCATATCGATTTGAGAGAGGATTAAAATTTATGTAAATTAAACGAAATGAAGAATCTTCGAGTGGGTGGTTGATACCTTTGCTACTTCCAGAGAAAAACGCTACATCACAATATAGCTCAGGGCATCATTATCAGCAATCAAAGCCTAGTGCTGCAGGGCGTCGTAAGGAAAAGTGCCGGCAATTACACCTGCGTCGGGTACAACAGCGAAGGTGACGGCGAAAGCTCCCCGTTTTACTTGAACGTAATGTGTGAGTACTTTGTAAAAGGAGAGCCCCTCCGTGTCCGTAATTTCGAATTCTCTCAATTATCGATCCACTGGCTGAAAAAGAGAGAGCGAAATAGACTCCCCAATTCCATTTGTCACCCGCTCGATCGGTTCCCACCTGTAAACCTGCCATTCCGAATTTAAGGGCGTCCTTAAAACGGGCCATTTTCTGGAACCAGTTTAACTTGTCTCACTTACTTCTTCTTCTTCTTACAATTTCCTTATCGCTCTTACAGTTGCTCCAACTTGTAAGCCGAATCAGACGAGGGTGCACGGCGTGGCCAAGCAGGAGAAGGCCAACATATCCTGTCAGGTGGATGCAAATCCTCCCGAGGTTGAATTCCGGTGGACTTTCAACAATTCCGCGGAAAGCATCGACGTCGCTTCCGGACACATCGCGCGAGTGGGAACATCCTCTGTGGTGTCTTACACTCCGATGACCGAACTCGATTACGGGACTCTCCTTTGTTGGGCAACCAATCGCATCGGTCATCAGCGAGTTCCTTGTGTATACCACATCATCCCTGCAGGTATGGCACGGCCAATCGAAGGGATCGATCGAAACGAACCGCTTGATTGCCAAAAGTCCTAAGTCAATTTTCCTCTCGGTGGACTCGAGCCAAGATTCCCCAATGTTACGGAGTCGTGCCTCGAACTCGCCTTAAAGTGTTGTGTCTGGAAAATCGATGCGTAAGGACACGACGTACACGATATAAAGTGCAATATTGGCTCGAGATACCGGAACGGACACCAAAATCTTGTCACATCCTTCCCTAGATCTACTGGACGTGGTTGATAAGAGCTCAGCGGATCTTAATTAACATAATGCTTCTCTGCATCCTCTTTCGCTATATATATACCCTGCAGTGCACAATTATCCAGATACACTGTAACAGAAATAAGAGTAGCAGAATTAATTTCGCTTATGACCATTTTTTATCAAATTACAAGTTATTAAATAATGTTAAAGAAACGAGAGCAGAAGTAATACCTCAATTGAATATACAGTATTTCAAGAAAGGTTAAAAATTACTTACACCTGAATAGTCAGGGAAATAGAAACGATATATAGTCGAGGCGAATTTAAAAAAACGAGGAGAAACGAATTTTAATTTGTCACGCGAACTTTACGTGCACTGGTTCGGTATATGTAATTTAGTTAATTGCGTTAATTAGTCCCTCACGAATGAATCCATCGTTTAATTTTAAGATAAAGAGCGACATCACGTAATGCTATAGGGCCAGGGGACATTACCTTTACCGATAATTAAGCACCATGGCGGAAGCCTTATAACAATTTTCATTTCCTTAAAATCCTCTTTCATTCGCCATCGATTAAACTGAACTTGTAGGAGCTTCCTTTCAATGAACTTTTCCGCGAGTATTTGTCCGGCTTCGAGCTTCGGATCGCCGTTAAATTGGTTATCAACGACATCGTCTTCGTCAAGGGATGCACAGATGCAGAAGCATTGATTTTCATGTACCGAAGTACCCTCTCGCACTAAACGACGGCTCCTCTTTAACGAAGAAAATGTAAAACTAATTTGAACTCACGACGAGTTCATTGAGCAAGATAGGAACTGATTCCTGTATACAGGGTTTCGTTTAACTTGACAATTATCTTCTGCCCTCGTTAAGGTTTATGGCGCGAGAAAAAAAGATATACTTCCTTATAAATTTCTGGATTAATAGGAAACATAATACCGACTACCTCTACCCAAATAATTTCTTCCTCCACTATCTTTCGAGTAATTAAAATTAGAATTTTCTTCCAAGTAAAAATAATCCAAAGAAGAAAATAAGAAAAGGCTCCTCGGTTAATCAAAGTACTACGTATTACGAGTACCTCGTTTTAATCGAAAACCGATTCGTGAATTACATTATTGTCCGCTTGCACCTTTACAGTGCTTTAAGGACGTACTTTCGCCCGCAATAAAGCCAACCCGATTTAGACGGAATTCTCGGAGACTTTCCTTTTCTACCGACATCAATGCGATTTCAATGTCCAGGTCGTCCCGACATGGTGCACAATTGCACGACCTCGAACACCTCAACGAACTCGTTTTCCGTGCAATGCTCCGAAGGCTTCAATGGAGGATTACAGCAATCCTTTCTCCTGGAAGTCAGAGAGAGCAACACCCAGGATTTGAAAGCAAATTTGACATCGCCGGTGCCGCGGTTCAACGTGGTTCATCTGGAATCTGGTGCACTTTATCAGGCGTGCATCTATGCGTACAATGATAAGGGCAGAAGCGAGGCCATGGTGGTCCAGGCAGGAACATGGAGGCTGCCCGAAAAGCAGTTGACGTCAGAATCAGGTAAATATATGATTACCTTGGTAAACGAATTACAGGGCCAGCCCTGTGATTTATAACGACGGAAATGCAAGGGAGACCTGAATCTTTCAAGTTTTTACGTCCAGCCTTGGGCATCCGGTCTTGGCACGAGGAAGTCTATAATTTATTAGGGTACGGAGGAAACTGCCCCATCCAAAGAATCGTTCGATATTCCCCGTGGAGGATTTACATTAACCCGCACTTGAATCATTCACTTTGTACACCTTGTCGCGGGCAACTATATTTTTTAGGCCACTCCTAACTCTCCATCAGCCCTTGGGAATATTCTAGCCGAACTTTTTCCTGCTTCTTCTTTGAACAAATTCGTGAAAGTATGGAGAAAGATTGAAGGAATCGAGTATTCGTCATTCTTGTAATCTGCGACATAGTACCTCTCTTTTCCCATACATCGTTCTTGATCGCTCTTGCTTTATGGACTACCATCGGTAGTCAGCTTACGGAATTAATTCAATCGGTCAATCTAGCATCTAACTGATGAAAGAATATTATACATAGTTTTAAGGTGAAGTGAAACATCCTTCAAATCAGTCGATTCGAATACTAACACTTTTTTTTTAAGGGTATAGGCCAAACTGTCCAAAACTTTGACACATCACTCCTGATCAGCTAAGAATTGTCCTGACACATTGAAAATTTGGATCTTTCAAAGAAATTATTTAACTCAGACCAGACCAGAATCAAAATGGCGTCGAGCTCTCATATTTTGATCAATATACAATTATCGAAGGCTCTGATATGAGAATCGAAAGGGTCAGGACAATTTTACGACCATTTAGAACACTCTGNTTGTGAAACGAAATTTCTCTGTCGTTTTACAAAAACGCGTTTTACAATAGATACAAAGAGACAATTTCGATCACACTGATGTAATGAGAGAAACGACTGCTTCTACCTTCTAAATAAATTCCTAATTTTTATAGAATATCAAGAAACACCTAATGTAATTAATGTGTACCACGGTTATTTATTGTGAAACGAAATTTCTCTGTCGTTTTACAAAAACGCGTTTTACAATAGATACAAAGAGACAATTTCGATCACACTGATGTAATGAGAGAAACGACTGCTTCTACCTTCTAAATAAATTCCTAATTTTTATAGAATATCAAGAAACACCTAATGTAATTAATGTCTACCACGGTTATTTATTGTGAAACGAAATTTCTCTGTCGTTTTACAAAAACGCGTTTTACAATAGATACAAAGAGACAATTTCGATCACACTGATGTAATGAAAGAAACGACTGCTTCTACCTTCTAAATAAATTCCTAATTTTTATAGAATATCAAGAAACACCTAATGTAATTAATGTCTACCACGGTTAATTATTTCTCGGTACAGCGGTAACATTTCTCTGTAATCGGTGTGTCTATCTTCAGGTGACGAACCGTCGGAATACCTCAGAAAGAGGCGTCTGGTCTCGACAATAGAGACATCCCCATCGAGAAGTCTGTTGGAACATCCAACAGTTACCACAGTTAGTGGTCATGGCAGTTACGTCGGTTATTGCACCATTCGTAATGGCATGCCCCTTCGAGAGCTCTCAAACTTGTCGTCGAAACACAAAAACGTAAGTTCACATCGCATCATTACGGTCATTTAAAGCCATTCGGTTTGCCCAGTTCGCAGAAAAATATTACAAACAATCGACCCCGCAGATGCCACTGTCGCATCGCCTTAAATTCGGTAACTCCTTATCCGCAATGAATAATACCTTAAAAAGGATATTTTCTAACAGATCGGCTACCTCGTTTCCCTCGAGGAAACATCCTCGACAACTTCCCCCACTTATCCACGTATTCGCTTTTCTTTATAATCTCGAAAATAACAGATTTCGCCGTGATTCATCTCCTTCGGTCGAATCTCCTGGGTAGTTCGGTGGACAGCGTTATAAAATCAGTATATGAGAGAAGTAAAGCACTTTAACGTGAAAAGTTTCAGCCAATGGTGAGCCAGGTGTACGAGAGCGGCATGTGCACCCTGCCCAGGCAGAATTGGTCGAATCAAAGTGTTCAGTCGATGACGATGAGTATGAACATGAGTCCGCCGGTGTTGTACGCCGGCTTGGGTGTAGAGAGCAGGACTTGCCCCGGTGGTTCCATGTTGCCGAAGGAAGTGGAGGCCAGAGGTCCTGGCCAGTGTTGCATCCAGTCTCAGAAGGAAGTCGCAACGGGGACGCCTTTGGTGACGACGAAACGCGAGAGCTCGGTGTGACGCCAAACCCGGGAGCGCGCCTCGAGGCGCACCGACAAGTCTAAGAGATGTTAATTTCACGATAGCCCTACCAAGGCGAGCCTCTCGTTTCCGTTTTAGCGAATGATTTCAGACCCAAGACAGCAGATTACGTCTCTATATGTTCAATCAAGTGCCCTTTTATATTGAAGGAGACTTTGAAGCTACACTTAATGTATATGTAAATGTGAACAATCTACGTATAAACTGTGTGCACGTGTACAAGTGGACCCTGCGTGTGTACTGTAAATATCCCTGGATATGAGAATATTTTATACAGATCAGCTATAGAATAATATATAATATATATATATACATATACGCATACCACTCATCCCACTTTTACTACATATTGTAAAATTCGTAGTCGACGTAAGGACGCGGTATTTGAATGTATATGTATATACATACGTGGGAGTGTTTGTGTATATACGCGTGTAATGACCAGATTATAAAAGGTACACCGATCGAATACGTTGTTGCGGAGGTTAAATTAAATGCGAATATGTGGGAACAAGAGCAAACTAGTGGAAGCTGCGCTGATACGAAGCGATGGCAGCGAGACATATCGTTCAAATTTCCACCGAATCGCGTAATTCGTGCGTTAGCGCGACGAGCTCGTTGCTTTTTGGTAGGCGACATTCGAGATTTTATTCCAAGCATTATCTGTGGCTGTACAGTGTATAAAGCAAACCGTCTTCGAGTGGTCCTCTCCGAACGTTAACGTTGTTTTGAAAATTCCAGTCTTTTGCGGTTTTGGGGAGCTAATCAAAGTCTGCGGATCGCTTTCCTCGGTCTCGACGTTCACGAAACGACGTGGACGTTCTCTTCCCTTAGGCGGAAAATCTGCGGAAAAAGGACGATCGTCAGCGAGCAGTTTCATTCGCGAGTAGAATTATTGCGTTTGTCTGCGACACTAACGAACGCTATGTGAAACAAACTCGTTTTGTTAATGTTCGTTACCTTGTTTCTTTGATTTCACGCCTTCCAGGAAATTTCCCGCAATAGAGTGGACGCGCGAGAAAGGGAAAACTGGAACCGTGAGGGATTTTCCTTCATTTCCGGAAAGCCGCGTGCGACTGCTCTCTTGGATCCTAAAAACGAGAGATCCGTTTTACAAATAAGCGTAGGTTACGTTAACTAAGCCAGATGATAATGTAATATTCTAGGGGACGAGTACGTGTTTCTACGAGCTATCAAAGTAAACGAAGGAAAAGTTAGGAATTTCTACTCTCGTACATAGGTGTATTCTCCGTTTACTAGTGTTAGGCTGAACATTCAAAAGATCTTAATATTTATCTTTAAAAAAGAGATTGTTACTCATTGCCATTGATGGAATTGATGTGAGCACACAACTTAGTATTATCGAAATTAATAATGGGAAAACGGGAGAGAACGAACGCTGATTAAGAGAGGGCTATTACGCTGTTACGATATTTTAAGAAGTGGATACCGGGCTGGAGGGCCCACAAGCCTCCTTCCTCTTGACTTAACTCAACGCGAATCAAACTCGGACTGCCAAGATTCAATCTAAACTTTCGTTGGATACTACGTGTGGATACTCAGCTGTAATAATAGAGTAATTCTCACCAGGCCACCCTCGCATCTATCAACTCCTACCTTTTCTTTTCGAAATCAAAACCATCCTCGACTTCACCGCTACTGGAACCCATGTTATTCAGATTCGAGTTGGAGTCAATTTCAATCACTTTGCGCGAGTTTGTAAATTGAAGCGACTACAGGGCTATGCTGTAGATTCATATTATATACCATATATATATATATAAATATAAATAAATATATATATATACGTTATACAATAACTTACTAAAGATAGATTGCTATTTTCATGGGCCATTATATCCCTTAAACTAAGTGTTGTCAAATTAAGTACCCAGGTAATTTTAATCCCTGTTCTACGTGTTTCGGAGTACTTACGTTCGCGACTGCCAATCGAGATAGGGCCACATTGTTGATAGCATTTGTACATTTCATTATTGCTGCCACTGGCTCTGTTCAGGTGCCCTTTAATTTTTACGAGGTGCTTGCACGCTGAATACGTCCCGAGGCATTAAATCACCTGGTGCTGGCCAAATTTTATCTGCAAAAATCAACCCTCAAATTTAGATATGATTAAACAGACCAATTTGAAAATGCTAGGGCATTGTAAATCCACCTAGATATTCAAGGTTTACAAAAGAAACACAATTTCTTATTTTTATTCGTGAAACTTTAGTATCCACACCTGATCTTTCGTCTATCGAAACAGCAATTATCATATATAATGAATTATTTATAACAGACCCAGTAGAAAAAATAGAAGAAAGTCATTCAATAAAGAATAGAACATCAAAGGCACGATTTTTGGAACATTTTGTAAAGAACTTTTGTGGACTTTCTTTTTCTTCTTATTTCTCTCGGGATTTCAAAGCAGCACCCTCGCGTCGTTTTAGTAAACCCCCGAAAAACAATTACATGTACGAATAATACTTTTTATGATGTAAATGTTGCGTCTCGTGATATCTCTTAATTGTAAAGTCATAATCATACATCAAGTTGATTATCTACAAGAACATTGAATGCGGATATTATCTGCATAAGACCACTTATCCTGATTGTTACATACTGCCCCTTTCTACTGATTTTATTGTTAATAGTATTATAGAGCCAAATATATTAGAAGTCACTCCATGTTTAAAAACAGTGTCTATTTATACGTGAAACGAATACATCTCGATAACACTGTGAATTTTGTTATTCCATTGTACCAAGAACGTGACTTTACGAAATTTTATAATCTTGTATCATAATGATGCATCGTCTAATTTGTCACACACTCTACGAACATTTCTATACCTCTGGAAATGCATCTTATCGGAGTGACTTATAATTTTGAATATGCACTCAACGAAAACGAAGCGATGATATTTGTTTTGTTAATACCTTATAAATGCTAAATTTATTACTAGACTGATCGATACTAATACCGAGTGACTGGACGATTACTAGGCAAAGAAGAAAAAAATGTGGTAGGACTCGACCGATATTGGGGAATCCTTAGACTAATAATATACAGAAGCGCCGATTCATCTATGTATTGCCTATCTTTACATTGTAAAATCTGAAGCCGAACGGCCACTTTCGCTAGAGACATTCAAATTTGTGTATCTAGTTTAGCGTGATTCAACTCGAATTTCATGTAATCCAACATACAAAGTTTTTTTGATATTGTAAATATTCTGAAATAAATAATCGTTTTTATTCAACGATCCAAACATTTTAAGCTCTTTCATGGCAGTAAGGATTTTACTGACACTCCTAAACTGGAGTTAAGAAATGAATACCACTGCATGAATAATACATTTTAAAACTAACTTGCAAAACAAGTAACTTAAATTTCATTTACCATTATAGAAAGATATGAATGGAACAGCGGTGTAGCATTTTAAGTACTCTCGAATATCAGTCAGCACAGGAGCTTTAGATTTGAGTAAGAATTCGAGTACGGTACTTTCAGGAAGGTACTGAGGAACAAGCTCTCCGACGCGATTCAAAATTTCTTCGGTATTCACTTGCTATGCAGAAATTAAATATTTCCATTAATAAGTATTTAATTCGATTTTAATAAACCATCTGAAACGTCAATGTTAATGTACAATACAACTTACATTTCTTTCGCGTGTATCAACAATATACTCGCACAAGTTATACACTTTGGACACACAATTAGACATTTGTTTTTGTAATTCATCGATTCCCGAAGCATCCAATTTATCTAAAAGTGTTGGTGGTTTTGTGAACGTCGTAAACCATCCCGTAAAAAATCTCTAAAATACATAGAAACTAATATTTATAAGAAGACGACAGAAATACTTTGTACATACTCACTTGATGAGCGTGGTAATATACAGGAAGATGAATTACTGTTCCAAAATTTATTTCAAATTCTTTGTCTTCAAATACTTCTTTTAAGTACCTGAATATGATTTCTTCATACGTCTGAGCAATAAATTCTTACATGTGATTCAATGCATTACTTCTCACAAAAAACCTATTTAAAACATTTACCTCCACTAAACAAATGAAACAGTTGGGATACATAAGCAACATTCCTGTTATATTAACATTGTTTTGTTCTGTGGTTAATTTATAAATCACACTGTCCATCTTCTACAATGATTAACAATTTTTAAAGTCCTGAGTAAACATGCCAACGGTTAAACAAAATGTAAATTTAAAATCTAAACAAGATTTAACAAAAAAAAAATTAAATACACTGTCTTCGAAAATGAAGAAAAAACAAAAACCGGAATTAGCAAGGTGCGACTTTACCTTTCGCAAAACTTCACTGGAACACTTGTATTCGCCAATATAAACTAGCCTCGTCATAAATTGTGTCTAAACGATAGTAATGGGCATTTCAATCGAAGCAATTGTATTAAAAGTATTAAAAATATGAATTGCGGAATAATACTCACCCGACCAGCGGCCCGCAGATTCCGTTTGACGACATGTAACAAATTTTTTCTTACTGGTTCATCCATTTCACTTCAAAGAACCTCAGCAAGACGGAAATTCCGATTTAATAACAGCCTTTAATAATTAATAATTTGTGCTGCATATAATTGAAAGTCAAATATATTAGTCCTAGGTTTGGTAAACAAAACGTCATGAAACCGTCATTTAACTGATCTGAAAATCTGCTTACCAATCTAACCAGTCAATAATCGATTGAACGAATTGATGAACCGTTAAATTAATTTCAGTTGTTAAAAACAAGTCATTTGTTTAAGTTGTTTCAATTGGCTCTAACCTCCCACGGTGTATTCAATCACATGTCAAGATTACTGCATAGCCATTGGCGAACTAAACGGCGCCATTGGAATTACCCAATCACGACATCAGCTCCAAGGGAAATAATGCTCGCGCAGTACAAATGTCACGTGACACGTGAATGATTCAAGCGGGAGTTATTTAAAAAATAACGGACGCAGACGCGGTGTACCTTCGGTATTAGTTTCTCTTTTAAAATTACAAGTGTATAATATACAGCTTTTAGGAAGCGTCAAAAACATCATGATGAATAACAGCGAAAATATTAAGGAAACCTTAAATGATCGTAATGAAAATAACTTAAATTTGAAAAAGTACCATTCAGACTGGGAAACTGGCAACAGGTGTAGCGCGGTAGGAGCAAAAACTCACAAAAGTTTTGGATACGTTTTCGATTACAAGGTTTGTAAGGAAAATACAAATGTTATCGATTACAAAAGGAGAAACTTATTCAGTACCACGTACTATGTCTCTAATGCTAATGATTTGCAATCGGAGCATATTGGACTTAATGGAAAAGACATTCATACAACGTCAATGCCAGAAGTATCTTGTTCTGAGAATCTCGGCAAAGGTAATAATTTCAATCACCATCCCATTATCTACTGAAATCAAATAACTTACATATCTTTCAAGAATATTCTGTTTAATACTTTTCCTATTTAATATTGACGTTAAGAACTAAATACTATTACTACCGCTAAAATGATTACATACCAAAACTATCAACTCGTTACATCCACGTTAAATAAATCTATCCACTGCTTTGTGTTTTTTAATCATTATGATTTTTTAATGCAATATATTGTTTAGGTTGCCCTGAATTGTCATCATACACTGAAGGTACTACTTCGGTTGAAGAGTTATCACAAATGAATTCAAAAATGATACGGGAACCAGAGCCTTTATCGAGGTCGACTGATACTCTAACTTTATCTCCAATAAATGACTCTAAAAATGGAAAGGGAACCGATCAACAAACACCGACCCGACATCAAATGTTATGGCACTCTTGCGAGTGCCTACAATTCTTTTTGAGCAACGAAATCCCGATTGTGAATAAAATTTCAAGAAAACGCAAAATACAAGCGTTATACCTTGAAGTTGACCTAAATAGATACAAGTTGGACAAGCCAATAACATGTCATTCAGAATTTCCATCTCTATACCCACAATTATCATCTAAAACATGTAAATCATTGATTGATGATGTTGAAATAGATAACGTAACAGATTTAAAAAGAAATCTGAGTATAACCTCCATCGTAAATCACGAGAAACGAAAGAAGCACGCAATTAACGCTCAACAAGAGAATACTAAAATGTTTAACTGGAACTTTATCAACGGTAAAATATACTTGTCACTAAATATTAATTATCAATCCCTTTACAGTGTTACGTTAATGCAATTGCAGTTTTCATTTTTAGAGAGTACATATGAGAAACAAAGAAACAAGGAGAATAAGTTAAATGATCATAAACCAACTATTCGGATTGGGCTATCGAAGAAACAAAAAGTTAAACCATTGCATCCATGTTTACATGAAAGAATGTGTGAATGAAAGCAGCTGATAGAAACACAAATCATTTGGAAGTAATACCAATTCTCTGATTATTTATCGAATATCATTGATGCCAAATGTCACGCATTTTACGATAATCTTAACTTGTGTTATAATTAATTTTAAACATGCGCGAATTCATCATAAGTACATTTAATGTATTGCGTCTTATCATTACAGCGTTTTTCTAACGTAATATATTCCGCATAATTTATCGCCACAAGTAAAATATTTAAACCTTATAAACAAATAATGTTACTCTCGATAGCAGCGCTTACGTCCTAGAACAGGTGGGTTTTAAATATATGTTATAATAATAACTAGATACCGTACAAAATAAAAAAAAAATACTAGATCTCACTACTCTATAATACTGAATATTTTGTTATCTAAGGAAAACGCTTTTCTTTAAATTGCGTGTAAATAAAATGGTGAAATCTAATTAAAATTAGATTTTTAAGAAACGATATGTCACTCGTAAATAGTCTTAAAATGAAACTTAGTAGTTGCGTATTTCAAAATACAATGTAAATTTCTATTTGATATTCATTTTTTAAATATATAACTTAATGCGGTCTTTGCGTCATTTTCAGAAATGCTGTTACTTTAATAAATTATTGCTGAAAAATATTTGTACTGCAGTGCATTGTGTTGTTGAATGCTATGGTATATTTATATACATGTTGAGCGAATCACTGTATATTTATTTTTTCAATTTTGCTCTGTCTAAAATAGGAGGTGGAGGAGGTGATGGTTCACCTGGATTTCCCAACCATACAGACTTACTAAAACGGCCTTTTGTAACTGGTGGTTGCCATTTATTAGCGATGATAGTTGGTGTAGGTTTCTCTGTGTTAACTGTTGTAATAGTTACTGTCCTGAAATTCATAAATTTTTATTATACCCTTTGTTTAATTGACACGTTAAGCAGTATGATACTGGTAACAAAATAGTACATGAGCACGACAAATAAATAAACAGGCAACTTTCACTTGAATTCATCTTAGACGCATAACAAATTTGACGATTAACACATTAATAGATTATTCAATATTTATTATCATCAAATAAGCTTCTTACCGTTCACTTTTAATTAAATTTTGAATGATCCTACCGGAAAGATAAGGAAAAAATAAAAAGATACTTGACTATATTAAGAATAGTATTTATTTAGTATAAAATAGATTACAAATTCAAAAATCTCAATTGTACAATTTGGCAACAATTACAACTTTACCAATCATGTTTGCATTTGTACAGTAACGTACTGTCTCGGCTGAATCATATATATATCTAAACAAGACTTCATCTTTCAAAACGAAAGATAGAGAAATTAATCGTTGGCATGTCTATTACCAAATTATTCCATAAGTAATGTAATACAGACGTCTGCACAATTATTGGGATTAAAGAAAAATAAGGAAATACTGTACATGAAGTAGATACAAACGAATAATCAGAATATTTAATGTGTTTATTTCTCTGTGCAAAAACAACTTGTCATAGACAAGCACTTCAAAGTATCAAAATAAACAAATTTATTCATTATTTTGGCACGGAAATATTCAATGTACACATTCTGTAAGAACTTATCAAAAATCGATCGATGACATATTACAATCACACATTAAATACTCTGAGCAAGTTTTGAGTGTTTTTTAACAATCTAGTGCCATGGTACTTGATTTGGGTGACTGATGGAACCCAATTTGTAGTACCTGGTGGTCGAAAGTGGTTGTTGAGATCCAATGGAATGGTTTGGAGGTGTCGCTAACAAAGGCGTTTCGGCACTTTGAGCCGAAGTACCATCCCCCTTTAAAACTGCAACACACTTCCAATTATTAATATAATTGTCTTTCCATAATCGGACACAACCATCATCTCCTGAACTGGCTAGGATCGTTCCCATTATATTCCAACACACACGCCATACTGTACAGTAATGGTCATCAAACTGAGCAGCTGTCGTTATTTCAAAACGGGATAAGCCACTTTGAACTGTATCCCTATAAGAATTAAATGGTTACAGTAATACGATAACAACTCTTTAATGATTTAATCAGTTGTACCTACTGTATTGGTTTTAACGTTATAATTCGCACATCTTTCGTAGCTACAGCTAATGTATGAAAACTTCGCCCCAAATTAGGAGCAAATGCAATATCATGAACCGCATCCACAATATTAGATAATGTTTCAGTTTTAGTCCAACGTCTGCTGTTTTCAGAATACTCATAAATAAACACTTTACCACCAGTTGAGGTATTCGAATCATCACTTCCAACTGCCAACATAGGTGGATGTAACCTGCAAACCAATAAAATGTATTAAATTTCAATACTTTGTCATTACTTTCTTGAATTACAAGTTTGTTTTAAAGAATATCATTACCTTGATAACGATGGATTCCATGTCAAACAACTGCAAGGAAGTTTACAACTAATATCGTGCTGTAGAGTCCATTGACTTAAATTCATTACATCAGGAGCTTCATATATTCTAATAACTCCATCCGCACTGCACGTTGCTAGTAAAAGACCCAAAGTCTTAGGTGCAAATTTTACGTCAGTTACAGATGTCCGTGAATCAACTAAGTTTGCTCGGCGAACCCAATGCCGCATTCCTCGTTCTCCAGGCCCTGAGCCTTCTCCAACTGTTAATCGAATTGAGATAAAATAACAACTTCCCTAGTATCTATTTCTATCCATGATCTATTAAAAAATGAATTCATAAAATTAACATACTAATTTCCTCCCATACAGCTGCTGTTCTATCGAAGGAACAAGTCGCAAGCACCTGTCCAAATTCAGGATGTGCCCATGTTACTTTCCACACTGATCCGCTGTGAGATTTCCATGATGCTGTCAAATGCCAATTTTCATGTTCGTCTTCATCCCAAACCTTTAACATATTTGTAATCAGAAACAATGCTTTAACACAATAAATGCTACCCTTGCCCTAACTTCTACTAACATATACATGAATATATAGCTGCATGCATTTTATTTTTAAATTGGTATAACGTTGGAACATCATTGCAGTCTAAAACTGCACCACCAAAAGTCGACATTCACGATGTTAAGTCATCGACTTCCTAAATTAAATTGTAAGTATTATTCGCATTTACACTAATAATTGATATTTAACATTGATTCCATAATTAACATGTAAATACAAATATTTTATGAACTATACCTTGACAAATTGATCACTGGAACAAGTTGCCATACGTTTTCCATAAAAATCGTAAGCAATGTCATGAATTAAATCTTTATGTTCTGCATTAATACTATGTGCTTCGAACATTTTATACGCGACCACAATAATTTTAATTCTACTAAATTCTACTGCGCGACTTTCAGCTCTTTAAATGCAAGAAGTATACAGCTCGTAAGATTCAGCGTGCTCCAAATCAGGAAACTCGGTAGAGTTTCGCGCCAAATATACACAATTACATACGTATGTCAAACAGAGTTGATTTGGGAGATTGCTCACGGGCAAGTTCGCGCGATCGCATCCTGTGCTGCCCTCTGGTGTCGTACGTTACCTTTCACCATTTTTTGCCCCCAAGGGCGGCGCAACGAATTTCTGGTAGGGGCTCGCGTATTCGCGATGGCGGTGTCATCTACCAGTAGCCGTTGACGGCTCACGAAATTTTTCACAAAACTAGGTGTACCTAATCGTTTGAAATTTTATAACGTGAGTATAAAGACCCTAAAAAAGGGTTCCGTAGCCATGAAATTCCGTTATTATAAAGAAATTCCAAAATTGGAATATACAAAGGTGTGATAAGGGACTGCGCATGCGCATGCCGGGGTCGGGGACTCTATATAAGGCCGAGCGCGCGCTCAGAGAATCATTACCCTTTGGTCTTCCGAAGGGTAAACATCGGCTTACCTGCTTCCACCGTAACTGGTTTAACCCCAGTTTTAACCTAAGGTTAAATCTAACGGTTAGCCCCAGTTTTAACCTATGGTTAAACCCAGTTTTAACCCACGGTTAAACCNCGGCGACTTACCCTGTACTCTGCGGCGAGCGTTGTATGGACGGATGAGTATGGTATGCGAGTGGTGCGTTGTATGGACGGATGCGTTTGGTATGCGTGTGGTGTGCTGTATGGGTTATGAAATCCTGGTTCTGCGAGTTCCTGGGACGCCGGGAACTCAACGGAACCAGGTGCCTATGCTTAGGCGGGTCCCAATCGCAGCGGCCTCCTCGTGGCGGGACCTGGGGGATCGGTGTCATCCTTATGGGATGACACCGATCCGCGAACTAGCTGTGAAGTAGAACTCATATCTGTGACCTGTCTCTATGTTTACCGACGTATCGCGCCTTTCGATGCTTCAGTTACCGAGAGGGCAGCACCACGCAATAGTTACGAAGTAGGGGCCGTGGCCACTCTATCTTCCCTCTGGCATACATATGCATGTATGTATGTATGAATCATATATGAGATTCCCAGAATTCTTTGCCATGTATAAAATAAAATGACATGGTGTTTACGGGGCGGTAACAATTTGTGGCAACTTAATTTGAAAATAAAATACAACTTATGAAGTTCCAATGTCTTGACAAAATAAAATTAACGCTTCTCTGGAAGCAGAGATATATGCGATAACCGAAATGGATTTAATACTAATTGTAAGAATAGGTTGCCATACCAATGATACTTTGAAGTAAAGTGCGACCGATGACATAATTAATTCATCGCTTTTGATTTCAGATCACTGATATATACAGTGACGAAGGAGTATAGCTGCTGTAACATAGTTTCTAATTATTTATAATTGTTTATCCAAATAAGTGCCTATACACTAAAATAACCTCTAAGTGTAGTTTATTGGTATACGCAACATAAATATTTAATTCAATTTGTAAGTAAAAAATTAGGAAGACACAATGGCAGCGATTCGTCATACGTTACAAAGGGAAGTGTTTACTCCCAGTGATGAAAAATTATTAAGTGTCTGTCATGTTAGCAAAGCCTACAAAAAGAAGAAAACAAGTTTTCTGTCTCTTGTTACTACCGTCGATACCCCAGGATCTGTGCTTCTTTATCAAGTGAAGAAAAACGACAAGCATATGTTTAAGAAAAAGCAAAACTGGCTCTTGAACGATGTTCAAATAGTGGATGGTATTAATAATGAATCTCTAGAATTAGAACTACACATTGATAAAGTTTATAAATGGTTGGCAACTTCAGCACAAGAGCGCAGGATATTTATTAGTAACTTATATACTTGTTCATGTAGTCTGCCACAAAGACCACAATTTAAGAACATTCCCAAAGATTGGTTGATTGACCCAACTTCAATGAAAGAAAGTGATAGCACTTCATTAGTACCAGGTAAAAGAAAATGTAATCAATGCGTTTAAGATTAATATAAAATATAGAAAACAATTGCAACCAGACAAATGTCGGGTCTATTATTAATGCTAACTATTTTATTGGTAGATCTCCTTACACCAACCATTTCAACAGACTATCAACCAATAACAGATAGTGAAGCTGCAGATTTAGCTGCATTAATGGATGGATGCGATTATGCTGTTTCTAATGCTGAATATTTTATGGAAACACTTTCAAAAGATTTATCAGTTCTTGATGGAGTATGTACATGTCATGTGAAATAATTTTGTTTATTCAATCATTTAGGTTTTACTGAAAATGTGTGATAACACAATATCTGTAATCGTTTTTAAATGTTCAATCAGGAAAACATACAATCTGTACTAGCATCTGAACCTCAGATAACACAGCTGATGAATGGCATTGAAGCTGCTATAACCGAAGCATCGTTAGTGGAAGCTCGACTCACCGCTTATGACGAAGCTCTTGGTAGAATTAGGGAAGCGATGGCTCGAGTAGGGCAGAAAAATCAAGCGATACATACTGCCAATCGCAATGCTAGACTTTTGTTGGAACAGCTTGATGCTGTAATTGTATGTTTATTTGTTATATTATTTTTCTAAGCATAATCTCACAAAATTTAATTTGTAAATTAAGACATATTTACAAGTATCTTAAAATAATGCATTATTTTGGATTTATGTTTCTGCAAGACCCAACTAGATATTCCTGCTAATCACTTACGAACCTTGAGCGAAGCAGAACTCCCGGGTGATCGAGAAGATCTCATCCAGGCAGGAATTGCATTATCAAAAGCAATATCAGCACCCCTTCCTCTTGGTCTTGACAGATTAAATGCTGTGACGGAACAACAAAAACGGCTGGACAAGCTAAAAGCCAAATTTTCTGTTACTGTTGCAAGACATTTGAATAATCTCTTCATATATTTAGTATGTATTGCATTAAGTAAAAAATATTAATTATTTTAATCACAAAATATAATATTTTAAATATATTGTTATCAGGGAAACGATGTCGGAGAAATTTCAGCATCGACTACAGATTTAACATTACCCAGTCATCAAACTGTACATCGAGAATTGGAACCTTACACGGAATTAATGCAATTATTAAGAACACTTGATAATAAGGCATTCATCCAATTGACTAAAGTTTATACGGGTAACATGAGTAAGCTGTATCAAAGAGATTTAAAACTTTTTTTTGAAGAAGCCAAAACACGCCTCGTAACCAAACAAAATCATGGTACGTATATGCTGAACGATTAATTTTAATATATTTAGAACTGAATTGAATATATTATTACAGCAACTGCGTCAAAATCAGGAGGGCAGAAAAGTGACGATGTGCTAACTCCAGCTCCGATTTGCCTATTAAGCTGTGAAGTATGGGAACCACGCGAAGATGGAAATTTACTTGACATGGTTCTTGATCGTGTTCTGTCGCAGTTACAACCTGTCTGTCTTGCAGAACAAGCATTCTGTATATCTTTTCTTCAATTAGATTCTGTTCTTTCACCTTCAAAAGTAAAATATTCTTTTCTAATTTAATTTTTCAAATTAGTACTCCTGAAGTCAACGAGATTGTTAATACAAAATTTCAATCATTAGAGCAACGAGGTTGAAGAAATTGACAATGCCAGCAGTGGTGCAAGGAGTCCTGGATCTGTCACATCAACAGCTAGTAAGAAGCTGGAGAAACAAGTAAATGAAGAAGTCCGTGCAACAATGGCAGCTATATTCCCTACACTTGAATCTGAACTCAACAACTTTATCTCATATCTAGATAAAATTGACAGTTTGTAAGTTTTGTGCCATACTTTTGTTTTCATACATAGATATTAGGTCTACCGGAAAGTTGTATCCATTTGTGCTGAAATTTGAGACGGCACTATTGGACAGAACTTTCTGATAGACCTAATAATTACTGAAATTAGAATGTGGAACATTTTTTTTAATATGCCAAATAATTTATGACGTTACATTTCAGTTGGTGTATGTTTGTACTGGTAAGATTATCGCAGCATGTAATGTCTGCACAAGATACAGGCTCATTTCTATCTATGACATTTGCATCTTCGCTAGTTCAAGTGAAACGAGCATTTGACAAATTCATGCAAGCTCAGCTACAGTGCATAGTGCGGGACAACAAAGTTAATCGCAGACACAAATGTGGAATATTATCATATGTAGAAAATTTTAAGCCTTTTGCCCAGATTGCTGAAAGAATTTTCAAGAATTCTGACAGAAAAGTCGATCTCGACAAATGGTACACCAAGCTAGTTGGTGCGATGTTTGAAGCAATAGTGGCTGATAGTGCTGAACATCACAAGACTCCTCAAGAAGTTATAAAGATGGGTACGCTATATTTTTATTGTAACAATTCTGTAATGTTAGTGTTGATATTTCATGTGGTATTCAAAATGTTGTGTTGAGTTTAATATTAAATTCGATCTTACTTTTCAGAAAACTTCCATCATCTTTATGATCTCCTTTCGCAATTGAAAATTCCGGTTTTGGATCACGAACGAAAAGAGGCTAAACAGAAGTATCAAGATGCATTGCGAGCTTATGTTGTACAATACTTTGGACGCCCACTGGAAAAGCTCAATGTACTTTATTGTTGTAATATTTTAAGACAATGCTCTAATTATTAGGTCTTAATCTAATACCAAAAAAAAATACTTACAGCTCTTTTTTGAAGGAGTACAAGCAAAAGTTAGTGCAGGTGTCAAGGAATCTGAAATTAGCTATCAAATGGCTTTCAGTAAACAGGAACTTCGCAGAGTCGTTAAAGAATATCCTGCGAGAGAAGTGAAAAAAGGGCTAGAAAATCTTTATAGAAAAGTTGAAAAACATCTTTGCGAAGAAGAGAATTTATTACAGGTAATTACGTAAAGCAGGATAATCAATGGACAAAATAAAACTAGTGTTCATTTACCCTGCTTCATCCTTCTGTGTAATTTACAGAACAAGGTACAATTAAAAACATTTACTATCAATTCAATGTTTAGGTCGTTTGGCGAGAAATGCAAGGAGAATTCATAGCACAATACATACACATAGAAGAACTGATCCAGCGATGTTACCCCGATAGCATGATAGCTCTGGAATTTTCTATTCAAGATATTTTAGAATTTTTTTCCGAAATTGCTCGATCTCACTGAAAAAAAATTGTACCAGCAATAAGAAAGAAGTATGTCTTTATAAATAATGTTATTAAATATTTAAGATGTAATATAATAAGTAAGATATATGTAGAATATTTATTTGCAAGTATATGTATATTGAAGTAAAAAAAATCTCATTGAATAGGAACACTTTAAGACCCTCTACTTTCTCAAAGGATATTGATAAAGGATGCGATTAAAGCTTATAACATATTTTATTAAATCTGAATTGGCATCTCACTGCCATTTAAAGTACAATCATTCGTATCAATGACCCAAGTTCTTCACATTCTACAAAACTTAGCTAGTATCATATTTTGAATTATTTGTCGTCCTCAGATGGTGGGAAAGCATTTAGGTATACCAATCCAGATTGCTTTGCCTGAAAAAGATATAAAAATTAATAATTTACCATATCTCATGTTATCACAGAGTAGATAAATTAATACTATCTGCAACAAATTCTGTCAAAGATATAGTGCAGTTAATAAAACATACAAATGCAATAGTGAAGATAAGACTGGCAATGCCCACAGCAAGATGAATGTTGTATCTTTTCTGCTTAGCTTCGTAATCTTTTTGCCATGATCCTTGCGGAACTGGTAGATCGTCCATCGTCACCGGCTTGAAATTTGGATCATGATAAAATCGTGCACCTTGACAGAATAAAGAAAAAATGTTAGTAGAAAATGAATGAATTTGTAATACATTAACAGGATTTTATATTTAAAAATAATGTAAAATAAGGTAAGAACAAAAATTGAATTATTTCAGCCAGTTCCCGTAATCATACATGGAAACTAATTCAAGTATCTTCTATGAGAGACTAAAAACGTCCAATGACATTTTCAATTTAAAGAGGATTACATGGAATAAAATAGGTGCCGTAGTCATACTTAGAAGTGATCGTGGTTTGCATGGGAGCTCGAGATTCGTGATGACATAACACGAGCAGGAGGCATTTTAGTAGGAGAGCATTAGGGAAGTTGAAACGGATCTGGGCTGGAGCTACAAAAACTGCAGAATAATTATATTTCTTACAGCATGCGATAGTTTCCTCGAACAATGCAGCCGTGCCTTTTCTAACACTAAATAATAGTAATACGCAAAATTTCATTTACCTCGCACAGCACCATAGCGAATTACCGGGCGAATGATTTGGTTAAACATTTTAAGGCGTCAGTGACTTCAAAGAAATCCAAATGAGCCCAAGATGGTAAATCTCGCCCTACTGGAATCGATTTATTTTACCAAGTAGCAGAAAAGACCAGCTATTTCTAGAATCGGTAGATAGAGAAACAGACCATCGATCCAAGTAATATCTAGAAAGTACTCGCAACTACAGCGCCCCTTGTCAAGGCCACTACGTAAACACACCTTTGCGGGAAATTTAAAACTTGAATCTCACAATCACTTAGCGCAAAATGTTTGATAGCCAATCATTGCTGCAGTTTGATACAGAAAATAAGAATTTCACATGTATTGGACAATCTGTTTAACGATCCACCACATCGTAAAAGAATTTTCTGGAATGTTTTGGAACGTTCCACATAGTTCGAAACGTTCCAGAAAATTCCAAGGAACGTTTTGAAACGTATCGAGCCGTGAAAAGAAGCGACATAAAGATACTAGAAATTTCAGGAAGCCTTAAAATTATCCAGAATGTTTTTATTTTCATTTTGAACTTATTGATGCATAATACTATTCATTTGCATTTGCAATTCACGCGCCTTCTAATGAAACTATATGTAGCTTTGTAAACTCTTTGGGCCGACGAGTCAATAGAAAAATAATTTTCTGGTTAATTTGAAATGATAAGTCGTAAATAAGGAAAAAAATTAGTACTTCGTTAATAGTTCATGGAGACGCGAGCTGTAATATTCACTTTCATCCTAAAAGCTTATCAAATAAATTAACATGATCACATCTTTGCTTTCCTTGATATCTACTAGTTTGTAAATCACCGATCTGAAATGCGTATTCTGCCCAATCAGCTTCTGCGCATCTCCTTTGCGCAGCGCCAGGATTGGCGGAGTATAAATACGCGTGCAGTCGTGGCGCGGAAGTCACATACGAAATTGAAACGTTTGAACGGAGTGCGGACCGTGCAGACTTCGCTGAGACGCAATATCGTGTTACGAGCGACGAGTCAAAAATATCATCGTATCTTCCGAGATATTGGCACAGGAGAACGAAGTAAATTGCATCGAAGTTTCTGGAGGCGACGGAAAGAGGATTTAAGTGGAGGTACGGAAATCAAAACGAGTTAGAAAAAGCAATACAAGGCAAACGTCAAGATGCCGGCTGTGGGAATAGATTTGGGAACGACGTATTCTTGCGTTGGAGTTTGGCAGCAAGGTAAGGTGGAAATAATTGCTAACGATCAAGGGAATAGAACCACCCCGAGTTATGTGGCATTTACCGACACCGAACGCCTCATCGGAGATGCTGCGAAAAACCAAGTTGCTATGAACCCTGCAAATACTGTCTTCGATGCTAAACGTTTGATCGGAAGACGTTACGATGACCAAAAGATTCAAGACGATATAAAGCACTGGCCTTTTAAGGTAGTGAACGATGGAGGGAAACCAAAGATAGAGGTAGAGTTCCGAGGTGAAATCAAGAAATTCAATCCCGAGGAGATCAGTTCCATGGTTCTGTCAAAGATGAGAGAGATCGCTGAAGCCTACCTGGGGAAGAAAGTCACCGAAGCTGTGATTACAGTTCCGGCTTACTTTAATGATTCCCAGCGACAAGCTACTAAGGATGCTGGTACTATTGCTGGTCTTAACGTCCTTAGGATTATTAACGAGCCAACCGCTGCTGCTCTTGCCTATGGACTTGATAAAAATTTGAAAGGAGAAAGAAACGTCTTGATTTTTGATTTGGGTGGAGGCACTTTTGATGTTTCTATTCTATCGATAGACGAAGGTTCACTTTTTGAAGTGAAATCTACTGCTGGAGATACTCATTTGGGTGGAGAGGACTTTGACAACCGATTGGTAGAGCATTTTTCAAGAGAATTTGAAAGGAAATACAAGAAGAACTTGAGAACCAATCCACGAGCGATTCGCAGATTAAGAACTAGCGCTGAACGTGCAAAACGCACGTTGTCTTCCAGTACTGAGGCATCATTGGAGATCGACGCTTTGTACGAGGGTATCGATTTTTATACTAAAATCTCCAGAGCCAGATTTGAGGAGTTATGTGCCGATCTTTTCCGCTCTACTCTTGAACCAGTTGAGAAGGCATTAACCGATGCCAAGTTGGATAAAAAATCCATTCATGATATCGTACTGGTTGGAGGTTCCACTCGAATTCCCAAAATCCAGTCTCTCTTGCAAAATTTCTTCTGTGGAAAGCAACTGAATCTTTCGATTAATCCTGACGAGGCTGTTGCTTATGGCGCCGCCGTCCAAGCTGCTATCCTTACCGGGGAAGGAAGCACGAGCGCTGCATTGCAGGATGTTCTTTTGGTGGATGTCACTCCACTTTCTTTGGGCATTGAAACTGCTGGTGGGGTTATGACCAACATCATTGAACGCAATGCTCGCATTCCTTGTAAGCAGACTCAAACGTTTACAACATTTGCTGACAATCAGCCTGCTGTTACAATTCAAGTATTCGAGGGCGAACGAGCAATGACCAAAGACAACAACTTGCTGGGAACATTTGAGTTAACTGGAATTGCTCCAGCACCAAGAGGTGTTCCAAAGATTGAAGTCACATTTGATTTGGATGCCAATGGAATTCTGCATGTCACAGCCAAGGATACTGCAAGTGGGCGTAGTAGCGATGTAAGAATCACTAACAATAAAGGAAGATTGTCTCGTGCTGAAATCGATAGAATGCTTGAAGAAGCAGAGCGCTATCGTGAACAAGATCAGGCACAACGTGAAAAAGTAGCTGCTCGCAATCAACTAGAATCTTACGTATTCTCATTGAAACAGTCAGCTCAAGATTCTGGATCCAAATTGTCACAGCAAGATAAAGACACCGTTACCAATTTATGCGAGGAAACTGTACACTGGTTAGATGCAAATCTACTGGCCGAGAAAGATGAATATCAGCACAAGTTGGAAACTCTGCAAAAACAATGTTCTCCGATTATGACAAAAATTCACCAAGGTGGAAAAAGTTCTGGAGGACCAACACAAGGAGGAAATAGTTCCGGGCCTACTATCGAAGAAGTTGACTAAACCCATACTGCATTTACAGTTGTCTCTATTTGTGAAGCTTTCAAGCCAATTATAAATGGCATTTTTTTTATCTATGTTATAAATAGCTCGGAAAAAAAGAGACGAATAAGACTGCAAAGAAAAGAAAAATAAGTATTAAGAAACTGGACAGAAATTAAAGGTGTTCTGTTCCAATTTTTTAAATAAAAATTCCATGTACATCTATTCTTGTTCTGGTCATATTCGACTCTTTTTATTACGAGATATATTAAGTTCCTTTCCAAGGATATAAAAGCTGCTCATTTTTATAATTATATATTTGAAATTATTACACATGTATTTTACAAAGTCATTCATCTTTTTATATGTTTTAAAATAAAGATTCAAGTGTAATTTCATCTTTTTACCTCTCATTTATACTTTCCCTACACTCCATATTTAGCATCATCGAGACCAATTTAATTTCAAGTAAGATTCAAAATGAATTGATACGAATGTGCTAATGTATAAATCCATTGAATTACCATTTTTTGACGTACCTATTTTTAATGCATTTCATATATTTTTTTTTATTAGCATTCGATTAAATTATACATATTCACTTATGTATCTATCGAATGTGAATGGTAAGATGCACACCACAGACTCAAAACGTTTTTTATTATTTTAAATATAACTTCGTACAGAGATGCTGCTTCGTATTATATGAAAAAATGAAATTTTCCGAACGTCAATTTCAGAATCTCAAAGCATGCAAATATCAAAGATGAATTGGGAGATTGCTCACGGGCAGGGTCGAAGTAAACAATGTTTGTTGTCACTGGTTGTCACAGAGTATGAGTTGGAAGCAGAGACGAGGAGTATCCCTGAATTGGGCCGCCATTGGGGGATATCAAGTGGCAAGTGTGTTAGCCGTCCACATGATCCACCAGGGGGCAGTATAGGACGCGATCACGTGACCCTGCCCGTGAGCGATCTCCCAACTCATCTCTGTAAATACATGTTTCTCTGTGATTTCTACGTCGTAGACTAAATCATAAACATCGAGTCTAGCGGAAATCGCTTTCTTATTGGTTTAACCGTCAGACATGATTTCTTAACAACCAATCAAACGCGGTCCTTTTGGTCACGCAGATTCCGGAAGTTTCGAGAGTGGACACGAGTTTTCCACCTTCAAACATCGCGTGAACATAGACTTTCACTTCCGCGGATGTACGGTGCGGTTCTTGGTAAGTTTGCCGAATACTTATTCCGTTTTATCGTATTTATTCGTCTTTCGGACGAATTATAATTATGTTTTAGATATTTATACGTTTTTAATAATTCGAAGTATCAATATCGGTGTATTATCTTAGGCGTACTTTGCTTACAAGGTAAAAAGTAACAAGAAATGTGAAGTGACACTTACCCACGTTTCGATGGTCTACACACGTCGCGAGTGCTATGAAATAAGATGTTCGTAAAGTATCGCTTATGGGAATAGAGTAATTATCACAAGTTAAATCGAATCACTAGGAAGTAAAGGATTACATGTAGATCTATTCTCTTCATAGAGCTACTTCTTGGTTTTTAATTTTTTACACGAAGTATAAAAAGTTTTATATTAAAAGTTAGGTTAAAGGATTAAGACCGGTTTTTTCCTGATACATATCGTATTGTTCTTATATTGATTAAGAGTTTTAACACAGAAATTTTACATTATTATTCATAATGGAGAATGTCTACATTGAATGTAGGAAACAAACCCATTGACAAGTAATAAAGTAGGTAAGTGGTTTGCTGTATTTAGTTTATTTTGTGAACTCTTATGTTAGCGAACACTATGTGTTCGCGTAAAAAATATAAACATCTAATTTTTCTGTTCAATAGACCAAAGTGGGTGGGATCGAGCAAGGCCCTCAAAAGGATTTGGAACGAAAACTGGGATAAAATAAGATAACAACATGCCACAGAACGAGTATATTGAAAGGCATCGGAAATTGTATGGCAGGCGTTTGGATTATGAAGAACGCAAGAGGAAACGAGACGCACGTGAACCACGTAGACGTGCTGAACAAGCACGTAGTTTACGGGGCATTAAGGCTAAGATATTCAACAAGAAACGTCGAAATGAAAAGATTCAAATGAAGAAGAAGATTAAGGCTCATGAAGAGAAAAAAGTCAAACAGAAAGTCAAGCCTACTCCAGAGGGTGCATTACCAGTTTACCTTTTGGACAGAGATGTCACATCTCGTGCAAAAGTTTTATCTAATATGATAAAACAAAAACGTAAAGAAAAGGCCGGAAAATGGGATGTGCCGATTCCAAAAGTAAGGGCACAGTCTGATTCAGAAGTGTTTAAGATAATGAAGAGTGGTAAAACAAAACGCAAGTCATGGAAGAGAATGGTTACAAAAGTTACATTTGTTGGAGAAAATTTTACTAGGAAACCACCAAAGTTTGAAAGATTCATTAGACCAATGGCTTTGCGATTTAAAAAGGCACACGTTACTCACCCAGAATTAAAGGCTACATTCTGCTTACCTATAATTGGAGTTAAGAAAAATCCAAATTCACCAATGTACACGAGTTTAGGAGTAATAACCAAAGGAACGGTTATTGAAGTAAATATTTCGGAACTAGGGCTGGTGACACAATCTGGAAAAGTTGTTTGGGGAAAATATGCACAAGTGACGAATAACCCGGAAAATGATGGTTGCATCAATGCAGTTTTACTAGTATAACTTCCTACAATTGGATTTCAATTTTCTGAAACATTAAATTTGTAACTATGATACTGAATGAAATTATGAATAAAACCAATGGAATTGTTGAGTATGATATAAGTGTTGTATTTTTTCTATGATATACTCCCTCCTAATATGTCCGTCATGTTACCTTAATCCTTTATAGAAATATCAGCAATTTGAAATAGGTACAATAGTATCACTATAGATTATTATTACCCATAACTGTCAGCGCATTATGATCAAAATACTCTTGATTTACAAAGTTACTTTATAATAATTGCAAATAAAAATAACAAAAATGTTGCAGGTTTTATACAAAGAACTTCACCATGCAGATTTTTGTAAAGACTTTAACGGGGAAGACCATTACCCTTGAGGTTGAAGCCTCTGATACCATCGAAAATGTCAAAGCAAAGATTCAAGATAAAGAGGGTAAGATTTATCTATACTTTTTGTAAATGATTGAACGAACATTCACAAAATTTCATCTTGACACCTTTGTTTCCTAAAGGCATTCCACCTGATCAGCAGAGGTTAATTTTTGCTGGTAAGCAGCTTGAGGATGGAAGAACTTTGTCGGATTACAATATCCAAAAGGAGTCAACGTTACACTTGGTATTGAGGCTGAGAGGTGGAGCAAAGAAACGTAAGAAGAAGAACTACTCGACTCCAAAGAAGATCAAACACAAGAAGAAGAAGGTTAAGCTTGCCGTGTTAAAGTTTTACAAGGTAAACATAGTTTTACGACTTTCAAATTAAATAACATTCCTTTTTCAAGATGTGTATGTCTGAAATGGAATGTATGACTTAAAAGATTTTTTATATCTAAATTGATCTTGTTATAGCACTAAGTTGTTCAAACCACTAATAAAAGAAATCTTACGTGTTAATAGGTGGATGAAAATGGTAAAATTCATCGACTCAGACGTGAGTGTCCTTCTGAACAGTGCGGGGCAGGAGTCTTCATGGCTGCCATGGAGGATCGGCACTATTGTGGAAAATGCGGTTATACTCTCGTTTTTAACAAACCCGAAGACAAGTAAATGATGAGTACGATAAACATGAGATTGATAACTTTGACCAACCGCCATTTGTTAATACATGTATGACAGTAGATATTACATGAATAAAGTATTTGTCGATCTCAATTGTTCGTGTATATACTTTATTTTTACTCGCTAAATTTACAGCCGTGTATACATACTCGTCTCTTATTTAACTTCGAGCAACATTGATTGAATGGAAAGAAAAAATATTTCTCATCTGTATGCAGCTACACGGAATTCTCTAGATGCACTGTGCGTATTAATAGCTCAAATGCATGCAAGAGTGTAACGGTAATATTTAAAATAGCGTAATACACCCTAGATACAATAGATGGTAGTGGACTGGCAAATGGATATCAAACGATTTCACAATGAGCGCATTTTTCATTACTGTTTACAATATTGTCAAGAGGACATAGGTGATACATTAACGCATGATATTATACACATGTTTTTAAAAGTACTATTAAACTTAAGTCATATTTCCAACTTAATTCTGTAGCTTTTAAAAATTATGGAATACGGCATAGAATAAAGTAACTACAATTCAATCGATCAAAAAGACAGTAGTAGCATTTTTTAGTACCTGTATCGACATTACTTTAACAACTTAATTGATTATTCCAAGCATCTGTATCTACAATAATTTTTTTTATTATAAATTATCTCGGAGAAAAGTATTGCTATCAATTGTATCAAGTTTGTGCCATAATAATATGTACATATTGTGGTATAGTAGGAGCTCACAAAAATTGACTGATCAACTAAACTGTGAATTATTAAAATTTAATTCGCAGTATGGACTTATCTTTCATAAGGCTGTTAAGTTATGATTTCATAACAGAATTTTATTTTATTTCCACAATTAATCGAAATAAGATAATTGATTAATAATTGTGGAAGCACAAGATATACATCCGCATGTCTACATGTACAGAAATTTATTGACTCGTCAGTACCAAGAAATTAATAAAATATTTTACGTCCATCAACACAATGAACGCACCTAAATAAGTAATTAATTGAGGTACTAATCAAATTTCAACATTTGATGCTAAGTAGAATTTTACTTTCATTGATAAATGAATTTCGATTTAATACTAACTACGGGTTTAAATTGAACCCGGGAACATACATGATTTTAAGTAAAATACAAAATAAACGCACTTTTTGGGAATTTTAGTTTCCTTGATGATTTAAATTATTCAGAAAAGGAAAAAGGTAACAAGTTTTCTTAAATATTTTGGCCAGTATTTTGTGATAGCCACGAGAATAGGAAAGGTCGTAACTTGTATCAGAAAGAAGCTTCTCTCAGCATATGTCAAATATACTAAATGAACTTCAAGGCGTTCTGTGTTTACTGCTTTCGTAACATTGGAACTTACGGAATATGATGGAAAGATTGGATATATTGCTATTACATTTCAGGGTTATTACTGCGTTGCTCACTGCGGGAATTCTTTACACCTGGCTTTAGTACAGAAAACATTTTTTCCGATGCAGTGGGGTGAATACTCATCTGCAATTCCGTTAGAGACTCTTCCGTCTGGAAGAGAATTAAAATAAAAAATACCGCATGCAAAAGGTAATAAATTTTCATTAAAATTCCAGTCCACTTTCTTGTTAATCGAAACAACTAGAGAGGAGACTGACCTGTCTAAGTAATTGCGAGGCAGTATGTAGTACCCTTTGCCATTTCCTCATTTCCACATTATGAAGACTTTCTTGTTGCTGCAACAAATTAATCCAATCCTCCTCCGTTTTCGGGGCATTTCTGAAAAAAGAAATTTCAATTTTATCGAATAAACTCATTGCTCGGTGCAGAACGACTTCCAAAAGAACTTAATACATCAAGCTGGTGACTTATAAATAAACAATGCAATATGCGTGTATGATTCGCGGGACTTTTTAAAACGACGCAAAAGCTTTTGTTACTTCAACGATCCTTCGGAAAAGAAAAGGATAGTCTTCAAATGGTTAAGCAAGTCGTACCTTCGGAAACTCTACAATCAAACTTTCTGGCAAGTTTCTTGAGCTTCGTTTAACTGTCACTCTGCCAATCGACAGGTTGCTTTGGGCTTAAATCTCGCACGGAGATCATCTTCGGGATCGGTGTTTTAACTTATCTAGGAGATTTCATCGACAACGAATCCTGCGTCACGTCTCATAAAGGGAATTCTTTAGAAAGAAGACTTTCATAAAGGATATGCTTTTATTCTGTTTATTTTATTATTAAGGACATACTCTTGTTCCGTTTAAATCATAACAAAGTAATTTTAAGACTCCACGTAAGGCCAATTCGATAACTGAGGTGACGCCGGATATTGAACAATCCTAACGTTTCGAAATGACAATGGTGGAAATGGATACTTTATGATGAGACAAGCAAATCCTAACAAAATGTTTACATACTTGAGAACGTGTAGGTCCATTATGGTATAAGCGGCTGCCTCCTCCAATCCCCATAATTTATAGTAAAGTAATCCATTAATTAATGTTAAACACAACACGGCTACTAACAAGACCCAGCTCAATACATTGCTCGTATCGTTTCGAACTTCTGAAACTACAAAAGATAATTATTATCCTACATTTTTTTCTACTTCTAGTTATACTACATTTCTACATTAATACACTATATAATATTCTACGTATAAAGGGTGATCCGAAATTCTTACGTCGGTGCTCAGTTTAAGAACATTTTTTAAACTTTCAAGATTAATAGTTGAGGGTGATACACGTAAAACGAAATGTGGAAATTTAAAATCTATTTTATAGCATACCGTGATTGCTATGAATGTGAGGTAGTTCCGCTGCAGTCACCGGATGAACTACCGACGAAAGCTCCGGAGGGTGAGCTTGCAAAGCAATTCCTGCAGCCGTAACGCGTCTTCTTCTTCTGGCTTTCCTTTTTATTCCACCGCTGATATTCACTTCTTCGCATTCCACGCTCAAAGCCTTCACTAGACTACTGAAATACTCATCTAATCCCGCCCAGCAGTTTTTCTCAATTAAACCTGATTAAATATAAAAAATATTATGATTACAAATCGACCCAAAAGGGTAAAGCAATGCTGAAAGTAGCTATACTAAGTGCGAGTACTTACTTCTTACAAATGCCCAAACACTCTTTCTATACTTTATTTGTGCAAAGATCGTTAGACTTGTTTCATTCTCGGATGTACTAAGCATACAATAGTGCGTTAAGACGCTGAAAGAATCGGCATAAGGAATACCGGAATTTAAACTTTCTACATCGATACAGTAAAGAACACCAGGTTTGCTACACGGTAGCATTATCTGAAATATTTGAAGCTCGTTTTTAAATTGATAATATATATATTAACAAATAAATAGATTATAATATGTAGTTATAGGCTTCTGAATACCTGAGTTTCCGTAACCTGTGACGTTCTGGGACCCATGGATTGGTTTAAAGACAGGATTAAAGAAACATTTCTCATTTTCTGCCCTGTCTGATTATTTTGTACCCATGCAGATTGTACCAAATCTTAAAAGTGAAATATATAAAAAATATAGAACGTGCATGATTCCTATACGTATTTTTAAATACAATACGCTTTTGAATTATAATTTGCTGGACTTTCAAATTACGTATTATGCCAATGTCTATGTAATAATTGATGCAATATTAACACCGCTTAACCATCAAATACTGCTGGTTTAGGGAATCACTGTATATCTCTAAACGTAACTTTGTATAAAATATTTCACACATTCTATTAAGGTAATATAAGACATTAAATAATCCATTGTAAGAATGAGTACATATAATAAATTAATTACAACTTTACCAGTCGTCTTTCGGGCTGTATGAAAGTCTAAGAAAAATTTAGAACTTGTAAAGAGAAGAGTGAACAGCTGATCAATGTGGACCGGCAATGTGACTTTCTGCAGCTGTCGACCTTTATGGACTGACGTACAAGTCGGAACTCCACGAAGACCAACTTTCACTACGTCAGAAAATTAAAAGAGGTATAAAGTGTGTTAATGTATTCATAATCAACGGAAATTAATAACACGTCCATGGTACAAAACGTAAAATTACAAGGCACGTTAAAAACTTACAAGCATGTTTTTCTGCTTCACTCTCAGTAGTATCACTCAAATCTGTTGGATCTAAAGCTGATTGAGGTCTAGATTGTTGAACTAATTGTGGTGGCTGCTCGCAAGCAGTTTCCTCAATCTGTTCAACTACAGGTTCAGTCACAGCTGGTACTGGACTATCCATAGTTGATACCGCTTCAGCCTATTGAAAAACATTAAACGTGAACTTAAATTCAAGGGTGTCTCAGTCTAATCGTGTACAAAATGTAACAAATATAGAACGGTGAACTAGATAGTAAAAATAAATTTAAAGAACAGTTTATCAAAATACCTCCGAAAAAGATTCTACCGATAAACGAGTTGATAACTTTTCGTCTTCGGTAGCAGATGTCGGTGGGACATAATCTTCATCATCTGATGTTAGTCCTAATTCCGCTCCGTAACTGGTGTGGACTAATTGCCACATTTCCGTTGTACTCATTGGCTGAAATAGAATGGCAAAAGCTTATTACATCAACTTGTACATAAAAACTCCATTCTTCTTCAGCAATCATATACATAATTTTCAATCTTTTACAAAATAATGATACAACAAATATGTCAATTTTTTTAGTCATTTCTATGTAATTCCGTATAAATTAAACGGTTATACCTGGCCTATTAAAGCATTTTGCCAAACACGAAATAACATTAGATAAGTCTTATCTCTCGCCCCAAACGTTGTTAAGAAGAATTTGTCAGTTTCGGTGGAGATTAGAATAGCATTTGGAATAACAATTGCTGTCTTTTCTTTGGTGATTGACGTAACGTCCTTCCAGCGTAATGACACTAATGTTTCCCATGTAAAAATATTTGCATAAAAGCATACATAGTTTTGTGTGACATATAATCTTCCATGAGCTAATATTTCTCGCTGAAGAGCACACGAATAATCTAAAACAATCATACAAAATGAAGGCAATCAATTACAGCATTTGTACGACGCCAAAGAATGATAATTCACTTTTAAGGCTCAATTTGTAGTTGTTTTCATTTTTGGTACTTGTCTAATATTTATTACTACATAAATATTAAAAATAACATTTTACACTGACCTACAACTAGTCTCTCATCATCTGGTACATCTTTAAATATCTTTTTAAAGTCTTCCGAACGAGATTTATATGTTGGATAGAGAACACTATACCACGAAGGTTTCTTTTTGCTTCGCTCCCTTGGTTCTTTCTTTCCTTCATTTGCAGAATGTTTAACAGGTTCAGCCGAGTCTGACGATCGACTAGTGACTTCCTGTAAATATGTATGCATCCACTACGGTATTCTAATTAATATTTTTATCAACACTAGAACAATCAGTACATTTTTCGTCTTTGATGTGAAATCTGAAATATTTGTCAATCTGCCAGGTTTGATTGGTCCAGTGTTAAATCAACAATTAGTATTGAACGACACTACTGATGCCAGAATCATAAATACCTGAATTTGCTGATCCTCTGATTTGCTTAAATTTATTGACCCTTTATGAGACGAGTAAGAACTAGAATTTTGCTTGGCAAGATCACGTTTCGTAAAAGATCGTGGGCTTGGGCGAGGAGACAAATTAGGACTAAGACCAGGACTACCTCGATCTGTTCCTGTCGTAGAACCATGATCTTGTGCATTCTCACAGGGAATACCATTTCCTAGTGTTCCAGGAGAATCTTGACTGCCTAACGATGACGAGTTTATGCTACTAATTACCTCATGACTTGAAATTAACAAGTTTTCAACAGATTTGTTCCTGAAAAGAACATGATTGTATACTAATTAAACGATAATTAATATTTCTATAGAATGCTTTGTACATTACATAGCGGAACAAATTCACATATTTTGGACAGAAAGTACTTACAATGTAAAAAATTTAAGAAACATTATATAATGTTTCACAAATTTTATACACACTACCAACAATACAAAGAAAGAATGCTAGCTACTCTGTGCAGAACGTAATCCACCATTGAATGGAACAAAAGCACTATCAAAGTTGAATGACTAACCCAGGTCAGAAGTACAAAATAGATACTTCAGAAAAACTGTTTAAGATAAGTCTTCTGGAAAATGATTCATACTTTCAGTGATATCGAAAGGTGATAACCTTTCAAAAGAAAACATTTATATTTCGCCATGGTTGATATTATCTCAAAATATATAATTACACGTACGACCGAGGGTAAGAGTTTATTGAACCTTGCATAGTGCAGTCACATTATGAAGTCACAATATGGCAGTTCTCTCATTTATGAGAGGAAAAGTTTTCGAAATTGCAAACTTAAAGATTTTCGGATAATACATATGTACCAAAGATATAAAAATGAACATGTGCCATTGAAATATTTCATATGATAAACAATATTTCACATGGAAACACCAATTTGCGTTCTTAGGAAGGGAACATCGATGTAAGTAAATAATACAAGAGAAACACAAAATTGCAATCTTTAAAAGAATATAAATTCTCAAAAATGATTTAAAACCGACTTCCATAATCCATGAAAGATAAGGATGTATTAATCACGCAAAATGGATCCATGCTGAGCCAACGAAGTGCATTCGCTAGAAAAGCAACGGTTATACGATAATGTGAATGATTTCAAACCTATTCTGTTTTAAATGAAGTAAACAAGTGGTGCAGACGTTAAGTGATTGAATTTTCCAGAACGTAGTCCATGCATTGCATTAGAAAGAGTGCACCCGAGAGAAAAATACTTACATTCTCGTAGGAGAGTGATCTGAGACGGATTCTATCTCAAAGTACATAATATCTGCAGAGCGATGCGGCGGAAAGCTCAGCTGAGCGATCTGTCATCCACCGCATCCTCGATCCGTCAACCTTTCGACGCATAACTCAAAGAAACCGACATGACCGCCGAAAGAAAGCGCTCACCGATTAAGATCCAAAACACTCCAGAACTTGACCCTTCGGCAATGATCGATCACGGGATTCAAAGAACAATGCTCCAATAACTGCTTTCCGTGAACACCAGAAACAGCAATGACACGTTTGCGAACGTTCGGTTCGCAATGTGTGCCAACAGAAATGGAAGAACGAGCGCTTTTGAACGTAGCTCGCAAACGACGGAGAGCGTCAAGACTCCTTAACCTAAAATAGTACACAAAACACCGTTTCCTTTCCTCATGAAAGGATGCGAATGAAACCTTCTTTCTGACAGGACATAATTTATATCGATCAGTTTTTCTTTTTTTGCAATCTTTCTTCGCGTCAGACAATGGTTCTGATAGAATGATAAGAATTATGTACCCTCAAATAACGCCCTCTGTTATGAACTAGGCACACGAGCTTAAACGTTATCAATGTTTTTATTCATTATTATTGGAAATCGCACACTAGATTGGTTCTTTCCGACGTATTCTAGATGTCTATTGGTAGGCTAAAGGTACATTTTCACTTACCTCGTAGCTACAAAATTGCTTGCAACAAATCGCTACGATTGGTTAAAAGTAGACGATATCCCTCATGGATAATACACAAGAATTGCGGGCTGGCAATACCGCCGCCATCTTGGGGCCGTGTCTAATAGTTCCGGTGTCCAAAAGGTCTATGTCCAATTGTGACTCACTCCTCCAGCATGCGAGCGTATACACATAATGCAGTCGTTCATTGTATACCGTACTTGTGGATCCGCCAGAATTTCTCTTCGGCCCTGTGAAACCGTGACGATAGACGTTTCGCTGTCACGGTAGGAAGCTCGAATTGGCTGGCCTCCCGGGAACAAGAGGGAGTGAAACGCGGTGAAACATCACCGCCTGCCATTCTGGCATTACGTCAATGGTAAAGATCTGATTCGTTCGCTTGGGAGGAGGTTCTACGACCGCCATTGTTTCACGTCTTTCGTATTTCGAGATATAAACTGTAAGTCCAGTCGCAATCCTCCTGATAATTTGGTGGGAGAGGACGAGTCACTTGTCGAGCACGCGGCGAATATCGAGTAAGATTGCGCGAAGCATCGTCCTTGGCGTATCATGTCCACGATGAATCCCGAATAGTAAGTAAACGATACTCTTTGCCAAGCTATATAGATGTATGTATCGCCTCGCTACGAGTTGCACTCTTGGCGTATGCGTTTACCTGTACGCTCGATCTCCCGTCTCGGGAGCGCGAGTGCGTATAGGCGGTGCGACTCGCTTAACAGCTGCCGCAAAATCTACCCACTTGTCAAGACAACTACAGGCCGTCGTGTTATCGTTTGATAAGAATTTAAAATTCCACTTCGCCCGACTGACAGGTTGCCTTGCCTGACACATTCTGGTCCACGGCCCAGCCTACTTTTTAATGAATGCTTTTTTATGGGCGCCTTTGTGTGCCTTGTCATCTTTAGTGCGTGACTTCTTTTATTGTTGTCCCCCCCCCACTTAAGGTTGGATTAATAAATAATAAATCGATACTAATGATAAACAATTCTACCCATTTGAAGTACATTGATAAATTTTATTGACAGTGATCTTTTAATGGTTATTTATTTTATAATCCGTCATTGGTTACTGGGCCAACGTAAGCGTGCAATTTGTTGGTGGATTTTATGCACTTTAAATTACCCCCACCCCCCCTTTTTTTTTTTCATAGTTCAGGCAGTTTCCTTTCACTTGCGAGGATCGTAACATCTTGAAATGCAAAAATATTGGGATTACGTCTAATACTACTTTTGTGATCTGCTGCAGTGATTATTTGTTCAAACTACTGCTCATTGGTGACTCCGGTGTTGGAAAGTCTTGCTTATTGTTGCGTTTTGCCGATGATACCTACACCGAGAGTTATATCAGTACTATTGGCGTGGACTTCAAAATCAGGACGATTGAGCTAGATAAAAAGACGATAAAACTCCAAATCTGGGACACAGCAGGCCAGGAACGATTCAGAACTATCACGAGTTCGTATTATCGAGGCGCACATGGTATAATCGTTGTATACGATTGTACAGACCAAGAATCTTTTAATAATGTCAAACAGTGGCTTGAAGAAATCGATCGCTATGCCAGTGATAACGTTAATAAGCTGCTGGTCGGCAATAAATGTGATCTTGAAGCTAAAAAAGTCGTTGATTATCACACAGCCAAGGTATGAAAAATTAACTGCTGTTAGCTTATACGGACTGGTTTTGTATGTTTATGTAATAAAATTTAATTAAAACAATATTGCTTGTTACATATAGGAATATGCAGATCAACTCGGCATTCCATTCTTGGAGACATCGGCGAAAAATGCAATGAATGTCGAACAGGCTTTTATGACAATGGCTGCTGAGATCAAGATTAGAGTAGGGCCTCCGCCCAGTGCACCAAGTGATCCTGCTAGCAAGGTGAAAATTGATCAAGGGCGTTCCATCGAGACCTCTAAGTCCGGATGCTGCTGAAGTGTTTAAATTTGCATCCGTTAACCAAAGTGAGTAAACCGTAAATAATATATGACCAATATTAATTTAAATAACAATTCTTCTCCAATTATTCCCATTGTTAAATTTTCACGTTCTTTATTTGCTTCAGAAGAACGCTGCAGCGCATCGATGCTGCAACATGGGGATAAACTTGACAACTGAAGAGGAGCAGCAATTGCAAACTTCGGTTGATTAACAAAAAGGGGGAGGGGGGAAGTAAGGCAAAGCAAGGACCATCGATACTGCTACCAAGTTGTACCGGATTCATTCATTTTGATTTTTAAGAATAGGTGAGAATAATTATTCAGTGATGGTTGACCGGGATGCGACAATTGTAGGATGATTCAAAGCGCGAGCTTTGGAACCACTGATTGTGAATACAATGGTGCGATTACTGGCAATTCAAGTTTAATAAGTGAATTAAATAACACTGTATGGCGATTATAAAAATAAGCATCTTTATTTTTTAGCCTAATTGTAATATGTATAGGTAGATATATATATATACACCCATATATATCTATGTACACATACTCTATCCTTCATGACATCACCTCATGTCCTCCCCTCTTTTTATCTGCCTCCAATGTCCCCTGTCCACGTGCCTAGGTTTAATTCCCATAACACCTAGTCTCTCGCTCTGGTTGTAATGGGAACCTTTTGGAGCCCGTTAAAACAAATCGCCTCCTTTCTCTCTACTCATTCCCGTTTAATATTGTAATTTAGTAATATAATATCAATAAATATTTGGACAGCTAACGCATCTTCTACCGCAAAGAAGTTAACCCATGAAGACAGAGAACTGAAAGGTTAAATTCCGATTTTTTTAGTGAAAATACATAAAGCATACAATGTAAAATCAAAGCTGTTTTTAACCGTGTAAAAACCACTGCCATATCGCGCAAAATTGTTATACATATATATTGTAACAAAGGCATTGAGGTAAATCCTTTTCTTGTTAATTTTTCATTACTATCTTACTCTGTATGCGAAGGTTAACAAGGTAAAGTTGCGTACTGCTGTATTCAAGTAAAGAAACATTGATTATAAAGTCGAATTAAACTGCGAAGAATGTGGATTGCTTATCTCGTGTGAAAATGTGTTCTCTAATGTTGCAGTTTCACCTGCGTATACATACTGGATGTAGGTATTTATATAAATTACAATGAAATGTACAAGGTTGTAGCAAACGTATTAATTTTATTGACATACAGTTATACGATAAAGTGCCCTTGCTCTACTGCTCTACAGACGAGCGTTAAGTTTCGGTACAGTGAAAATTATTATTATTAATCGCGTTTCTTTTTTTTTTCCTAGGGATACTGAAGATATACATATATATGTATATAATATATACAGCTGAGTCCTAATTATAAAGTACCGCGCATAAAACCTGTCCAGTTTAATCGTCAAAATGAAAAGTAGTACTCGATTAAAAATGATACGCATGGACGATTCTGGCAGTAAAAACTAACGTGTTCATCTTGGACAATCAATTTTCACATACTTGCAGATTCAGACAGAAATTGGAACTTATTATCTACTGTAAGTGCATCAGTATGACCGTTTGCCTTTGATTCATATACTTCGATCGATGATATAAAAAAAAAATGTCTAATTGGTTGCAGTCACCGATACTCATTCAAAACCTTACATTCAGTTTCAACTAGCTCGTATGAAAAGTTACCGATTTGAATATAACTATACAGTTACTGCGTGTGCATCTTACGCATCAAGATGTATTTATAAACATAGGGAAATTTAAATCAACCGATCTAAATGTACAGGAATGATGTCTAACACTACTCAGCGTCACTAAAATTGAATACGCTTATGTATCGTAGGATGAAGACGCAGTATAAAACTAGTTTCAGAATGCACAAATATTTGTCAAGGGCATGTCGGTGTGTACCTTCCGTGGCAGAGAACTTGTATTTAATTTCGAGTTTCACGATGGGTGATTAATATAGTTAATATGCGAGAACCACGAAGAAACTATCGATTATCAAATCACACTTAAATGAGAGGCAGACACATGAGCGATAATCACTTGTTTTTTGTTGTTTTGGTGGGACCAGCTCTCACAATGAAGAATGTACTTAAGTAGTAATTAGTAGTTGAGTACAATACTGAACTTTGAACTGCAATGTATAAAACGTGCAGATTTTCGCAAGGAAACGTTCAAATTTGGAAGTTCGGATTATTTTTATAATCCACCGTAATGTACATGCTGCGAGAACACAAGATACTATCTCAAACTTTGATCCCTAGTAGATAGCATTTTATAATGTAGCTATTGACCATTACTAATCGAGAAAATAGGAAGTTATGTAATATAAAGACGTATGAGAACAATTGAGATTCTAGAAAGTAAAAACATTCTGGTGAACTCGCAACACAGATTTATATCAATGACTAATGGGTCAAAAACGCTCATGACAGGACCCATAATGATAAAATAGGAATATGCAACAAAAGTTTTCACGAATTACGTTCCTTTTTTAATTAGATGAAGCTAACGATCGCAAATAGGAATAGTATGTGCGATACATACACAGTATGTCATCTCATTTCACTTTCTATGCTCTCAAGCTACCCAGCCACGTATGAATTTCTGATATCTTCTATTATTTCTTTCTGTCACGTGGTGGACTACATGGCCTTAATGCATGGGAGAATACGCGGAAGTTGAAGGGATTAATCACATCAGCGCATGCGATAAGTGTTGGTTTCGTGAACTTGGCAGAGTTCCCCCTTAAAATCCAATTCAATACTAAAGTCCAAATCACGGTAATTCCTGGCATTGGGTTTCATGGAGAATATTCCATAGATTTCCTCTCCCTTTTTCACAGTCATGTACTCGTCAAAATAAAAGACAGTTTGCTTCCAATGAGTATATTGCACTTCAGGTGCTGTACTAAAGCCCATACGTTTATGGCACTTTGTGAATTCAATGTTGAAGAACGTAACCAATGCTTGAACGTAATCATTTCTGCGGACTTGTAGGCTAAACGGAGACGAGAAATCTAAATCAGCTTTTGTGACCGTATACAGATCTACTTCTTTGATGAGACATGCATTTGTCACAACTTGTTTCGGATCCACGACGTCTACCAATGGCTCACTGATCGCTACTTTTCGTATACTGCTCATGTCAAAACCGTAAACATCATCCCACCAGTTTATCTTTTCATCCTTATATTGGCGATCTTCTATACCGCATATAAACAACGTTGCTTTATCGGGGAAGAGCATTCCATCCTCGCGTAACCATTTGTCTCTAGCAAAAAGAACAGTATCCAACATCGATTCGTAAAACAAACAGTAACCCATCCATTCCGATATGATGATATCCACTTTTTCAATGCCATCCGGCAGTGATACTTCCTCCACTTTTCCCTTGAGAATCGTTATGACGTTAGAAAGTTGATTCGCTTCGACGATCTTCTCTGCATACTCAACAATGTTGGAACACTCTATTCCGATAACTCTTGTCGCACCAGCCTTTGCCGCAAACATGGAAAGTATTCCGGTGCCGCACCCGATGTCGAGAACGGTTTTACCTTTGAAAAGGTGTTTGTTGTGATACATAGAATTGCGATAAGTAACGGTCCGTACTTCATCCTTTAACATCTCTTCGTGGATGCCATAATGAGCATAAGAATCGAAGTAGTAGTCTCGTGAAGTCATATCGTCGACCGAGACCGATTCTTTGTGATTTGTGGTAGGCTCCTTCTTCGGAGTCACCGCAGGTTCCGTTACTTCCATGGTCTCCATTTTAGATGTCTGAAAGCCCAAGGAGAAACAATTTTAAAACGTATTTAAAACGCATCCAGGATCCACACGAGTCATCACGCGCACAAGTGGACAAGTAGAGATTTAAGACGACAATTTACCAGGTTCCCGACTACGCCGTTCATATTTTAAGTAGATAGGAACCGCAACTAGTGGAGGTGGCCGATGCGAGCATGCAATCGGGCAAGCGCGTCATGTACTCAACGGGAATCGGGCGAAAATCTAACGAGCGAACTCCCGTCCACGTGCCCGCCAAAACGAATGGCGTCCCTACCCCCGAAGACGCGCCATGACCCTCGTCGCCACTCACATGCTCGCGATTCGCAAGGATGGCAAAGTATCGGCGTTCGTCCTACACTTCGGCGCGATTCTCGCGACGAGTCCTCTTCTAGCAGGAGCCTCGACAGCCGTGAAACACTCTAAACCAGCATCTCCGCACCTAAGAGAAAGGGACGACGCAGGACCACGCGACCCGTCCGACCGAAATACCGGAATCCGCTCCTGTCGTCGTTCGACGCGAAATTTGCAAAGGCTCTTGTGCAGTTCCCGTGCCCAAATCGAGATACCTCTTGACGATTAATCTATTTAACGCAACGTTTCACGTCGGTATTTCGCCTCGCCTGATCCCTTCGAACCACTCACCGTGTTCGCCGCCGCGGAAGTATCGCCCTCGTTGACTTCTACCGGCATTGCATTACTCGTCGCCATTTTGTTTCACTATCGCAGCAGACGGCGAAATTCAGGCCCGTGCCGAACGGAGAGAATTATCGGGTGCTCTTCTCGAGGGGACCGTCGATAACCTTTCTTCCGCTGCAAGGAAAAACTTTAGTTCACTTTAAAACCAGCCAAGTCCCCTGCGCTCTTATGTTCTATTTAAAAGACTAAATCACCCATTTTAGATCATCTCGATATATCTTTCAAGTTCACGCAGAGCTTTCAACGATTCCAAACGATTCTACTTTTCGCGCTTTCTAGCGATATCAACGTGCAAAACAGACGCGCAATTCCGTTTCCCTCTTACGTACGATCGCTCGATGGTAATCTTCCCCGCCGAGAGCTTTAATCCGCATTTGTACGCAGCATCGATGTAGGGAATCGAACGAAAATTCTCCGTTTCGTAGGTCTCTTTGGAAGCGCTTTTAGAGGTTACGGTCCTGGGTCGTGCGCGAAAGTGCCGCTCGCGAGGAGATAATGCTTAGGACATCTGCCGTATTCGTTTGTTTTGGATGGAGATTTAAAAATCGTGATTCGATTAAAGCTCCCGTATTATTCGAGGTTTTTTAATAATTTCGGGCTCGCTGGGATTTCGAGAGCTGTCGAGGACGCTTCAGAGGTGGCAGGTTAGGTCGGAGTCCCACCGACGCGCAAGTGTCACATAAAGCGCGACGCGTCGAGCGGGGAGCACCGGGAACCTATCGAAACTGCAGCGGAAGGACCTGCGAGGTTAGGTGCAGTTCCAATTGGTTGTTCATCCTCGTCGCGTTGCGCCAGCCAATGAGAGCGCGGCGTGGCCGACCACGACGGCAGCGCCACGAGCTGAAAATGGCCGCGGGCGGGCCAGGAAACGGGAGTCGTACAGACGCAATGAACGAACTCATTATTATTCTCCGGCAAGCGCTTCAAATTCGGAAATCACCACGTGCCTGCTTACAGAAGTTGAAGTCACGCAAGTCTACTTGAAATGAAATTGAAAATTCTTGCTGCAAGTTGCGGACAAATTCGTATGTGTTATAAAATGTAAAGTTCACTAAATAAATGATTGTTCTCCTTTACATACGTTTCATTTATGTAAAAAATAATTAAAGATCATCAGGTTCCATGGTCAGAGTTTTTCCTCGAATTTCTTGTGAAATTTAAGTAAATGATAATTTAATGTAGGAAAAATAAAAGGTTTTGAATACCTCGCGCATAATGACGTAGCTCACTAGCGCTACGGTGGCTTGCTCCGGAACGACTGGAATTATTTGGGGGTAGGGAAGTCGCCAGTCTATAAGTATCTCTTGTCTGTGAGTACTGCGAAGTGCGAGCTTCCTGAACGAGGTCATCTCTCGGTACTCGGCAAGATTTTGACGTGGTTTACTTTGAGAGAGCAGTCGCGGTGCGCCCTTTCATGGATCGCAAGAGTCGCCGGTTCGAGCTTGTGCCTATGAGGAACGTGAATCGCTGAAGGATGATGGTAAGTCGAACGACGAGCTCGGGAGAGTAAACGCCGAGCGAGAGACTTTCGGAGCCCTAGAAACCTGGCGCAAGAGTCGAGTCGTTCGCTTGGCGGGTCTAGTCGATATAGTCGCCAATTCGAAACTCTTCGCGGCTTTCGCTTACGGTTTTAGTGTGCTCTGCTTTCAAGGGAGATTCCTTGCCCTGTGAGATCCAGGTTTCCGGGAACCCGCCGACCCTGATCGACGCGATGGCCCGCGTCGTGAAAGTGCGGCCTCCGAGAAAGTGACTTAACGCGGTCGCTCCCTTTCAGACAGGATTTTCTTCGTTAGGATGGCACGGCAGAGAATGATCGTGATTTCCAGCTTATGCCGATCCATGGGTCTGCGGGACATCTTCTTGCACTCTTCGTCGTCGGTGGCAGCTGGCACACTGCCTTTAGTTTTTCCTCCCTCGGAGGTCTTTGTCTGGGCTTATCCATCGTATCTTGATGCGGGGAGGTCGATGATGAATTTTACCAGAAGTTTATTGTAATCCCTTCTGCGAAGATTTACTCTGAGAAAGTATAGACCGTATCTGCCACGGTTCTTGCGAGTCGTTGGTTCAAGTTTGTACGCGTGGAGAACGTAAATTGTTGAATGTCGATAAGGCGAGCAGACCCTAAGAATGAATATTGAGAGAGAGAGAGAGAGAGAGAGATTCAGTTTGAGAGTCTTCGAAAGGCCTTAATATTTATGGTACCTACAGCTTGAAAAGTTTCTCCAAAATGTGTTTCAAGTAGGTCTCTTTTTCTTCTGACTCGAAAGGCTCTTACGTTACAAAAATTTAGGTGCTTTCAGGTTAGCTTTTTATCAAAGATATTTTCTTCGTCGATGTGACAATGGGCTGGAGACAGCTCAGTTGAAGCTTCAATGTAAGGCTTCCGTCTCCGAAATGACCGCTTGTAGTCAACACTGGGTGTAGCTGACACCTTGCTGTGATTTTTTTTTTTTTCCTTAGCAGTGGATCTTCGTTTAGATTTCTTCTCTCTACTACAGCCATAGAGATCTTTCTGGATAAGTTATGATAGTCTTTTTTGACAAGAATTCTTTCATGGAATTCAGGAATACGAGGACTTTACAGTGCCAGTTGGCCATATCGGAAAATCATGATTTCATTAATTTTTCTTACAGTAACGTGTACAAGTAAAGCGATGGGATATGTCGACGTAGAAAGTTATTTTTATTAAGATAGTTGCGAAACAATGACGAATTACTTGGAGCTTGAATAAAGATTTGTAGATAGGAAATGCATTCTTGTATTTCTTATTGACAGAAGCGGTTGACTCTTTTATTTGATTTTATCTGAACAGCCTTTGTTTCATGTAATGGCGAAACGTACAATCAATTTATGGACAGATGATACTCTCTGATTGGTTTGACATGGAGAAATTCAACCTTTAGAGTATTGATAAAACATTATATGTCCTAATAGTGTTTAATCTGGTCAAGAAATATAACTCGGAGAGACTAGAGAGTACCTTGTGATATGTTTCGTTAGTGAAACCATCGAGTATTTGGGAAATTGTTGCACAATTTTTTAAGCAGTCAAATTAAAATACATTCATGAAACAATAAAATAAAATAGATGCAAATGAAAAAAAAAATAAACTTAACATTTCGAGCTTTCCAAGAATTCTAATTTACTGTAACAGAAAAAAAAGAAAAAAAATTGCAGAGTGTGACTAAAAAATAACAGGAAAAAAAAAATTAGAAATGGATCATTAAATTATGTATGAATTGGTTGAACGCATTCACGACCAAGAAATAAAAATTAAATAGATGCGAAAAGAAAAAGAAAAAAAAAAAAAAAAGAATGAAAACGTAACGTTTCGTCTTTGCTGAACTCCGATTTCCTGTCACGGGTAAAAAGAGAGAATTGCAGAATGTGGCTGAGGAAACAGTAGGCAGAAGGACGGGAAGTATTGAGAATTTTTGTTTGTAGAAATTCTTGAATTTTTGTAATAAAAAAAATAAAATGGATAATCAATTGTAATCATATTCTGTTTCACAGGGAGACGACCCACCGTACCTCTCAGTAGGTACGGAGGTGAGTGCCAAGTACAAGGGTGCTTTCTGCGAAGCGAAAATCCGAAAGGTGGTACGATCGGTGAAATGCCGTGTAACTTATAAACAAGGCCTGGGCACAGCCACAGTGACGGACGAGCAGATTAAGGGTACTCTAAGAGTAGGTGCTTCGGTCGAGGCTAAACACGGCGAGCGAAAGGATTTTGTCGAGGCTACGATAACGAAGATCCAAGATTGCAGTCAGTATACCGTAGTTTTTGACGATGGTGATATAACAACGCTCAGAAGGACCGCTCTCTGTTTGAAGAGCGGCCGACACTTCGCGGAGAGCGAGACTTTAGATCAGCTGCCGTTGACCCATCCGGAGCACTTTGGAAACCCCGTCATCGGAGGGCGACGAGGACGACGATCGAGACAGGCACAGTGAGTAGAGAGTCATTAATCGTTTTCCATTGTACTAAGCTTTGCCTTTGCTTCCTTTATATGGCCATTGATAACCTTGGTCTCGTTGCAGCGATGACAGCAGCGAAGACGAGGATAGCCCGTCACGCGGTGGACGAGATTCCGGTTCGGGTTTGGGAGGAAAGGAAGGTATCGAGACCGAGCCAGAGATCGGCAGGGTCGTCTGCGTAGAACTCGGAGATAAGAAAAAGAAGGACAACTGGTTTCCGGGATTGGTGGTTGCACCCACGGCTCAGGATACCGTCAGGATTCGGGTTCGCGACGACTACTTGGTGCGCTCATTTAAAGACGCAAGATAGTAAGTAGTGCTTTCTGTACGAGGCGTTTCGTAATCCATTGTTTCTTATTATATTCTATGTACATTGGGACTACTCTTGGCTTCGTTGCCTCTGTTCTTCGATGTTTTAATACTTTTAATTCACTTCCTCAGTTACACCGTGCCAAAGAAGGAGGCTACCGAGTTTACGAAGGAGTTGGTGAACAAAGTGGAAAACAGCGCCCTCAAGGTGGCCGTCGAGAAAGCATTGTTATTTCTGGAGAAGAATGAGCTGCCACCCCACTGGGACAGGGATTCGCTTTTCGGCAATGCCTTATCGAGCGGTAACAGCGAAACGGACGGAGAGCTAGACTCCGACGTAAGTTCAATCTCTCTTTTTTATCTCTTGCGGTATTCTTACGCCCGTCGATTTTTCTTAAACGTATTGTTGAGACTTATGGGTATTAAATCGCAGAGTTCCGATGACGAGCCGCGAGAGGAAAAGGATCACTTCGTGGCCCAGCTCTACAAGTTCATGGACGATCGGGGGACGCCGATCAACAATTGCCCGATGATAGGCTCCGAAGACATAGATCTCTACAGACTGTTTCGCGCCGTGTACAAGTTGGGGGGCTACAACCGAGTGACCAACCAGAATCAGTGGAAGTCGATTACGCGTCGGCTGAGCCTGTCTATGCAGAGCGCCTCCTCCACCCACAATCTCGTTAAACAGGCCTACAAGAAGTTCCTGCACTCCTTCGAGGATTTCTACAGAAAACTGGGATGCACGATGGTGAACCACCCGAGGAGCGGAACGCGCAAACCGCGTCCTGGTAGGAGTCTGATAAGAGACAAGGATCGAAACACGCCGGTACCGCCGCAAGTTGCACCGGTCAAGATGGAGAAGGAGGAGGAGGAACGACGGCCGGTCGAGGAGGAGAAGAAGGAGCGGAAAGAGGTGGTGAAGAAGGAGCTGCCCGTCAAGGAGGAGGAGACTCCGAAGCCGAGGAGGAAGGACGACTTCGAGGAGAGCGCCAGTGGACAGGAGAGCGACGTCAACGTCGAGGGCGAGGGCGAGTCGTCGAGTAGCGAGAAGTCTCAGAAGACCTCGGCGCAGTCGGCCCCGGTCGCCGGCAAGGCCAGGCTCAAGGGCAAGGAGGAGCCGCGAAAGAAGCCCCCCGAGAAGAAGAAGAGCGAGCCGAAGAAGACGGAACGGAGGGAGGAGAGGCCCAAGGAGGAAGATTCGACGAAGACCAGGTCGAAGTCGAAGGACGACACGAGCAAGTCGACGGCGAGGACGTCGGGCACGGAGGCACGCGATGCCCGAGCTCTGTCGAGGGAGCCCGAGAGGAGGACCCCGGCCAAGCAGAGACGACTCACGGACGAAGAGCTGAAGAGACAACGGGGAAGGAAGCGCAAAGAGAACGAGACGGAGAAGACGAAGGGCGCGGAGGAGCCGGCGGCGGAGGCGGCGCCCTGTTACAGGGGCCCCGTTGAGCTGGGCGATAGGTTGAAGGTCTACTACGGGCCCACGCACGAGTCCAAGGTGACCTACGAGGCGAAGGTCATCGACATGGAGAAGGACGGCTCGGAGCCGGTCTACCTGGTCCACTACACCGGATGGAACACCAGGTACGACGAGTGGATCAAGGGCTCGCGGATCGCGCAGAACTTCACACAGGCGCAGGGCAGGGCGAAGCGCACCAAGGCAGCGGCTCCACGGCCTCAGACCCCAGGCTCGCTGCTCCCGAGCGGTTCCTCGTCCTCGTCCTCGTCCTCGTCTTCGTCCAAGTCGTCGAGGACGGCGACGGTGACGACGACGACGATGTCGGCGGTGCCGTCAACGGCGACCACGGGTGCAACGGTAGCCGCCGCAAACCCTCCGCAGGGTCGACGGCGAGCCCAGAGCGTCGCGCCCCCGGTGTCACCGTCGGCCTCGCCGTCGACCTCGGCCGAGAAGAGGGATACTAGGAAGGAGGAGAGGGAGCCGGCCAGGTCGACGACGCCGTTGTCGGTCGTGAGCGGCAGCTCCAGGACGAAGAGCCCTGCAACGCCCGCGAGCAGCCGCCAGGGGAGAGCGACCCGGCAAGCGGACGCTCTCGGGCTTGACCCGCGGCGACGGACCCGGAGGACGTCGGGCCACACCGACGCGTCGATTGCGTCCGCGAGCGAAGACAGCGAGGCCTACGAGTCCGACGTGGCCGAGCCGGAGCAAGCCAGGACGAGGGCCAGGGCCCCCGACGAGAGGAAACGACGGGAAACTCGGCGCCGGGCCGAGGACCGCATCGAACCGCCGGAAGAGCTGAGCGAGGCCGAGGAGGACAAGGACGGACCCGGGGAACCTCGGCGAGGGCGCCGTCGGCCCAGAAGGGCCCCGGGGAAGGTGCAGGACGTCAAGTCGGAGCCGGAGACCGACGAGGAGCAGCCCAAAGGTCGGGACTTCGACTTGAACCAGATCAGGTCCGAGCTGAAGGGTTTCGACAAGGCGGTGAAACTGGAGCTGGTCAGGGTCGAACCGGGCCCGGACGAGGAGCCGCCGCGCCAAGCCGAGGCGGAGGGCGTCGCCGCCTCCCCCAGGCTGTCGGAGCCTCCCAAAGTCGAGGGCCCCCCGGAGGTAGGTCAGGAGAGCACGGAGGACGTGTACGAGTTCAAGGAACCCGAGCCCTTCGAGTTCGAGGTGAGAAGCAAGCGGGACTCTGGCGGGGACCGGGACAAGGACCGGGACAAGGAGAAGGTGAAGAAGAGGATATTCGAGCCCGACGAGCCCAGAAGCCCCAAGAAGAGGCCCAGGGCGACGCCCGTGGCGCAGCCCAAGGAGACAAAATCGGAGCCCGAGATCGACTCGAGGAAAAAACCGAGGAGGTCCTTCGGAAAGAGGATGGACGAACCCGCCGAGGCGCCCCCCTCGGCGAAGGCCACTCCGCCGCCACCACCCTCGCCCTGCGAGGAGGCCTTCGACAGGCTCTGCGAGTCGCCCTCTTCGTCCAAGCCTAGGTCCTCGCTCACAGTCGAGGAGGCTGGAAAGGTGGCCAGCAGCTTGGACTTGTTGTTCAGCGACCTGCCCGGCGACGAGGACGGCGCCCCGGACGACCCCGAGGACCGGCTGATCATATCCGAGGCGGAAGTCTCCGAGGCTGAGCAGGAGAATCTATTCACGTATCACCAGGAGATCTTCCCGTCGACCGACGTACCGGACACAATGGAATTCAGCAAGGAGGAGGCCAAGACTCAGGTGGAGGTTGCAAAGGGAGAACCGGGGGGTGGTGCCAACGCTAGTCGGGTCGTCGTGCCCCCGGAGAGGAAACAGACCGCGAAGACTCCGGTGATGCCTCCCAAACAGTCCCCGGCGGAGCCAAAAGTACCGGACGTCAGGACTCTCGACGTAAACCCCGTAATCGCAGCGGTCGTGCCCGTCCCGGCGCCGATAAGTGCCAGGTTGCCGGCGACCTCGACCATCGAGGAGAAGCTATCGGCCGCTGCGATGGCTTTCAGGAACAAGACGAAGGAGGTGAAGAAGCAGGAGGAGATAGCCGACATCCTGAGGAAGTCCATCAAGGAGACGACCAAGAAGGTGGAGCCCTCGGTGCCGGCGAAGAAGACGAAGGAGGAGACCAGGTCGCGGCCGGAGCCCGAGACTCAGAAAACTCAGGACGAGGAGGCGACGAGGGTGGAGGAGGAGCGTCGCGAGGTGATGCGCGCCGTCATCAAGCAGAAGGAGGAGGAACTGCAACAACTAAAGCTGAAGAAGGAGGTCGAGCTGAGGAAGGCGGCCGAGGCGAAGACCGCGGCCGAGCAGAGGAAAGCCCAGGAGAAGGCGGACGAGGAGGTGGTGAAGATCGAGGTGCAAGAGAGGAGGAAGGAAGAGGGCCAACGCGAGGCCGAGCCTAGGGAGGTCGAGAAAGAGAAGCGGAAGAAGATGATCAGCATTGAGTTCGGGGACTCCACGGACAGCAGTGACTCGGAGCAAAGACTGGTCATCGACAATGGCGAGCTGGCCGACGAGAAGAGCGCCGCGCCCACCTTCGAGGACGGCATCAAATCGGAGTTCGAGAGGTTTCAGGAAGAACAGGAGAAGTCTTCGAAGCTCCAGACTCAGAGGGAGACCCGAATGGCGGTGCCGGGCAAGTCGACCTCGGTAGTTCCCGCCGCCAAGGCCGACGAGGAAGGCGAGAACATGAGTTCTCTGCTCTGCGAGGAGGAGATCCCCGGCTCTCCGGCGCCCCCCGCGGAGATCGCCGACCGTGACAGCGTCGACGCGTCTCAGGTAATACCGAAAGTGGAAACCTCCGAAGCTAACATTGCCCTTTTAGAGATGCCGTTCGCCAGCGCTCCGACCTCCAGCCAGAGCAGTACCGTGAGCGGTACTTCGGTGCACGTCACGACCCACGGTACCGCGCACGCGGCAGGACATGGTACGGGACATGGTCCAGGCCACAGTGTGGGACATGGTGCATCCCACAGTGCATCACACGGCGCGACACACGGTACGACCCATTCCATGACTTTACCCAAGCCGGGAGATCCCGTCGCGCTTCCAGCTCCGACGCAACAGAACGTCCCCTTGGGGGTGAAACAGCAACAGCATCAACAACAGCATCAACAGCATCAACAGCATCAGCAGCAGCATCAACAGCATCAACAGCACCAACAGCACCAACAGCATCAACAGCATCAACAGCACCAACAACATCAGCACCATCCGCCACATCAACACCCGCCCTTGCAGCCGGTGCTCGCCCCGACGCCCCCGCAACGCAGAGAAAGCAACGAGGCCGCTCCCGTGATGGACAACACCCCGCCAACGACGCCGGACTCGAGCATCTCCAACATCTCCGGCTCGCCCAGGGAGGAGAGGAATGGTGGATCCTCCCCGATGTCGGAGGACCATTCCAAGTCGGCCCGAGATAGCTCCGAGGCGGACAACGACAGCGCCGGAAAGGGCCCCGGCTTCAGCGAGGACGACACCCTGCCCAATTCCGAGGGGAACGCCGTCGACCGGCTCCCAAAGCCGCCCCTGAAGAGGACGGCCGAGGACTCGCAGTCCCCGAAAAAGCGAAAGAGGAGCAGGAAGCACTCGGAGGGCGGACCCAACGTGAATGGAAAGAAAGCTGGTCGACATGCAGGGAAGAACTCCCGACACGGCGCTGCCAGCGACAGCGACGACACCAGCGAGGGTTCCAATCTGTGCGGAGCGAATACCGCGGGATCGACACACAACACCCTGGCCTCCGGCCCCGAGATCAATAGCTACTCCTCCAGGTCGCCCAGACCGACCAAGTACAACTTCTTCGTGGAGCTCGGTAAGACACCCTCCCGTTACTCCGAATGCATTACTCCGTTGAACACGTGGCGTAACCGTGGATGCGTTAACGTATCGAACCTCCTCTCTGACTTTGCTTTAAGCCTTCCTCCCGTGTTTCGCATTCTTGTCGCAAGCATTCCGACTGAGCATCCGGCCTGTGTGTATACAATACGTTCTTTTTATATTTACTCGCGAAGTACACGTAACGCAGGATCACGGGGAAAGAATTAATTCCATGCCGTATCCCAAGTCTTGTGGGTATTTTTACTCTTCATTTCCTTTCCAGATCCGGAGCTGGACGGGAGCCAGAGGATAGCCGTGCTGCAGCAGAAACTGTCCGAGCTGCGGAAGACGTACAACGCCGTTAAGGTGGAACTCGCCGGCATCGAGAGGCGCCGGAAGAAGCTGCGCAGGAGAGAGCGAGAAGGTAAACGGTGCTCCCCGAGGAGACGCCCCGTAGCCGGAAGTCGAGGTTGACTCAGCCGAGATCTCTCTCTTAAATTTTCAGCCATGAAAGCGGCCAAGGCCGAGATGCAGCAGGCGTGCTCGTGATAGGGTCGCTCGCTCGCGCGTTGACGAACCCTCGGCGAGGCTCGGAGACGCCCTAAGAGTCTGGACGGCCCCTAAAAGAGAGAGAGGCGAGAGAGAATGAACGAGAGAGGGCGGAAAGAGAGTTAGAAAACGGCGGCACGATCCCGGGCACCCTGCAATCGTCCCTAGCCTCGCGAAACGTTTCTCTGTCTGGCGGGCACCCGTAGGTAGTTCTACATAACACCAGTCTTTGTATATAGTAGCTTTAAGGTCTGCGCGACCCGGGGAGGGACGCCGACGACCGGAGCGCCTTCCCCGTCGCGTTTTCGCACTTTCGTGGCAATTGATCGCCCATCAGTGGTACAGGGGTATCGGGGCCGATTGCCCTTCGTCGTGGCCGTGAACAAAAGTCCTGACCTTACGAAATTGCGAAGTTACAGGGCCTACTGCTCTGCAGCGATGCCAGCGCTGCGGGGGGTCCTCGAAGTCCGGCTGGGATGATGCACAGTCAGACGCAAGGGTTCCTGTATGGCACCCTAATTCGTTTGGTGGAGGAGACTCGCTTTTCACGGCAATCGACACCGTTCTTCGTTTCTTACTCCACCGAGGGTCGTGTCTGATTACTCATTTTTTTTTTCCAGTTCCTATTCAAGTCTCGCTGAATTCATGGATTCTTGTTCTTTCGTTTCGACCCTTCGGTAGGAGGGTGTCGTAATTGGGGGGATCGTAGACGTGTCGCTGCTTAAATATGTGGTAGGATTAGAGAAACGCGATAACGCGCTAGCCTAGCATATTGGTACCGGTGAAAGAAATTAATGTAGTCGTAGTTACGTGTCGGATGATGGTACACACCTGCCGAAGGGAAAGTAAATTCGTAATCGATAGCCTCGTATACTGGGAGCGGTGGGAAATGATTTCCCGATGATTCGGCCATCGGTGGAATTACTCTACTTGTATTATAGTTTAATTGTCTGCGGGACTGTCGGTAAATGCAAGAGGTAAGAGATAGGAGGTTATCGCGAAAAGTACCTCCGCCAAACGAGCGCGGCAACGCATGGGGACTTTAACTTTGGGACTTCAATTATCGTACCTGTTCTTTACCCCTGTACCTGTCGAATCGGCATGTGCGCGTAACGAGGGCATACGTGCACGCTGAAGTAGAGAAAGCAAGAACAAGTGAGAGCGTTTTGAAAGCGAGCCAATACACGGGTTATGATATAACGGATTTCCGGCACGCCTTCTCGTTACGCACTCTTTGTTATTCCACCCTCGTTTATAATTTAACCCTTTGATTAAGGAGCACGGTTGGAAGAGGACTTTCATTTTATAGCAATCCGTTAGAGAGAGGCGGAGGAAGTGCATTCAATGTTTCTCTGCTAGAAGGATAGAAATGGTCGTGGCCACATTTTCCCCTAAGTGCTCTTTTAACGTGTTACCGATCAGGGACTCTAAAGGGTGCGTCACGTAGATTTGTAAATCCGATTTGATTTTAATATCAGTGCATTTCCCGCTGCCCGCCGAGTGTATCATAATGCCTGTATTGCGTGTACATACATTTGTATATATTTATACATACATATATATATATAATATTAGAGGAATGGTTGCATTGTCGTACGCGGATCCACCGGGCGCACTGACACCGTCGGCATTTTCCTTCGTGATTGCACAACCTTGCCCAAAAGCAAAGTACAAATTTTCACTGTCACGGCTTACCTGGAGGCCGTGGGGACGGGAATTCCCGCGATTGCGATCGGCAACCTAGGTGTAAATGGAAAAGGGGCGAAGAGGAAAATTAAATAGTGTATCTTGTGTCCAACGGGCTAGGCAAGTCCGTACGATTTTATTTATTCGGCCCTCTGGAGCGCGACGCGATCGAGGCGTACTATCGGCGCTCCTAGAGTATGGATATTGTACATAAAATATGTCGAAGGCAATGCGAGCATTTTGACGCCCCGCGAAATCTCATTTTACTTTAATAACTACGCTTGACCAAATCCGTTGTTCACTCGCGTAGGAATTAAATTCGACGTGCGCTCGCGGAGTAATCGTTACCTACTGCGGTACTGGTACGCTACAATGGAATTATTCTCCCATTGATAGATGTTATATTACATAAATATATATAAATATAAATATAAATATAAATATATATATACATACGCATAAATATAATATTATTAGAAAGCTGTTTACGTTCTGTTCGTTGCGGTATATTTTCGTTCGGTACAGATTTTATTTATTAATCGCGTGGAGGAGGACCGCGTTTACATATGCGTATGTAATTTGTAAATGAAGGTATATGTCAGACATATACGAATTTGAAAATAGATACACAGGGAACACGAGCACTTTTTTACACCCTCCGATCAGCGAACGATACCGTCACCTGGATTCGCATTGATCTGGGTCCGACGACGTAAAGAAACTCGTAGTTTCGTATGTATCGCTAAATTGGCATTGAAATTTCCACCGAGGAGTAACGATGTACATGCCCCCAGCAATATCGAGCAGGTTTCGTTAAGTGCGATCTCGGCTTTCGGATTAATTAGAATTAAATTCTTCGCCCGGACGAAGGGAGGTCGACGGATTCGCAGCGTTGAAAGATATCTTAAGGCGACGCGAAAGCGGCATCCGAGGGGTCAATTGTTTATAATACTTTCCTCCAAACTGAGTGTTCCGAATCCTTTGAAATTTTCCCATGTGAATGTAGAGACTCCGAGGAAGGTCCTGACACTCGTGAGATTCCATTATTTATGACAAGTAAAAAATTGCTGATATAAATGAATTAATACAATTGAATTTCAGGAGTGTCGGGACCTTCCTTAGGGCCTTCGGATTCATGGGGTGGAATTTCAAAGCATTCGGTACACTAGGTTTGAAGAAGAAAAATAGGGGAAGATCGAGACCCCTCGGATGCCCCTTTCGCCCTATCTTAAACAGGGAAGAGAAAAGTACCGGAGTAACAATCAAATCGCATCGTCCAACGCATTTGTCTCCTTCTTCCCTTAAAAGCTATTTCGGTGTCGCATTTCCTCCGATCGCGTCCTTGCACTTGCATTTTGACCGAACTTCTCTTGGGGACACCTCTAGGGTAATTCTCGCGAGCCCCCCTACGAGGACGCGATTGACAATTGTAAAAAAAAAAATCAAACGATATCCACGGCCGCACCTGGCACGCGGCGTCGGGCTTAAGGCGAAAGGGCGGAGTTTTATACAGATATATTGTATATATTTTTTATAATTGCTGGACGGGGTGGACGCGCTTCGTCGTTGGCTCGACGCGAGGTCCTATTTTCCGGGATTCACGGTTTTCGCAAATTATGAACAAGGTCCTCGTAAGCTGGGACGTTAATGCTCCGTCACCGATCCGTGTCCTCGGTGACTACACTGAGAGGAAAAACTCGCTTTCTAGAAAATAAGAAACTCTTGCGTCAAATGGATACCAAACTTACGGTAAAGGCTAGGCATGGCTGCGCATTCATTTCATCCGAAAGAGTAGACTTTCAGTAATATGTTCCGTACTTGAGACTAATCTTCTGCGTAGAATTCTTTTCCCGATGTCACGTCCATTCGATAATAAGCCTACCGCCATTTTGGACGCAACGCCGGTAATTCTTACAAATTGCATTTTACTGGAGGCAAGAAATTTCTTTCGGAGAAAGAACAGAAAAGGGAAACATCTCGATGGTTGGAAATAATTAATCCCCAGAAAGTCATTGTTTTTCCCTCAGTGTGCGACGATTGTTAATGTAAAGTGTCAATGTCGGCACTCGAATTCGGAGGTCGTAACGAGATTGTCGATTTTTTTTTCTTTTTTCTTTTCAGACGAGATTTTCATCGGCGGTTTGCGCGAGATTACACATGTTAATACGGTTAATAAAATGGTACTTTTCTCCAGGTGTGCGATACACGGTGCTCGTTAATTAAGTATAAACGGCGAGTTTCCACTCGGTTCTCTAAGGTGATTAGGGAAAATCCAAGGAAATTCATTCTTTAACCGCTCCACTGTTTTATAATAACTTAATGCGAGGAATAATTAGATGATGTCACGGAACACAGAATCGCGAGTCTATTTCTGAGGATATCTCACTTAACCCCGACCGAGTGTCGAAAAATTATTGGTACCTTTATGTTAAATTCGAGTCGCAAAATACCATTTTGTTTTCCTTCCGTTCCAAGTAAGCACTGTGTACCGCCACTGCGAAGCATTGAATAGGTTCTGTAAACCGTCGGTTCGTAACTTACAATATTTATACGCTACAAATTATGCTATTTTACTTGAGATAATGTAAGATTTTAATTTCGCATAAAAGATACCGTTCCACGTAACTTGTTATTAAGGCAAGAAGTAGTACTTAACCGAGTCGGTAGATACAATCTCTTCTTTCGGTACCAGGTACTAACCAGGTACTAACAAAATCCTCCGTTCCTTTTTTTTTTTCTTTTTCTTACATTATCTCGAGTATTTTTCTTGCGTCCAATAATTACACGTATTAGGTCGAGACAGGAGAGACATTGAAACGTTACATGGACAATTTCCCCAACCCAGCGAACAACGTTTAATCTAATCAAATCGCAATTTCGTACTTCAACGTCGAAGCGTAATTTACGCAGGTACCCGCAATAAAAAGGGAAAATCAGTAGCCGTAGAACAGTGTCCATTAACCCGAACGTCTAAGTGACCTCTATGGATCCATTGTGCGTCCCTGCTTGAAGATATTCCAAGGAGAGAGAAAAAGGAAAAACCGACGAGTAGCTATCATTTTCTACAGCGTTTTTGGTACTACCATGTATTTAAACCTCGACGGGATTCCTTTCAAGCAGGGACCGTTTCAAGTACCGTAATAAGTGTACGTCTCTGTGAGTGTATATAGAAGATACCGTGCAATGAAGTGTCCGTATGACGACCGACACGAAAAATTAAAAGTGCATCCGGAACGGGGAAACGTACCAGGGACCTTATTCTCGAATTCATACAATCAGCATTCGCCCAAGAAATTGACACTTTCGTCCACGAGTTTAAAACGTCGATCAATGACGCGACTTTGTAACAATTCGAAAATTTTCACGCGTATCTTCGTACGCGAAGAAAAAATCAGTATCAACTCGAGGATCGAGTCCCAGGGGACGTAAAAGGTCTCGAAAGTGCATCTCAAAACGCGAAATCGCGAGCTCGGCGTCGAGCGACAACGGCAGAGCTCGGAGCTGTCAAAATCAGCTGATCGCCCTGGAAGAGCCCACGTCCGCCTTCCCCGCCGTACCCGAGGAACAGAGTTAGACGTAGTCAGCGAGAACTTTAATTGTCACTGATCAGTAAATATTCTACATACACATTCAATTGTCTTAGCAGATATACAGTTATGTAATAAACGATGCCACGATATCAATCTTGTACTCTCGAGCGTCCTTATTAAAATCCGATATACTACATATATTCTATATTTGCTAGAAGGTTGGGTGCGACCCGGGGGAGGGAGATAATAACATGCCTCGTGTATCGTTGCCTAAAACCTTTAAACCTAGGTAATTTTTATATTTATTATTTTTATTAAATATATATATATGTCATATCAATATATGTATAGATATCTCGCGCCACGGCCAAAACGTGGCCGAGAGGTCCCGCAAGACCTTACGTTAAAAAACATGATAGAGTGCGTGTATATTCTAGATTAATTGTACAGACGTCGGGGTCCGCTTTTACGGCCCACGCGCCGAACTTGGAGACGAGCCTCCGGTTTTAATTCCGTCGCGGTCGAGGAATTACGATGTGCCAACTGTCAACTTGGTTCTATATTTCTCACCGCCTAGTCTCGGCCTGTTGCGTTTTCGACGATACTCTCTGTATGCACCACTGGCTAATTATAGCAACACGCTTCGGGAAGTTGGCGGAGAAGCTCGCTTGTTTACTTCCCGGTTTTTCATCGATTAGGTATAGAGTACTTAAGGGGAAATGGAGAGCTTGTAAAATACACTGTGTCGGAAGGGACTTTAAAAAAGGAGGGCTCCCTTCGCGTACCCCGTAATTACGGAATTATGGTGGGAATTGTGAAAATGAGAGAGCTGGAAGAACCAAGTTTCTAGATGGGCAACTTTGTAATCCTTACTTCGTATTGAAAAAAAAAATCACTTTTTATGTACACACGTAATATATAGGTGAATGCACATGGGGGGTTATGTGTACATTCGTGCCTACGTAAAAAAACGTATCTTTTAGAGACACACGGGATTCGCCTACTATTTATTACTTCTTTCGACGGGACGAGTTTCATTCTAAACTGTGGCGTACAATTGGTGATCTTTCGTAGCAAATGTAATGTACTGAAATCGTATCGATTCACTTGGGCGTCTCGGTAAGATTATTTTCAAAACTGATCATTAGAAAATGCTTGCTTCAGAATTTATCAAGCTATTCAAGAAATGATAGTCTTCTCTGGAATCTTTTGAGAAAAAAAAATATTGATTATATATTTTTATATATTTCTTCCAATACGAAGTACCGTGCATTAGTTACAATGATTAATCGGAACAGTATCGACATCCCAGTATCCACTAGGATAGCCTAGTCAGGAACTCCTCCATACAGAAAATATGAAAAGGGTATAGTACGACCGATCTCGCGAGTGTTATGACGCTAAATTCTTAAGATCAAAATTCCACATGCCCTCTAAGAGATAGAATCGATACGAGGTGCCTCTCTTCCTAATTCACAACCTCATTGCACCTTGTAAAAAATTAATTCTCTTCTATTTTTTTTTCTTTTTCAGCAATTCTATGTTTTTATAATAAAACTGTTGTTAGAAAAAGAAAATATACACACTATGAATACTTCGACGAAGAGGATAGACAACGGAATAGATACTTAAGTACAGGGTAGGAGAGTTTGTCAAAGCAATTTTTCGGACACATGAAAAGATAATTAGAAAAGAGTCAAAGAGAAACATCAAACATACTTGATTGGTAACGATGAATTTTCATAGAAAAATGTTTACCATCGTTACAAAATGAGAGGGCTGAAACATCTGATGTTTGTCAAATCTTCCTATTTTGATTCCCATTAAACTCGTCTATGTCCGTTCTCCATTTATGTCGAAACCTGCGACTTAACGCGTACCTTTCGGTGAACCTGGCAGGTTAAGAGAAATCCTATCTTGAATAAATGGAACCGGCAGACGAGAAGGGAAGAGCAAAATTACAGGACACATGGGTCTTCGTAATCACAAATTAAGGTTTTAAGCTTGTGTAGGTCAACATGAATGTGAATTAGGGGCTGCTGCCGAGTCGATCGTTGTGCTCGTAGACGACGTCGTCGGGGTTGCCTTCTGATGCCTTATGTAAGCCAACCTTTGTTTGACGAGCTTAAATTGCTCCATCAAATCGTGATGTGCTTGCAGTCGCTCGATGCAGTGCAAGCATGCCGTTTTCGGTAAAGGATCATTTATATCGATCTGCGTAAAAAAAAATGTTAACTATAACATTTGGCCATAAATGTATCGATATAATCTTAATAGATTAAAAAGAAAACAAAGAAAGTATCCTCTGTGATTACCGAAATCTATGAAACAGGCTTTAAATAATGCACTAACTACAATCCAAGGACGACTCGTAACTCATAATAAATTTGTCAAGAATTACCGTAATTGGCAAGTAAGTGTTGATTTTCTCCGCAAGTTTCATTCTTTCGCCTTCTTCTCCGTAAATGTGAATTACAAATCGGTTCATTTTACTACAGAGCCTGCATATGAAACCAGTGATTACGGCCTTGTCAGTACTTCCCATTTTGTACTCCTCTTTAACCCTATTAAAAGGAATAAAATTCTGAGTAATCTCTGGGACTGCTTGACACCCGACTATGTGATGTATCTCTCAAACAGTACTTTACAAAACTTTGGAAAAACTAAGTTACTCTGAATTCCTTTGATTTGTTTATTGGGGCTTTTCACGGCTGACGCTGGGGGCACTGTCTTTTTCGGTCAGGATCGTATCGAGCGAAAGGAGGTACTGCCGTTTCGAAGAAACTTTAAATAGTCAGAAAAATTTGATAACTCATATAACGTGGCAAGTTCTGTATTTTCTTTTTTGTGAAAATATTCATTAATAGGGACCGTTTTGTACCAAGAAATTACGATTACAAATAAATATTCACGTAAGGACTCCACTGAGGATTTCTTTGTACACCGCTGAATTAACCGATTGGCCAAGGAATATATACGTGAGTAGTCAGCTGTCATCTGTCAAAACAAGTCCTGTACCATGGAATAAATATTCTTGAAGACGAGAATGTCGCATTGTTCTTGGAATAACTAGATCCACAGAATTCCAATTTTTCATGGCACGTGATTGGATAATTTTCCGTCGATCGTGGCGCCACAATGCGAACATGCGAGGAAACTGGAAAACACTTCTCAACCTTTATTTGCACGTTGTGCACATGTTGCATACGAATGAAATTATTTCGAGATTACGGCACGGTTAGGTTTTAAGTACGTTAACTTTATTTATTTACTGCGAGTGCGCGGACTGATAATAAAGAAAAGGCCTACAATCATGATATTCTTTTGGTGTAATTCAGAAAACTAGTGTAACGTAAGCGATTCGTGTTATGAGGCTGATTCGACTGGTTTAGAACTGGCGTACCGGCAGCGTACGAATAAGTGGGGTTAGGATCTCTGGTATTAAAGTTAAACACTTAAACCTTCGACGCCAGCATTAAAATGGAATTTCAAGCGGGAGCACCTGGCAAAACGAATAATCCCGCACCAACTGTCGAACAAATTAACGCCGATAGAATAACGCAGGTATGAAAAAAGAAAATTGTTTTATGCATATCGGCAATTGCATCGATTGCATTGCGCTTATATTGATGAACGTATTATATTTAATTACTGCTTTTTTTTATATTGCAGTTAGCGAACAAGTACTGGGCTCCACATACATCGGATTCTCATTTGCCATTTGACTTACAAATTGTTGAGGACATTTATGTGCAAGAAATATGTGCCTCCAAGTTTTCCGTCAGAAGGATTATGATGTTAGAATTTAGTCAGTACTTGGAAAATTATCTTTGGCCGAACTACATAGCTGAGAAGTCATCGCGTGCACACACTTTGTCCATTGTTGTCATGGTCAATGAAAAATTTCGTGAACGTGTACAAGTTTGGGAAGCATTTGAGAAAAATTCAAATCAATTCTCTGCATTCTTTCAACAAGTTTTAGAAACGTGCCTCGAGAAGAGCACTTTCGACTTTGATTTGAAAGAGCAGACTGCACTAATTATGTTTTTAAATCATTGTTTTAATTCTATGGAAGTGGCCCTTGTCAGAGAGGAAGTAAAAAGATTAGTCTCGTTATCCATGTGGGTTTCGTTACAGCAGGGACGCCGTGAACTAGAATTTCGAAAATATCCAAAATGGAGAAAATATTGGAAAGTGATTAGAAAAAAGGATGATCCCAAACAGAAAGAGAAATTAGATTGGGAGAGAAGATTTTTACACAGATTAATGATCAAGTTCATGACTATTTTAGAAACAATACCTGAAGATGGTAAGTATTATTATTACAAAAAAATTATATATTTAATGGATACTATTGTTTAGCTTTCTCAAATTTACAGTTTACTTTTTTTTTTTTACAGGTCCTGTGTTCCCAGATAAAGTTCGTTATTGCGAAAGATTTTTGGAGTTGGTTATCGATTTGGAGGCTTTGCTACCGACTCGGCGGTTTTTCAACACGGTCATGGATGACTGCCACTTAGTTGTACGCTGCCAACTTTCAAATTTGGTGCATCGTCCAGAAGGTGGATTATTTGGTCAGGTATGTAAATTTTATGGTGAATTTGAAAAGTACACAAAATTTAATGAACACATGACAAAAGTTTATTATATAAAAATTCGAAAGTAGACAGGTATAAATATATAGAAATTATTCTTAAACTTAATTCATATGCTATCAACAGTCAATGCCGTTTAATGCATAGGACGAAGTCTTTTAAATGCATTCGTTTATTCCTAATTCGAAAAAAACATATGTTATGTGCTTTATATAAACAGTTCGTTGTGTGCCACACTTGCTATGTTAGCATTGACGCGACCTGACTAGAGCAGACGCACCATCACAAAAGTTACATCAGCAATTAATAGCGTTCCATCAAAATTAGATTGGAGTGTCAAAATGGGAAAAATAACGTGCTCACATGTGCATAATATCTGCGATATACATGTCTTGGTTGTTTTCATGCAGAGTCTAGTGCTAATTTTGAATTAATAATTTCCACTATTTAGTCAGTAAAAAACCAAGTAGAAATTTCACATCGTGCTTAAAAAGTGCGTCATTTTTGTTCTGTACATAAGGCAAGCATTCCTACCTTTCGGACATCACGCCGTATCTGCCTTTATTATATAAGGCACAATTCGTTACATTCATATATTCTGAGATTCTCTTAAATTGATACGATTTGAATTGTTTACTACTGTCAAGTATATCGAAATGAGTTTTGTGTTGCCACTGAGTATCGTTGTTGGTACAGCTACCGTAGTGAATATAGTTGTTTCCCCGATCCTTTAAATTTTCACAAAGCAAATAAAGAGGATCGACTTTGGTAAAACAAACGCTATTACGTTTGCAAGTTATTCAAAACGCTTGAAAACAAATAGATGTCTGAAGTCTCGATTTAGTAGCCTGCATTGATGGCTGTCATTTCTTCCCCCCAATCAAGACCCTCGATGGTCTCATCTGTAGTACAACAATTGCATGTCTTGCCAAGTAAAAAGGTGACTCTCTTTTGTCCAAAAATGCATACATATAAAATTAATAAGGCTTGTATGAAATTCACAACAATATAGAAGTATACGAGTACGTCGTATTTCAGCTGCGAGAGCAGCAGGAAAAACCATGCCGTACTCAAAATGATAAACAATAAGACGTACATTTTAAAACTATACTTCATTTTATGGTGGATTCTACCACAAGTGTTCATTCTGCCAATTGTGTTTGCCGTAGTCAAAGCAAAACAGAGATCTATGATTATGGTAAATGCAATGCACGTAAAAAGTACCGATATGCCGAGCCATCCCACGGTCTCTTGAGCAGGGTAGAGTGTACCTCCTATAGTAGGTTTGTTAGTTTCTAACGTAAAATGTGCAAATATCGCCGTCACCGCAATAACGAAGGTCGATCCCCAAACATAAGACGAGTAATAGCAATATTTTCTGCCATCCGTTACTCGGAGGAATATGTTTCGAGATCTGAAGGTATTCCATACATAGTAGCCTAGAGCATTGAGCCAGAAAAAGGCAGCCAACAAGGAAACGTACATGACCGTATCTGGAAAAAAGAACGTCAAGATTTAAGATCAAGCCCGAAAAGGCTAAGTAAGCTCGACTCACCTGCAACGACGAAGCTGATATGGTTCCCATACTCCGTAAATATCCTAACGGTTGCGGCACCCTGACTGGCAACCAAACACAGGGACATACTCGTTATTATGTTCCCAACGAGATCTCTCAACTGTGGCAAAACAAAATAGACCACCGCAACTGCTACATAACTAGCCATGGCAATTGCTCGAAACGTAGGGTCGACCACGTGTGTGACAAAATAAACCGTATCGGTCCAACGCACGGCAACCTCTGGAACGCAGACCATTGCATAAGTTGCAACGAGACGATCCCTGCTCAGAACGACTTTGTCCACGCAGTAGTCGCCAAACTCGTAGTCGCAGTGCACCGAAGTCTCGTCCATGAGATTCCCTTCGGCTTCGCCCTCATCGAACCTCTCTCTTCCACGTAAGGGTTCCGACGCATCGGAGACGTGATGTCTAAGCTTTCCGGAGGGCAGAATCGTCAGGCGATCCGAACTCGAGGGATAGTGATACACGTGCCACTGGTGTTCGGTGCCTTTGCACCTTGGCAGGCCGACTTTTAATCGGTACCGGGGTTCCCTCGTCCCGGCGAGGAACTCCGGGCGCCAGGGCTGCGTCTCGTTCGTCTCCTTGACGGGTATACACGTGTCGTCCACGAGGATCTCGTCGAGGTCGCAGCATTTGGCGATCATGACGGAGCCCTCGTCGCTGGGGTTGCCGATGCTCGTGCAGGTTACCCCGGTGTAGGGCGCTCCTAACCCCCAGAGGAGGAGAAGCGCGATACGGGCACGCTTCATCCTTCCCGGGTTTACCTTTTCACATTTGACCGCTCTTCCTCTCCGGGAATCCTCCGATCCACCTACCTGGACGTGATTCACTCTCCCCCGCGGCCGTCATACGCGATCGTACGCGATCCATCGGCCGTTTCCTCGACCTCCCCTCTGCCTTAGTCCTGTCTCTCCGCGCGTTCACCAATACCTGTCGACCTTCCGACCACGTGACTCACCTACGGGCAACCAACCAATCACGGCGCTCGATACGTGTGCTTCTCGCGCACACCGGTTCCAGCGGGAGCGCCCTACCTGGCCGTACCCTTGCGGATCTCCGCCCGTCGTGGCGCGACCTAACCCCACATTGGCACGACCAATGCGAAGTCTCGTCTCGATGCCGGCTCCGCCGTAATCGCGACGGAAGCCGCACTTCTGCCTGCCGTCCTTTCTCCCCTCGCTCTCGATTCCCTTTTCGTCTCGCCGGTTCTTGGACGAAAGCGTCGCGTCTCGGATGCCGGCACCTCTTGCCAACCGACGCCGGTACCTCGGCACGTGCGTACGGCTGCGCCCACGCGCTCTCTCCTACCTCGAGATCTCCCGAATGAATGCCGATCTTGAAATTTACTCCGTTATTCAACTCATTCAACTCGCTTCAATTATTTGGGAGGGTTATCCGCTTTAAGGTGAAGTGAAACACGTCGAGGAACTTGATCGACGTCGATAATGAAGATTTTTCTAAATGCCTACGTTGCCGACGTCCGTTTTTATATTGACAGCTGTATCGAATTATATTGGATATTGTATCAAATGGCATACTCCACCTGTCGTTTTCGTACAATAAATATCAAGAAATCAAAGTAAAACTCCAGAAATCCTCTGAATTCATGCTTTCTGGGGCCCTAATTGACTGCAGAGGGACCCCCTGCGCCATCTGTGATTTCCAGGTCAATTAAATTTTCACTCCGAGACCTTGTATTCCCATCGTTTTGGCATAGAACCGCATACAACACTTTTTTTGCCTTTATCCCGTTCAAATGCGAGTTTATCGATTACCAGAGTGTTCTAAATTGTCGTAAAATTCTCCTGACCCTTTCGATTCTCATATCAGAGCCTTCGATAATTGTATATTGATCGAAATATGACAGCTCGATGCCATTTTGGTTCTGGTCTGGACTGAGTTAAAAGATTTTTTTGAAAAATCCAAATGTTGAATGTGTCAGGACAATTCTTAGATGATCAGGAGTGACGTGTCAAGGTTTCGAACAGTTTGGTCTAATACCCTTAAAAAAAAGTGTTGTATTCAAATCGACTGATTTGAAGGGGGTTTCACTTCACCTTAATGTCTACTGGAAACCTCCAGTCGATAAAGTAATACGTATGTTTCGAGTTTCTCAAGGTCAATCGCTTTATACAGGATTCCTTGGGAACGTCATCGTTTCAGGGGCCTCGTAGGTTAGATTCGTCATCTTCGGAGGATTTTGTTTTGATCGAATCGAGATTGAGCGGTAGGGGTTTTTTTTCCTAACTGCTGACGCAGGAAACGCTGAAACGTCTCTTACGTTTTATAGCTACGCTTCCGGCGATTTCATCTCACAAATGAATTCCGCCTACGATGTCGTGCTTCGGAACGCCGTCCCAATTACGTCCATTTATCCGCGGATATGCTTCGCTCGGAGCCTACATAAGCTTGAAAATGACATTTTAAAGGGAGCTTCGCCTTCGTAGGTGAATCCCAAACCTTATATCACAGATTCTCTCCCACGGCACAAAACTTGCTATGAGAGTAAATGCGCTATTCGGAAGGCTTCGCTGAAGATACTTAAAAATTTTTTTTTTTATCGCCCCGTTCTAGGAAAACTTATCTCGCTCCTTAATGGACAGCTTCGATCGACTGTAACACGCAATCGTTGGATTGCACAAGTTGGAAACCTCCGTATGAGAGGGAAAAGTTCCTCGTGGAGAGAAACGGAAGTTCGATAAAGCATTTCTTTATAAGATTAATCTGAGGGGAAAAAAAAAAGAAGAAAAATTAACTACCCGGGAGAGCGATGCGTGGATTAAAGAGACTCGTGAACTCGTTTGAGACGCAATCGTAAAGATTTGACATATCCTTATCGTCTATACACTAGTGTACATAGAACTAAACTAATATTCTAGGTTATACTATTTATATAACTGGTGTTGACGTTTCTTCCTCCCCCATCGAACCATCCCGAGAACCACTCTTTAGGCGCAATGACGCACGCTGCACTTAAATTATAAAAGTCCCTGCGATACGAGTGTCTAAAAAGAGGAAGAGATCATAATCTCTTATCTCTTACGTTAATACGGGGAATAATTTCGCGCGATTAACGGACGCGATGCCTCGCGTAGGATTATTCCGCGAAAGTGCCGCGTGAAATTCGATAAGCAACTCCCTAGCGATATCTCGCCTAGGAGGTTGCGCGCGCAATCGACTCGTGCGCGGTCGATTTATCGAAACTCGCGCCAACAGATGCGCGCTCTGTTCCGCGGAGATCGCGTCCCGCCTCGGGGGTCAAAGTTCCTTTACGCCTTGGAATCTGCGCACGTTCGCTGGGTGCCGGAGGGAAGCGGCTTTTCCTACCGGATAATTGCGCAGCCGTCTACGTCCACGTGGCGGGGAAGTAATCCGAGATGTTGCTCTCTCGATATGCGGCTTCCTTGCGCCTGACAGACTAAGATCGAATGACCCGCGAGTCCGAGAATCGATGCGCACTTTCGCACGTAGAATCCATTTAAGGCCGATACGGACGTAGGATCTATCCGGGTAGACGGATTTATCTCATATTGACTTCATATCGCAATTTTACATCGCGGGGATGCGCTTCTTGCGCATCTTCATGTTGTACTGGTATTAAAGTCACGGCGACGTGTCTAATTTTACTGCTTATTTTCAGGAAAATTCACGATGAAATGAAAATGATGTCGATGTTCGTTAAGGTGATATTAAGGGGTCACTCTGTATATGTCACAATGTTAAAATATTTATAAAACCTTTCTCAAGACCAAAGGCCCTGAGGAAGCACGCGATGCTCGTGAAGTTTCATTTTTCACAAAAAAGTCTGATCTTGGTTCTAGTCTAAAGAGATTTTTCTTTTTTTTAATGAAATCTCAGGAGCATCACGTACTTCCTTGGGGCCTTTATGATCACGTGTCGAAGTTTCGAATGAATCGGTGCACCCAGCTTGGAGAAAAGTTATATAAATACTCTGACGTTTTGATACATAGAACGACCGTGACTATAATATGAGAATAATATACTATCTACGCATATGCGAACGGCATTAAGAAAATATTTAACTCGAAATATGGATTAAATTTAAATTAGAAGAACACATATACATCTTGATTAAATTTAAATTAGAAGTACACATATACATCTTGAATGGGAAGGATAGTGAGGGATACATTTCGGGGGAAAAATGTAAATCGGTTTAGATTTATCTTGCTGCGAAATCGAGAGGCAATGTGTGAAGCAAGGGAAAAGGTGGTTTTCCGTGGCGGTCCTTGGAAAATCGCCGTCATTGGTTGTCCAAAGTAAAGGAGTAGAGAGAAGATCGAAAACAAGGGATTCGCATTCGCAGGCATTCCCTTAACCCTTTGCGATCGATGCCGCCATAGTGGCGGCATGATGTCATTAATCCGTCAAGTGGTGGAGGGTATTCTTTTTTTTGGGCCGTGGAGATGTGCGTCATGTGCTAAATTTCCTCCGACTAGCTGGTACTCCCATCGGAGAAATTTGCCGATCGCAAAGGGTCGATGTGCGTCACGAAACCGGGGACCGGTAGAATCCGACGGAATTGAGAAGAATCCGAACTTCTGTCCATTCGCAGAGGAATCATGCCGAACGAGAGAGCTCTACCGCCTCTTCTGGCAATACGGTTTCGCATTCGACGTCCTCGCAGGCCGCCCATGATTTTGGAAAGCCAATTCCGCAAGGCTTTTTCCGCGCCAGCAGCTTCCGGACTCGCTTCCTGAACGGCACCAGGAGGAGGAAAATGATGAAGCCTTGAGACCCGTTCAGGATGTCCATCGAGATCCTGAAATTTCGACACGCACGTAAAGGGCCTACTCAATTACTTTCCACATATCTCGAACTTGACCGATTAAGGTGAAGTGAAACACGTCGAGGAACTTGATCGACGTCGATAAAGAAGATTTTTCTAAATGTCTACGTTCCGACGTTCGTTTTTACATTGACAGCTGTATCGAATTATATTGGGTATTGTACCAAATGGCATACTCCACCTGTCGTTTTCGTACGATAATTATAAAGAAATCGAAGTAAAACTCCAGAAATCCTCTGGATTCGTGCTTTCTGGGGCCCTAATTGATTGCAGAGGGACCCCCTGCGCCATCTGTGATTTCCAGGTCAATTAAATTTTCACTCCGAGACCTCGTATTTCCATCGTTTTGGCATAGAAGCGCATACAACACTTTTTTTGCCTTTATCCCGTTCAAATGCGAGTTTATCGATTACCAGAGTGTTCTAAATTGTCGTAAAATTGTCCTGACCCTTTCGATTCTCATATCAGAGCCTTCGATAATTGTATATTGATCGAAATATGAGAGCTCGACGCCATTTTGTTTCTGGTCTGGGCTGAGTAAAAAAATTTTGATAAAAAATCCAAATTTTCAATGTGTCAGGACAACTCTTAGATGATCAGGAGTGACGTGCCAAAGTTTCGGACAGTTCTGTCTAATACCCTTAAAAAAAGTGTTGTATTCGAATCGACTGATTTGAAGGGGGTTCCACTTCACCTTAATTCCTGTCCTTTCCCCTCTACCTCTGCATATTCTTATCGGTGGCCTTCTTATTGTTAGAATACGCCTAAAGTGAAATTGCACCGGTGCCAAGACCTTATTTAAGGCCTTCACCTTCACGTGGTTGAATTCTCAGTTTGTGACGTCCAATTCGGAGAAAGGATTTATCAACGGTTGACCCCTGCGGTGTCACTTTCACGTCATCTTAAGAATCTTAAAACGTCCCGATGACTATTCTATGGAAATTTTGCGGTTCGGTCGAAGGTTCGGCCTTGCCGATTTTCTTTTTCTCTTAAAAAGCGACCGAACAAAGGCTAGTTAAGATATGGAATTAATGGTATTCATTCTCGTACGCGAAAATCAACAGGATGATTAACAAATCATGCGATATTAATATTTTATCTTAGCCGAAATTTTCGGCATTATGGTACGCGAATATGGAAAACGGAACGCTATAGTTTACCGGGTATAATTTTTGCAGACATTCGAGCCAATTGAATTTGACCGAACCATTCAATAGAGGGAATCGTGCATCGACATTACCAATAAATCTCGTTGACCCTGCCCGTGGCGAAAGAGAGCACCTCGAAGACCCAAGTGATGCCCATGACGAAGACGAGCTTGAGATAGAGGAGGCACTTTATTCGCAGAATCCTGATGCCACTTCCGCTACAGTCCTTGTACTGGTGCCAGAGCTTCCAGCAGGTGGAACCTAAATAGACGATGTTCATCCCCAGGAGAACGGCGATGGGCCCGTAGAAGTACATCCAGGTCGCCTCGTTACCTGTCGAAGGAGGAGGCGAGTCGAGCTTAGAATTGCGAAATGAAATGGAGAGCCATCACTCGCAAACTCTAAGTGAATGTAAATATCCTAAGGAAGAGCCTTAAGGTGAAGTGAAACCCCCTTCAAATCAGTCGATTCGAATACAACACTTTTTTTTAAGGGTATTAGACCAAACTGTCCGAAACTTTGACACATCACTCCTGATCATCTAAGAATTGTCCTGACACATTCAAAATTTGGATTTTTCAAAAAAATCTTTTAACTCAGTCCAGACCAGCACCAAAATGGCGTCGAGCTCTCATATTTCGATCGATATACAATTATCGAAGGCTCTGATATGAGAATCGAAAGGGTCAGGAGAATTTTACGACAATTTAGAACACTCTGGTAATCGATAAACTCGCATTTCAACGGGATAAAGGCAAAAAAAAGTGTTGTATGCGCTTCTATGCCAAAACGATGGTAATACGAGGTCTTGGAGTGAAAATTTAATTGACCTGGAAATCACAGATGGCGCAGGAGGTACCACTGCAGTCAATTAGGGCCCCAGAAAGCATAAATCCAGAGGATCTCTGGAGTTTTACTTCGATTTCTTGATATTTATTGTACAAAAACGACAGGTGGAGTATGCCATTTGATACAATATCCAATATAATTCGATCCAGCTGTCAATTTAAAAACGAACGTCGGCAACGTAGGCATTTAGAAAAATCTTTATCGACGTCGATCAAGTTCCTCGACGTGTTTCACTTCACCTTAACGCCCATGAGATTGGATTTCTTAAAATAAAAATTATAAAGACTATAAATTGAAGCAGAAAAAAAGATATGAATTTCTATGGGCATCGGGACCTTCCTTAGGGCCTCCATATTCCCGTGGGAAGATTTCAAACGATTCGGTGCATCAACTCGGAGCGACGTTTTATATTAACGAGACTCCTCGGAGGAGTTTCGTGTCATCTTAAGGATCGAATGTAAATTTAGCTTACCACCGAACCAGCACGACGACTCCCCGAAGCCCGGTTTTAGGCGGTGATCGTCCATGTGATGAGTAATCAGGGCAGCCACGAGGAAACAGGTCGGCGCACCCCATCCGATCGCGCAGAACGTCGCGAACCGCGTGCTCTCCTTCGCCAGGAAGTTCTTGCACCTACGGGAACCACGGAAAAAGGAGGGGACTCGATGTTTAACACTGCAGGAGAATTTAGAAACTCACGAGACCGATCGCCAGACGTTGAAGGCCACGAGGTTCATCCAGAAGAAGGACGCCAGGAACCCGAAGTACATGACGAAGGCTGCAAATACGAGGACGATCACCTTCTGCATTGCGATGACTTTATTTCCTGTTTATGGGGATTATGGAGAATTGTTTTACCCAGGGGCACGCAGAGCTCGTCGGTCAGGAAGCCTTGTTGCATGGCGAGAGTCAGGTAGCCCACGGTCAAGGATGCTATCGCGGACATCATAGACTTGTCCTGGACGTCTCTGAGCTCGGGCAGGAGGAAATAGACCACTAGGGTGACTATCAGGAAAAAGGCCGAGAAGACGCTCAGAACGGTGAAGACGGTTTGCCTCCAGGTCGACATCTCCGGGGCGGCCTCGCTGAAGCAGACCAGCGCCGCCACCTCGGCTTTGCCCTCCGAGCGCGCCAAACAGAATCTGTTAAAAAACAAAAATAAGGAAATTGACGGTCGACTTACGATTATCGTATCATTTTGCGTAACTTAATTGCAAGATTATAAGCATTTTAGGTCATTTACGTCGGTAGAAAATGTTTTGCTCGTGTAGGAGTGGAGTTTACTCATTTTCTGCAAGTAGGGCTTGCATCGTTAGATCAGCGAAAATCGGAGATTCTGGGTCTCTTTCTGTGGAACCGACCATTGACGTTATTTCTCTTTATACTATTTCATGGCCTCGCCAAAGGGCGGACGAGACGTACGTCGAGATAGGGTAATTATCTTTGGGGCGTCACCGGTGACTGTCAATATCGGCGCATTATATTCCCACTAAAATTAGCATACGCGATTATCCCCGTGCTTTTTTTTTTTTTTATACTTTATCTCAAGGTCGACGCACACAGGCCCGATGATTGAAAGCGAGGAAAGAGTTTCGAGATCTGATTAACGGGAAGCCTTTTAGCTCGTAATTACTTTAGGTCTCTCGAAACTTTTTATTTTTCGAGCAAATTAAAGGATGACTCGCGAGGAAAGACGGAATGACTCCCGGACTAGTACTCGTTAAAACCACTTTTTATTATTCGAGGATCATATTGCATTCTTCTTGAGATGCTTCGAATCAAAATCTTGCACTTCTATCTTCCCCCGTAATCCTTGTATAGAATGTGTACATATTATTACCGACAATTATATAGAAAATATTAGACAAGGTACTTTACATGTACTTCCAATATTTTTACCGACAGACTTTATTTACGGGATTTTCATTCACGTAAAACGAATCCACGTGGAACGGATGCTCCGCGTAAATTGAGGGCGAATTTCTTTAGGGTGATTACATGTTTCCCAGCACTATTGTTTGGCTCAAATGAGCATTATTCAAAGAAATAATTTTCTTCGAGCCGGAGATAGTTTATTCTCAGTACGTGCTTAACAACTTACTGTTATCGCGATCGATTCTTACCGATGTGCCGGTATCGGCCTGCTTCCATCTGAGAAAACGAGGGAAGCATTCGCGATGACGAACTCGTCCGAAGGAAAGGTCTCGGGATCGAGTTTAAAAATCCCGATGGGACAATCCAGCCTTATGGAGGAACCGTCCGAGCAATTTGTCGATTTGACCCACGTGGTCCCCGGAGGGCAGCAGTCCTCGGGATGATGTTCCGAGCTGACAGAGCTCAAGAAAAGTGTGACGAACACTACGAGGTGGGCACAGGAAGAGCCAAGGATCGCACCAGGAGATATCCTGGCTCGGTCCTTGACATCGAGTCTCGACATTGCTACCGGACACTCAGTCGATTCCCAGATTTTCAAAATATCCGGCCAAATCGACCCCACCTAGCATCCAGGGCTTATTAAAAAAATCTTCTCTTCCTCTGGTTACCAAAGTTCACTATTACACTTCTCCTGATATCTCGCATAGAGAGAGGCAGTCAGGAACTTGTTGCATCGCTCTCTACCCGAGGTCCTGGGGCACTTGTGGATTTTTCCACGCTCGAGTTCTCGATAGCCAGCAAATCGATCGTGATTACACTTTGCACTTACCACTCGTACGTCTCTTTCGGCAACGAGTCGCCCTTCGTAAACTAGGAGTCGCATCAATTTTCATCGGTTTCTTATTCCAGTCGGAAGGAGACCGAAATCTCTGTCCTTCCTCCAGTAAGATACTTAATTCCCAGCCTCCTCGATTTTTATTTCCTTTTTTTCTCTCTCTCTCTTTCTCCTTAAACCTTATTTAGAGGCACCTTTTCCGACTTCCGGCCTCCCTCCTCGGCCACGCATTTCTCTCGAGTGAATTACTCAATTCTTTCTCCCTGGACTAAAACATAATCACACTTCAAATTCCCGGATTTTCGCTCGCATCCGTTCGAGCGTTAAGGAAAAGAATAACTCGCCCAGTTTTCACCTGCTATTGATATCGGTTATCTTTTCGTCTTATTGTTAGATTCACGGTCGATCGCGGACATCGTTGGGCGATCCGAGATCACGGAAACGCACGACTCACGCGAGACTCGGGGGACCGCGAAAACCCACTTCGCGCATGCGCGGGGATTCTACTTCGCAAGGTACGGACGCGTTCGAGTACACGTGACTTCTGTCACATCTGACAGATCGAGCAGGTGAGATCGGGGCTCTGGCGGTCATCCGTCCACCGTGCTCGCGCACCTCGTGACGACTGACGCGGACACGCGGCCTCCGGTCGACGATACGCGATAAACGGGACCCGGTGGGGCGCGATAACCCTCGCCTCGATCTCCCGGAGGGAGGCCGACGAGGAGCCCCTTCTCTCGCTTTCGATGCACGTGTGCCACGCGTTCGAGTTTGCCGCCGAGTGTCAGTGTCCGTCGTACAAGGAAATAAAATTGGACGGAGAGGCCGATGTATTGGGTTGATGCATAATTAATGATTTTTTTTTGTTACACGTAACGTGACGTTTAACAAAAAAAAAATAAATAAATAAGAGGCCATTACTAGGGAATGCCATTAGGCGCTGGGATTTCTTTTTTGAGTTTTACTCTAATTTTGAGCACTCTTCAGTTGTTTTTTTTTTTTTCTTCTGTATACATTTTATCAGGGCAAATGGTGCCGACGTTGTGTGGTAGTGATTATGGAGATGTTACGCCTTTTTAGATCCGTGATAACAGGATGACGCGCGCAAATGTGCTCCATGTACCCACTCGCTTTGGAGTAATACATGGTCTGAAGTATTTGTGGGTCAAATCGTCATGACTGGCACGTAGGATGGTTTGAATTGCCTCGGATTGACTCGGGTCAGGGGTCAATAAAATATAGAGATGCTTCGACGCACATCGACTTCTTTTTAATCTCTAACGCTTACTGATTGCTAACATTTCCCCCGGTTACGGGAGAATCTGGCAAGCCCTTTTCGCCTTTTACTCAAGAATCAATCTAGGTCAACTTAATTTTATACGTATAATTGTCTTTCTCAAGGATAAGAGTATTTGGACGTGTTGATAAAATACGTACACGCGGCTTATCTGCGAATGCGTCAACGTAGATGTATTGGACGCGTACTAAAGATATTCCGGCATTGTAAAGAGCCTGAACGAGGCTTTGTTGCGATAATAGGTCTGTTGGTTAAATTTATTACCCGTATATGCTAGCTGATAATAACATTGACACTGCTCGACCCGTGAATAATAAAATTTAGGCAACGATAACGCTATGATTCAACGTATACCGTACCTCACCGTGATTTTCCAAAATCATTTACGCAGATCCTCATTTCACTTCCTTTACTGAAATGAAATGATTCATATCTGCGTTTTTGGTCATTTTGTGAATTCACCCAAAAATGATTAACGAAAGGATTTAGTCACGGGAATGTTTTGTTGTCCATGTAGTAATCATATTCTATGATTTAACTAATATATAAATTTTACTGATAGAACCTAATATTTTTTAGCGCGTCATTTTGAGACAGTAATTCTTTCTTTATTCACCCAAAAATGATTAACGAAAAGATTTAGTCACGGGAATGTTTTGTTGTCCATGTAGTAATCATATTCTATGATTAAACTAATATATAAATTTTACTGATAGAACCTAATATTTTTTTAGCGCGTCATTTTGAGACAGTAATTCTTTCTTTATTCACCCAAAAATGATTAACGAAAAGATTTAGTCACGGGAATGTTTTGTTGTCCATATAGTAATCATATTCTATGGTTAAACTAATACATAAATTTTACAAATAGAACCTAATGTTTTTTAGCGTGTCATTTTGAGACAGTAATTCTTTCTTTATCCCTTAAAACGATTTTCGAATGTTTTGTTGTCCATATAGTAATCATATTCTATGATTAAACTAATACATAAATTTTACAGATAGAACCTAATATTTTTTAGCGCGTCATCTTGAGACAGTACTTCTTTCTCTATCCCTTAAAACGATTTTCGTCTCCGGATTTCTAATTGTCCGTTTGTTTCTTTACCCGCGATAAAATACCGAGTAACAAGCCCACGGTCATTAAGTGAATTACGAAACCCGGCTGATTACCCTCGTAAACTTGGTCGTAAAGACTCGTTGATTAAGACATAATCGGTCATTTTTCTTTCGTGATTTGCAGCTTTTGGAGATGCTGAAGTTCTACGCTAGATTTGAAATCAACGAGGAGTCAGGAGACCCGCTGACGGACCACGACATGACCCAGCTGCACTACACGAAGATCACGTCGCTCCAAGTAAATTGCTTACTTTCTACATTGCACCTTACTTATATCCCCAGAATGTCTGTAAACCGATTGCAACCGACTTAATTACAGAAAGCGGTTTTCGCAAAATTCCCCGACTTGCGAACTTTTGCCCTGGCGAACGTAGCGAGCGTTGACACGAGGGAGGCCCTCTTCAAGCACTTCGGCTCCCTGGGGTGAGTTTTGACGGCTCATGACGTATCTACCATCTCACGGTCCGCTTTCTATATAAGTCTTCATGTACATATGTCTTTACGCGTGTCTTCCACTTTTCCAGCCAGGAGAAATTAAAATCTATCGCCAGTTATCTGAACCTGGTGCCTCCGGAGGAACGTGAAAAATTCGAAGATTGGTACAGGCTGGATTTGGACTTCCTCCGTGAATTGTTGGTGAGTAGACGAGGAAACCTCGAAGAAGACTCTCCAACGTGAAGCCCGAGGGAAAAATCTCCGTATGCGGGACCTGGAGCAAGTTCACATTTATTATTCCCTTTACTTCAGATTTCAAGACACGAGCGAAGAGCTTCTCAGCTGGAAGAGCTTAACGAAATGCCTCTTTACCCGACCGAAGATGTCATCTGGAACGAGAGCGTGGTTCCAACGGAATATTTCTCAGGAGAAGGCTGTCTAGCTCTGCCGAAATTAAACCTCCAATTTTTGACGCTGCACGATTACCTGCTCAGGAATTTTAATCTCTTCCGATTGGAATCCACCTGTACGTATTTCAGAAGTTTAGCGGCGTTATATGTGCCCATAATTATGAAAGTGGTCTAAGTCATATATTTCTTGTTTCAAAAATTACATTGAATAAATTTAGTTTAAAATCATGTCGTGTGAAATAAGTGATAAATTCATTTTTTTTTTAATTAATTTTGACTTAGACCACTTTCATAATTATGGGCACATATGTGACCATTGTTCGAGCTGCTTTGATTACAATATCTATTTAATTTTTTACAGACGAAATACGTCAGGATATCGAAGACGCAGTGAGCCGTTTGAGTCCCTGGTAAGGAGCATTCTTGATTTCGAGTTAAAAAGCATTTACTGTCGTGATGGTTTTACTAATGTTTATATATTCTCTACCTTTTGTCGCTCAGGCGAGCCGAGGATGGAGGCGCGTATTTCGGCGGATGGGCCAGGATGGCTCAGCCCATAACCCAGTTCGCCGTGGTGGAGGTTGCCAAGCCTAATATCGGGGAAAAGCGACCCTCCAGGGTGCGAGCCGACGTCACGATTAATCTGAGTGTCAGGAAAGAGATCAAGTCCGAATGGGAGAATCTTCGAAAGCACGACGTTTGCTTCCTGATAACGGTTAAGCCACAGAATCCTATAGGTAAACGGGACCATTCTTTTTTTTTTTTTAATATTACATTATTTCCCGACCGATGCTTATTTTGCAAACATCTAGAGCAGAAAGACCATTCACGAGCCAAGAAATAGTCATCGATTGAACGAAATTTACCATAGTAGTAAAATAAAAAACGTACCCAACAAAAGAGAAAATGTTGGAAATAAAAAGCGCGTAAATTGAGGGTGAAGTGTATATCCTTAAATTAAGTTTTAAATAGTGAAATCCGAGTTTCACTTGTCAACCTGCTTGGTATATGGTTGCTTTCGAATCCGTTTATGTCTCTGCGTCGAGAACTCGGTGAAATGTCTCTGGGAATGCTTAAAATTACAGGTACGAAGTACAGTCACAAGCTTCCCTTTGTGCCGCAAGTGGGGCTAACCACAGTGCGGGGCTGCGAGGTCGAGGGGATGTTGGACTCCAATGGACGCGTTATCGAAGACGGACCCGAGCCAAGACCCATTCTTCCTGGGGACACTCGAACCTATCGAGTGTGGCTGGACTCGAATCAATATCGCATCGACATGGACAACGCCAGCCACGGGAACGAGGACGTCTACGAGAGCTTCAACGTGATCATGAGGCGCAAGCCTAAGGAGAACAACTTCAAGGCCGTCCTAGAAACCATAAGGGAGCTGATGAACACTGAATGCGTCGTCCCAGATTGGCTGCACAATATCATTCTCGGTTACGGCGATCCCGGTGCCGCGCGGTACTCTAGGTCGGTGAAGTAGTCACCTCGTACTCTCGTTATTGGGAGCGCAAGTGGCGATGAATACAGGAACTAGTACTAGATATCCTCTAATAAAAGGTCTTCCGTGGCCCAGGATGCCGAATGAAATCCCGACGATGGACTTCAACGACACTTTCCTCGACGTGGACCACCTGCGGCAGAGCTTCCCGGGATATCAGATTAAGTTTTCTAAGGACGACCCGGAGAAATTGGTGCGCCCGTTCCGGCTGACTTTCGAAAACGTCCTGCACAAGCAGACCGGGGAAACCGAGAAGCCCGTGATCACGGTGGATCCCCACGTCCCGCCCAGCCGAGGTCCTTACAAGGCCAACGAACCGAAGAAGTTAGCGTCCATTGATTTTTATTCCTTTATACTCCCGTCCGCTTAATTGAGGTTCCGAGGATATATTCGATTATATTTTCAGGAATCAGATACCCTTCACGCCGACGCAGGTGGAGGCTATTCGAGCGGGAATGCAGCCGGGTCTCACCCTGGTCGTTGGTCCACCCGGAACCGGCAAAACCGACGTCGCCGTCCAGATCATCTCCAATCTCTACCACAACTTCCCGAACCAGAGGACTCTCATCGTGACGCACTCCAATCAGGCGCTGAATCAGCTCTTTGAGAAGATCATGGCTCTGGACATCGACGAGAGACATTTGCTACGTTTAGGTCACGGGGAGGAGTCCCTGGAAACCGAGAAAGATTTCAGCAGGTACGGCAGGGTGAACTACGTCCTCGCAAAGCGTCTCGACCTGCTCATGGAAGTCCAAAGACTCCAGGTAAGTCGTCAATGGTTTAATTAATTATGGAAGAGCAAAAGAAAAATGCGAGTGAAAAGAAAAAGAATCGTCATCGAACCATCTACGGATGTTTTGGATCATTTTTAACGCGGCATCCTTCCGTATTTTTAGGAATCCTTGAACGTGAAGGGCGACGTGGCATACACCTGCGAGACTGCCGGACACTTCTTCATGTACCAGGTTTTGACCCGGTGGGAGAGATTCGAGACTCGGATCAAACAGAGATCCAGCGACAAGAACTCAACACCGATTTCTCTAATAGACGACGAGTTTCCCTTCCACAAGTTCTTCGACAACGCGACGCAGCCGCTCTTCAAGCGTAAGAGCCTAGAGGAAGACCTAGAGATCGCAAGGAGCTGCTTCAGGTAACTTGAGCGAACGTCCATCGTTCAGGGTAAGATCTATTCTCAGAGGATTTCGCAATCCACCGATGTACCTTGCCATTTTCAGGTACATCGAGAGGATCTTCACGCAACTGGAGGAATTCAGGGCATTCGAGTTACTGAGATCAGGGCTGGACAGGTCCAAGTACCTGCTCGTGAAGGAGGCGAAGGTGATCGCCATGACCTGCACGCACGCCGCCCTGAAGAGGCGCGAGCTCGTCGACATGGGATTCAAGTACGACAACATCCTCATGGAGGAGTCGGCGCAGATCCTCGAGATCGAGACCTTCATCCCCTTGTTGCTGCAAAATCCGCAGGACGGTTACAACCGCCTAAAGCGTTGGATCATGATAGGCGACCACCACCAGCTCCCGCCCGTCATCAAGAACATGGCCTTCCAGAAATACTCGAACATGGAGCAGTCTCTCTTCGCCCGATTCGTTAGGCTCGGGGTCCCTACCGTCGACCTGGACGGCCAGGGTCGCGCTCGGCCGAGCATCTGCAACCTCTACAACTGGCGTTACAAGAAGCTGGGCAACCTGCGCCACGTGGAGAGCAGTCCCGAGTACCTGGTGGCGAACGCTGGCTTCCTCTACGACTTCCAGCTGGTCAACGTCGAGGACTTCAACGGAGTCGGGGAGAGCGAGCCCAGCGCCTATTTCTACCAGAACCTGGCGGAGGCCGAGTACTGCGTGGCGGTTTTCATGTACATGCGACTCCTCGGATACCCCGCGGATAAGATAAGCATCCTTACCACGTACAACGGCCAGAAGCACTTGATCAGGGACGTCATAAACATCAGGTAAGCCGCATTGAAATCGCAACCCTCTCGACCTGTTTGTACCAAATTTCATATATTAGTCAACAAATCTTTTGATCCGATTCTCAGGTGCGCCAACAACCCGCTGATCGGTCGGCCGAATAAAGTGACGACCGTGGACAAGTATCAGGGTCAACAGAACGACTATATTCTGCTCTCCTTGGTGAAGACCCGCGCCGTGGGACACCTTAGAGACTCCAGACGTCTCGTCGTGGCGATGTCGCGAGCCCGGTTGGGCCTCTACGTCTTCGCCAGAGTGTCCCTCTTCAAGAACTGTTTCGAGCTCACGCCCGCGTTCCATCAGCTAATGCGGCGACCCTTGAAATTACAGATTCTTCCCCAAGAAACGTATCCCACTAAACGGCTCAATGACGCCCCGCCTGATACTCCGCCGATGGAGATCGAGGACATGCCGTGCATGGCGAAATTCGTCTACGACTACTACATGGACAAAGTGGCGAACATGAAAGTACAGCATTCTGTAAGTACGACTCACCACTCGAGTTCGGTGCTCGGGTGTTTTAATGAATAAGTGTAAACTTTTTTTTAACAAGATTTAACAACTAAGTGTATGGAAGATCAGATGAGCTCCGGGCATGGACGTAAGAATATATAAACGGAGCTCAAAGTCGCATCTTACTAGGAAACATGCCCAAGTGTCCGCCTCCGATCTTATTGAGTTTCATATATGTTGAAGAACACAAAAATCTAAGAGACACGTGTTTTTTTATATCTGCAATGGTCCACATTTAAGGGGTGAAACAATCCCCCAAAGTTTAGGGAAAAGTCGGTTTTTTAAATATTTTTCGTAGAAGCAGTGGAGGGATTTCGATGAAACTTTGTATAAACGTATTCTGTGTAAGGACGGTGACAACACAATATTGTTCAGCAATGTTGCACCCCCTCAAGGTTAGACTTCCCTCTCTGGCTTGGGCTCCGTCCATGGTCGGAAGTGGAAGGGCATGGCGGCCATATTGGTCAGCCAATATTTCAGCCTCCTGATTGGCTATAGAAAGCGTCGCTCCCCTATTATATATATATATATATGTAATAATCGTTCCCTTGACGGGAACAGGAATGTTTTATCGCTCTTTTTTTGTTTCTTTTGTTGTTAGAAGGTGACCGTTTCTTTTTTTGCATTTCACAGGACTCGAAGAAGGAATGGCAGAAGCCTGGCGCAATGCCTGCGCCGGGCAGTCCTATTCATAGAGTTCCTTCGCATCCTGGGGCCGACGATGACTCGGACGACGAGGAAGTGGTAGAACGAAGACCCGTCGTTTTGGCGGAACTCTCGAAGGAAGAAACGATAAGGACGCGGAAAGAGAAAACGGAAATTGAGGAAACCGCGGAGACAAGTGCTACGATGGAAACGACAGAGATAACGAACTTGGTAGACACATTGGAAACGACCGAATTGATTGGAGGGAAAGATAGAACCGAAAACGTAGAAGAGACGGGAGAGTCGTTAAGGACAACAGAGACGGTAATGACGACAGAGTCGGTGAATACGACAGAGACGAGGGAGACGATAGAAACGTCAAAACCTTTGGATACGGGGACAGGGATAGAAATGACAGAAACAGCGGAAACCTCGAAAGAGACTGAAGCTACGAGTGAAACGGCAGAGACAACGGAAACGAGAGTAGCGGAAACAATGGACACGGCGAAGGCGATTGATACAATGGAAGCCACTGAGCCAAAAGAAACAATGAGCTCGGAATCGACAGAAACGATAGAAGCAATTGAAACGACGACGGCAACGGGAGCAACGGAAACGAAGAAAACGGAAGCAACAGAAACGATGGAGACAACAGAAGCAACAGAAACGATGGAGTCAATGGAAGCAACGGGAACAATGGAGACAACGGAAGCAATGGAAACAGTAGAAATGACAAAAGTAGGAGAAACAGAAACGACGCAAGCGGCAAAAACGCTGGAAACAGTAGAAACGACAAAAGTAGGAGAAACAGAAACTACGCAAGCGGGAAAAACGATGGAAACAACTGAGACAATGGATATGGAAAAAACGACGGAAACAACTGAAACAATGGATATGGAAAAAACGACGGACTCGGCAGAAACAACGGATGCACCAAAGATAGCAGAAAAATCCGAAGAACCACCAGAAGAGACTCGATCCCCTCATGATCTCATATCTAGAGAGAATGAAAATACGTGAAATATCATCCAGAACAGAAAGGACGTTAAGCTCGTGTTCGTAAGTCGCATTTTGCCTCTTTCCTCCCATCCGGGGTAAAATTCGCGAGGATGGAAAGAAAGGGTGTACGTACAACGATTCCGTGTATATAAAGTAACGACTGTTTTTCAATACTCCACAGTGTCTTAAGCGTCTCTGAGTGTTCAATGTAAATATCTTAAGTTTCTTTATCATGTCCTATTCCAGCAGAAGACGTGGCTTCCGTGATGACCGTTATCTTCTCCCGTTGTAGTACTTACAACATTATCCGTTTCACCCTGGAAGGTTCCTTCGTATCATTCGTCTCCTTCCTAACGTACGGTCGCCACCTGTGCTCGCAGAGTAGCTTCCACCGCCCAGATTTTGGGTATCTACCTGGCTTTTAAACCCGATTTTACGTTTCCCGCTTTTCGTCCGACACCAGAGAGGAGCTGAGCTTCTTCGTCAGCTTTTTCTCCCGCTCGCCGCGGTGCTTGGAGCTTTTCCTCTTCGACGGTCTCTTCGACCTGGTCGCGTTTCCCGTGCTGGAAGGCACATAACTGTCGTCGAACTTCATCGATTTACTGGCGGAGGTGAAGTCGGGCTCGTACTCTTCAACGGTCCCTTCCGCGTTTTTCGAGCTGGGGACGTAGACGTGGAACGTCTCGTCAACCGTGGAGGTAGACCGGGGTTCGTAAACCTCGTGGGTCCCCTGGTTGGCGGTCGAAATCGAGTTCGGCACGTAACGCAAAAGGTCCCCGTAAGAAGTAGCCGTCGACAACGAGGGTATGTACTCGTTCGAGGACTCCGCGTTCACGGTTCCTTGCAATGAGCTCTTTTTACTTGGGACGTAGCTCAGGTCGATCCTGATCCCTCCCGTCGACACTTTACCAGGAACATACTCCTCCACGTCTGGAGCCCAAGGAGCCACCGCCGAGATTAGCGGTTTCTTCTCCTGGCTCCTCGTCGGAGAGCTCTCTGACGACATTCCCACTCGCTCCTCGCGGTTCTTCTCGTCTTTTCCCACCTCGCGAGTCTTGCTATCCTCGCGCTGTACCTCCTCGCACTTTTCGGACGAGGATTTCGCCCTTCGTTTTCGCTTCGCCGGGGATACCTCCACCCTGATCGTGGGCAACGGAGACGCCTTGTCGTCGCGAGCCGCGGATGCTTCAAAGGTGTACCTGGGGAATGAACGTACAAGTATTAGTTTCGCGACAACGCTACCGTTCTAAATTGATACCGTAGGATTGTATCATTATTTTATATTTATATTAAATCGTTGGGAAGAGCGAACGACCCCTTACTTAATCTCCAGATTTTTTGTGGATTTCCTTCTAGCGCGAGCGCGCGAGCGATCCGCCGGGGCGGCCTGTCGATCCCGAAGAAGAGCTTTCTGCAGGATCTCGTAAATCTCCGCCCAATCCCCCACGTCCAGCCACTTGTTCGTCGAGACTTTTTTATCCCGAATTTCGACGATCTTCTCTTGCACGGTGATCACAATCATCGCCGCGCAGTTCTCGGCAACCTGCAAGTGCATATACATGAGCGAGTACATACGTAAATGTACGTAAATATTTACATAAATGTGCATTAATGCACCTAAATGTACGTAAATGCACCCAATGCACGTAAATGCCCCGAGGTATACTTCTTTCTCCCTCTCTTTTTCTCTATTCAGACGTCACTCGCGGCGCGCACGTGGCTCGGCGGATATCTAGAGCGCCTGTAGATTCCTACGAACAGCTGTTGCTATTACCTTGATCACCTCCAGATAGTGGCCCTCCCGAAACATCCTCGAGCCCAGGGAAACCCTTCCGGAAACTCTTCCGCAACTCGAAAGGAAACAGGCCTCTCCAATCCGCCTTCTTTTGTAGACTACGACTGCTGGATCGGCCAGGAACGAACTTTCCTCTCGTGAATGTCGGTGCGACTAACGGCGCGTAACATAGGCGCGAGGCTCTATGTGCGCATGCGCGCACGAGGTGCACCTGCTGCGCGTTTGGATCTTAGGAATATCATGGGACGAGGCGAAGCACTCTTTAAAGGCCTGCGACCATGATCAAAGAGCTTCGTCGAAGCTCTTTTTGTCAAGTGGATGTTTTTCTACATCTTTCATCGCCGATGGACGAAAGCTTTGATGCGAAACTTGGATTTAAAAAAAAAAAAAACAGATTTTTATATAGATCCATCCGAAGATACGTCAAAGTTAAGAGCATTTACGTGGAGGGTAATTGTCAAGAATGGAAAGCATAACTAATGTGAAGTACAGTAGGGTGAAGTATTATATGCAAAGAGAAAATCGGACAACTGAAAAATATAGATGTATATTAAAATTATGCATTCTTGCAATGGTTTTATCTAAACGGAATTAATGTAAATAAAAATAAGGAGGGATGGAGATGTTCGAGGTGTTTTTTTTTTTATTCTGCTCAGATTCGCTTTTTCACAGTTCTAGTCGTATAGAGCTCCTATCTTCTGACTTTTGCTTTTCGTTCAATTTTACTTTAACGGGAAAGCAAAAGACCACGAGTCACGAAGGTTGTTATTGTTCCGAGATGTTAAGAGAGAATTAGCGGCGAAAATTGAGATTTTGTGTGGAGAAGAATTGCAGACGCGATCGACGACTTCGTCTTGAGATACGAAAGAGTTTTGCAATTGCGCATCCAATGCACCGATAATATAAACAGCTTGGAGCATTCCAGATGATCGAGCAGATAAAAAATGATTTCCCATAAGCAGATGAAGGTACGAACGAAGCGGGATATTTAGATAAGATAATATTTGCGAACACTTACCAGATGTCGACTGCAGGTGATCTTCGATCTTCGCTTCAAGTTCCTAGATCGGACGTAACGTCATCGTCGAAATCCTTGATACTTTATCCAGTCATATTTTAGTTGGCGGATGTTATTAATAACTCCGTTCCAAGGAACTAGACATGGCAACCCTGTTAGTAAGAATTATTTCATGTCAAAAATGGCCGAGTATCCAGACTCGGAGTTAAAGAAACTGGAGCGCAGCTTCGAGATCAGTGACATTTATTAAAAGGTCTTTCGTTTGTCATGGCTGGACAGATGGGCAAAAGTAAAATTGAAGAATTAATCGAGTACATGGAAAAAGATGTTTATGGAGCCCAGGTTCGTACTTACGCGATGCACTGTATTTCCATGTTGGGTAACCTAACCTTCTCCGGTCTTCTCGACGGAACACTTCAAAATTAGAGTAATAACAATTTTACGTTGCAGGTTGTGATATATGGGTTATCTGGTATCGGCCTGATAACAGCTGTATACAGAATTCGACCGGTAACCCCTTTCGCTTTTATTATAATTCAAAACGTTTTTTAAATTGTATCGGTGAACGTTCTTTACTCCACATTACACGTTTTTATACTTCTCAGATTTCCAAGTTCACTAGACCATCCCAAATACCAGATCGGTTTATCAAGTCTCGGGTACCTCTTAGAGGTACGGTAAAGGGCATAGAACCGTTCGGTGGACCATTCATCATGGTCGATCATAAACCGTTGATAAATATTCCTAGATTGCGACAGCAGGACTGTCTACCCATAAAACTTGCTAACGTCGATGTGACAAATAATGGTAATTGTAGTTTTCATCAGAAGTATAAAATAATTTGATTACAGATAATGTAACGAAAGATATGATTTACAGGTATAAGTTGGTTAAAAACTGTTATCGGTGGAAAGGAAATTACATTTATACCATTGTCCAAAAGAAAGAATTATGTGGATTGTATTATTACCATGCCGGAGAAAAATAAGGTATACGAGTTATCCCATTCACGGATAGCCATTTAAATTATAATCACCTTATATTAATGTCAAGTTAAATTTAATAACTCTAGTTGTCATTGTATCATGGCATTGATCATAAAAAATTAATGAGCTTAAAAGTTTTTAATGCAAGAGGCGTTTCGCGTAATGTTCTCAAATTGAAAATTAGGAGCAGTTACAGATTGCGAAGGAACTGGTTAAAGTAGGTTTTGGTACTGTACATAAAAAAAATGATTTAATAATGACCGAGAACGTCCTAGAATATTACAAATCATTGGTCGCTGCACAAAAATTGGCACAACGCAGGAGAAATGGAGAATGGCAACAAAAACTACCACCCACGCTTCTATGGAAACTATATATTATTACTGAAGAAAAACTACGGTCTTTACTACCCAGCTTCGCAATCAAGATGCTTAATATCTAATGGTTTGTTACGATTTATATTACTATCAATAACTTACAATTCATTCATAGCTGCTATTCTTTTCAGATATCTCAAAATAAATACAATGATTGAAACAGATTCCCAATTGTAGCACATGTACTTAAATGTACAGTGATGATTGCGTGGGTGCAGAAAGTACAAATTGAAATATTCTGTTCTTCTATTGCACAATTTGCTAAGCCAATAGTGAATGCAAATTGTATGCAAACTGTTTCCTGAAAACATTAAACATACAGTTGCTGCATGTAATGATTATCGATAATTTACATTAAGCTTATACTGTATATATTCCAAATATCGTTCCTGCTTAGATTAATTGTATAAAAAAGTAGGTCATACAGGATATGTAAATATATTTATATTTACTTCGCATAGAAAAAGATTACACAACCAATATTACTTTTAACCCTATTTACAGGTACAGATCACAATGACTAAAAGAGTAGATATTTTTTAGGACTTCCTAGTCCATAACAGTATTATTTACGAGTTTAAATGACGGGTTATTCATGTTCTGGCTGTTATAAGAAGCGCACCTGTAGGAGATTCACTTACCAGTCGACATTCACAAAAACTCAAAAATAATTCAAAATAAAGTATATGAAGATTTTAATTCCACAGTACATCTGCATGTGAAATTCCTTGGAATAATAATCATGGAATGTTTTGTATTAAGACTAAAGTCCTTTGTGAGAGATATTGTCACACTGTCATTGAAACTGTACGTTCCTGTATCTTGAAATTGGAATATATTTTTCATATATGTGAATCACCCTTCTGTCGATTTACTTCACTTCAGTTCATTCGACTGAACAGGTCGGTTTTTTGAATCTTTTCCCGCACTTGCAGCATTCTCTTGTTTGCTATTTTGACTTTTTCCCGAACCTGTTTTTGATGATACAGTTTCTGAACGTGCATCTTTTTCATCCTTTTGCTTGTTCGATTTGTCATTTTGTTTACCAATAGACGCCTTCGTGTCTTTTCTCATTTTTGAGTTTGAATCATTATCGGATTCAGGTACTTTGGCAGAATTTGTAGAAGGCTTATTAGTTGTAGAAGTTGGTTTGCTAGTTGTAGTTACTTTGTTAGATGTAGTTGGCTTGCTAGTAGTAGTTGCCTTGTCAGATTTAGTTGGTTTGCTAGTTGTAGTGGTAGTCGATTGGCTTGGTTTTGGAGTCGTAGGTACTGCCTTAGAAGCTGCACTTGGTGGTTTGGGAGTTGCTTTGGTCGGTGGTTCTGTTGATATAGTTGATACCCAAATTGGCTGATCTTGTGTTTTATGAATTTGTTCCTTTTCAATGCTTAAATCAGGAAAAGCTTGTTTCAATGGAACTCTAGCAATAAATTCATTGTGTGGTGATCCCAGCCATAAATAGCCTTTATGGATAAAAGCTGAACTGATTGTAGAAATTTTACCATCCGTACTGTGCAAAGCATCAATTATTTTTCCAGTTTCATCAAGTCGCAATACAGTAACTTTTTTACCAAACAGACCATTTAAAGGTTCAAATGAACCTATCATGTAAACAATTCGTCGTGAATAGTAATTTGGGTAAACATCTTCAAGCAACTTAAACGGTGCTTCTGCTAATGTAACTAATCTCGTAATCAGTTTCCGAATATATGGATGAGGCGTCAATGATTGAACTATTTGTGGATGCTCAGTATCTGCAGTAGATACTAAAGCAACTAAGAAGCCCTTGCCTCCATCAGAATGTATATTGTCAGGTAATCCTGGTAATCCCTCTGCAAATACCTCTCGCTGCCCTGTTTTTGGTCCTTTGATATTATACTTCATGATGCGAGATCGAAATGTCTCTGCTACGATGACAAAGCTCTCATCGTGACTTAACTTGACGCCATTTGCAAATAAAAGATTTTCAATAAGCACCTCATTTTTCTTAGTTGCTGCATTGTAACGAATCAATCTGCAAAAATAACGTCATTTATTACCTCATAGTAGTAAAATATAAACCTTGAATTAAAATGACTACGTTACCTGCCAGATGGAGCTGTAAACATTGAGTAAAAGCCATCGTGTAAAGAAAAGTCACTAGATGAATCTGACCAATATAAATCTCCATTACTTGCCACATCAACATAATTGAATATTCTTGGTACTTTTCCTTTAATAGGAACGTTTGGATCTACAATTTTCTCATATTTGCCAGTTCTGACATCAACTTTAAATATTCCATAATAAGCATCGGCAACATATAGTGCTCCATGCTTATCAAATTTTAAACCCAGAGGTCGTCCACATTTTATCAGTTCCCAAAAATCCTCTAAACATCAATAAACATTATTATAATCTACCGTTTATCTTTATCATGATTTAATGAAAACCAAGAACTGTCATGAAATGCTTACCGCAAGCTTTACCAAACTTAGTAACAGGATCAAATCTGTTTCTGTCAAATTTAATTACATGGCCACCATATATTCCACTATAAAGTTCATCGCCATAAGAATCAAATGCTTCCGCACCCTTTAATTTGCCAGTAAACAATATTTCAGCATCATTTAATCTATCATTCGATGCTAAATGATTGGGAAGGTCTTTTGGCTTTACTATGCTGAAATATAAAACTCGATTATGTTTCATCCGATATTGTAATAGAAGTAAGGGTTACCTGTACTCGGAGAATTCAACATCTGGAGGAAGCCCGGGTATAAATGTAACTGCAGCAAGGAATGTGATGATATACACGAAACCTGTCCCCAAGGATTTCAAATACCCCATCTCGTCGGTGAATCAACCTTGTACTCGGTGAAGAAATGCTGATTCTCTCTATAGTCGTTCACAGTTACGAGTACCTCTTTTAAATTTGTACCGACTAAAGAACTATGCAGCTTTCTATCTTTTTCAGCAGATTCCAAAGGGTAATTTGACACCCGGAGATAAAGTTTAATCCCTCTTATCGCAAATTAATAGAGATATTGAACATTACCACCGCCGTTGCTAACCGCTGAAAGCGATTAAAACCTGTGCAAGGAGGAATCGGTGAAACGAATATTCGTTAAAAAAACTGTGCAGCACAACACGCCACGTGTAAGTAAGGCGTTCCAGAAATTTGTTTTTTGTTACTATCTCAGAAACGATGTATCAAAGTGCAATTGCCAATATCAGTACCAGATATGAGTGGGTACGCATATTTTACCGATCCGATTACTTACGCCAGCGTGAAACAGCGCTAGCGGAGAACCGCGTCAGTCAGTCCACATTTACTGCTTCTTACTCAATCCTACCCGGCATCGTACTATTTTATTTCACACAATTATTTAACCGAAAAAAGTATGACATGCCTCATATAGCATGAGTTACTATACTTAATTAACGGAAATAAAGCGTTAGATTGTTCATACGTACACAAAAGAAATTGATATTATCTTAGGCAGAGCTTCCATCCAAACAGTATTACAGCATTGACCTCTCTCTTTTTCTGGCCATGAATTCGATGACGCGATTGCGATTTATTGCTTTCAGAATGAAGCCTATGTGTGCGTGTTTGACCTTTACTGGAAGACTGAAAATACGTAGATAAAACGTACCCTGCTAAAAATGGCGGCAGGTTAGCCGTACGCAACGAATGTCAACGTGAATTGAGATGTCGATAAAAGGATTGAAAAGGTTATACAGAGGCACTTATTACGTTTGAATATACCGCGCAGGTGACAAAGTACCGCCATTTTGTACTACGTGAATCATGATATTTGATGTATCACGATGGCATAATATCATTTAATTTTATTTGCCATGTAAACGCAATTTACTTAGACCCGAGAATGCTTATTATTTAACTATCTGTCATGATTGTCATCGAACTTTATTTATTTCATTCGAAACCACTTTTTTTTGTAGGGTTTGGATGTGCCGCGTAAAAAAGGAATGTTATCATGTACTGTGAAAGTCATAACAAGGATAACAAGTACGAGTTTGTCATCTTCACGACTGCGTTTTCTCTAAATCGGATGAGTCGTTGAAGAATTCGTTTTCACAACAGGAGAGCCTCATGCTATTGTAATATGAATCTTTAAATCTTTAAAGGCGTTTCCAATCGTGAAAAGATGCAGACAAGCTTTCAGCTTTAACAGTCGCCGATGACACGTGCATACAAATCTCTTGAATCGCTGATCGTAAGGTGCAGTGGGGGGTACGTATGACGACAGCTTTTGTTCAACGTACCTGACCACGTTAAAATATTAAATATGGCTCCTGACATGAAAACATGACTCGAGGAAAATGAGCAGAAACGAGCAAGTTGTTGCCGATTGAGTAACGTGGATGATCTCGCACTACAGTAGGCTTTCCTTCGTCGGGTGTCACTTAACCTCTAGTCGTCGTTTTAGAAAGTGAATATATCTAGCCATGGACGACGAAATCAATCCGAATATCGAGGATGACGTGACGATGCAGTCGTCTACGGGGAGTCTAGGTTCACCATACCAAAAGGGAATTGTCTATAACAAACTACTTCCCTACGCTAATGAACTCGACGACGAGTCTCAAATTTTACTTGCCGAGATCAAGGGCAACCTAGGACGAGCCATTATGCTGCGGGAAATTCAACCTGGTTGCAGTCTCTGGACTTCTAGGCTTTTTAAGTACGGTAGAACCATTTAAATATCCTTTTGTTTAATAACTGAAAGCTATTTGCATAGTGGTCATAGTATTTCTTTAAGTTTGATTTTGCGGTAGAAGTCATGATTGAATCATCCTTAAGTAAAATTCTTTTGTCAATGCGTATCTTTCATGAAGAATATATTAAATGTTAGCAAATGTTAACATTCTTACATGTCTTTATTTTGTTTTAGATATGTGTTAATATATGGAATGAAGTTTAGTAAAGAGGATCATATTTTATTTATTAAACTGATGTATGAACTGCTAACTATACCTAATTTAGAACCATTTTTAGTCAACAAATTTGGGTCTTCGCTAATTTTATTATTAAAGTAAGTACGGATGAATTTTCCAAAGTTTTTTACAAGGTGGATACTTTAATTTAGTAAAAGAGTCAATTTTATTACATTCATCATTTAGAAAAAAAGAATTGATCTCCCCTGAGGAACTGGAGTTACCATGGAGACCATTATATAATTTAATGCACAGTATAATATGTAAGAGACATGCTCCTCAAAGCTTGCACCGTTATTTTTCTTCAATGGATGTGACTTTGGATGCTGTGGTGCAAGCTGTAAAAATCTATTTTCCGGTAAGTATGAATATTATAAAATTATAAATGATGTGACATTCTTTAAAATCTTTTTATTTTTTATGTCCACAGTTAAGCGCAACTCGAGAAATATTGGATGAAATAAGACCCATGTTATGTCCTCTTAATGGAAATATTGTGCACATTGAAATGTTAGTATCATTCTTGCCATTGCAATTGGCTCCGAAGCATCATTCGTTAGGCTATGAATTATGGTTCAATGAATTTATGGTACTTTGGGAAGTATGTCACAATGCTCCACAGTGGGAAAACGAAATAATGTGGTTAATGGCTAAATTAGCTACGCACAATATTGGATATATCGACTGGGAGCCACATTTGCCTTTGATGTTTACTAGATTTGTAAGATGTTTAAATTTTCCGGTATCTTACAAAAATACTCAAAGTAGAAAGCACCACAAGATTGAGACAAGTCCAATTGCTATGTGGATTGTTGCTGTTTTAGTAAGTATCATGGTTTAATTTATGTGTACGTAGTGTGCTGCAATTCACTATTGTAAGGACAGTGACAAGATTTTGTACACAGGGAAATGGATCGAGCTCACAGATGTATCTTGAAAAATTTATGAAAACAGTAGAAACTTATTTTCATCCTGCAAATTTTGGAAGTTGGTTGAACAGATTAAAGGAGCTACTCAAAAAACTTCCATATCACTTTATTTCACGTCTACATAAGTAAGTTACGACACATCAGCTAAATATTTAAAAAAGAATACATTATATACCTAGCAGAATTTTTTTAATCAGCAGTTTCAAAGCAATTCATTTTTTATGTACATCTGTTTCGGTAACTGTCTTAGACTACTTTTGTTAACACTTTCGATTTATCATTTTCCCCTTTCTCGAAAGAGTAATTAGCAACCTTAAAGCACTGTCCAAATAATATCAGATTTCAGTATAAAATTTGTTGTTTTTTGTAAATATAGGGAGCGCTATGGTAAACCAACGTGGGAAACCCCAGTTCCAGATACACACAAGTTGACCGATGATGATGTCGATGCTTTTGTAAAATGTGTAACACCTGTTGCCATGACTGCCATGTTTAGTAAGACAGGTGTTAACGACGCATGTCATGCTTTACAATATCTTGCTACTATGCGACCAAGCTTAGTAATTCCAGATGTCTTGGAACGAATGTATTCCACCCTCGATTCCTTAACGGAACCTCATAAATTAACTGCGGTTATGATCTGTATGGTAGCAGTTGCCAGACCTATGGTACAAGGGTCCAGGAATGTGAACAAAGGTTTCGTATTTTGATGTTAATCAAATTCATTCAACAATTATATAAGGATTTCAATATTTACATTTATGTAGTATGTAAAAATATCACAGTAATAAAAACGAATATTGCATTTCAGGTTATACGTACCCAGAGGGGCCCTCTCACGTACTTCCACTTCTTTTTTCATCTTTACCTGGAATAGATCCCAATGATGCAAGAAAATGTTTTGTTACTTTTCGTTTGATATCTGTTTACGCCACGCTGGTACCCATCATGGATTCTTCGAAATCACAAGCACCTATGGATGAGGAAGAGAGACTGGTTTGTGAATCAACGTCTCGGTTTGAGGATTTTATTCTACAGTTTCTGGATCGAATTTTTGCCTTTATCGAATCTAGTTCACTAGAATTTGTGAGACTGGAAAGCTTAGCTGGCGATGGAAAAAGCAAACTAGAGTCAATGGCAGAAAGTGCACTGGCCGGCGTTTGTACTTCGCTTCTTATTCAGACCAATGACGCACTTTTCGAGTGCGCTTTGCACAAATTACGTTCTTTCGTTACGGAGCGTATTCTGGAGACAAAGGTAGCCGGCCAGCTAGCTGCTGTTTTATGTAAAATATTTACCCGAGTCAATGGCCACAATACTTTGCGTGCATTATTGCCAGTACTATCCGAAACGATCTTGGAATGCGTTGGAGAAGGCGATGAAATTATTAAGGAGGAAAATCTGGATAACAAACTTCTCTACGCTATGCTTCTGCTCTCTGAAATAGTGGACACTTTAGGCAATCATTTATTACCATATTTGGGGACTCTAAAGTGCGTTCTCGACAAAGTTTTGCATCTGAAGTCACGGGAAGGCAGCAGGCTCGCACACCGACTCCTCAAGGAAGTGCTTCACTCTTTGTCTAACGTGGCTCCGAACACTTATCACACTCTGACCAAAAATTATAACGACCCAGAGTATCCCAGTATTAGAAATTGGGGTCAGGGCATAGAAGTCAACAGTTTAAACATCGAATGGTATGTTCCTGGTGACGAAGAAATCACTGCGGTGCAAGAGATATTCTCCCGATACCTTCCACCAGAAGTAGCTCGGATCGAAGAGTACAGCATCGACAAAAAATCATTAACACGGTAAAGCATGAGCTCTAGCAATACAGGGTTGAAAAGAAGGTACTTGTTCGGGGGTTTATTTCATAAATGTTTGAAATTATTTAAAACTGGCTTCCGTGATTTTATGAATGTTTTTTTATTTTTAAAAGTAATTTGGAGTAATTTCTCTGTTAATACTATGCACTTTGAAGTTCACCGATATTCGTTGCATATGATAAACGTATTCAGTAAATGTGTCGAGTGAATTTTTATTTTGTGCAAGTTATTTAAATTAAATTAAGATATGAAACTCAGGTAACGTAAATACTTTTAGGGAGGAATTGTTAACTAGCTTGAACATAGTTAACAGTATTGTCGAAGGATGTGAGTCACTTTTACCGATATGGTCCGAGCCTCCTGTGGTGATGGAAACAGTATTAGATCAGAAACCCTTTTTGCCAACTCTTGGTATTAAAGGAGAAATCAAGATGCCCGATGGAAGTAATGTAAGATGTTATTTGGCGAAAGTCATGTGTACCTTACAGGACATGATGCTCGAAAATTCAGAAGATGATGTAAAGAGTTTGTTCGTATTAATTCGGGTATGTATATATTATCTTTTACAAACGTTATAAATAGAAGAGATTAATTTCATAAGTTAAAGCAAAGCCATTAATATTATTGCTTTCTAACTAATGTATATTATTTCAATCGAAGCACCATGTAAACGTAATTAAATCATTTTTAACATGCAAAATTGACCAGTCAGATATTGTTTCCAGATATGGAGCGGTCTCCTGCTGGGGAAAATGCGCTTACGGAATTTGCACGAAGCTAGGCGGAAGAATTTTCAGTTCGCCAAAAAAATACTGGAGGACAAGCTATTAGGAAAAAAAAGACATTTAGGGCCTTTTATAATCGAGCGCGCCACTCTTCAGCACGAGTCACGAATATTTTCTCAAGCACCCTGCCTCACCGAGACTCACCTGCTCATGATGGAAAAATTGTTCAAATTATCCATTAGCAGATACGCCGACGTTCGTTCAAAGGCTCAAAAGGCGTTCTTTTCTGCCATTCAGAATTTCCCTTACTCTTACAGCTATTTCATAGAACACATCGTTGATGTTTTAAGAAAAAGTCCGGAAAAAGAGCACGAGGCTTACAAGGTGAACTCTCTGATTTGCTATTATTTTCTGTAATAAGTTAGAGCTATAGTTAAATTATGTTTTTCATTTACACGATCAGGGTGCACTGTATCTCTTACTGGGACCGCAACAAGATCCACTGGTAACGAAACGTGACTGGTCTTTACTGAGAGTCTTGTGGCCAGCTATCGTGCGTTCCCAGCCCTCCGAGAAGCCCTCCGTAATCCGGTTGAAGGAAAGTTTAACTAACCTAGTGCATCAAAACTTTCCGACGACTACCATTAATCTTGAAATACCAGATGACTGCGTGAAGGTGGCCGAAGGATTGTGGGACTTCACTCCACAACCCATAACGCTTCCACCTAACGAAGCAGAAATCAAAGCAGGAACGAAAAATTTAAAGAAAATTAGTGAACACAATCTACGGATTTATAACGAGCTTGTAAACGATCTTTTACATGCGGTCATAGAGGAGAATCTGCACTGGCGACATAAGTTAATGGCTATGGGTTTTATAAGGGACTTGGTACATCCAGATCAGGAGTATTCGCCGAGAGTAGTCCATTATTTCCTCGACGCTCTGATACACGATTCTCTGGACGTGAGAAAAATCGCCATCAAGACGGTGATTTATATGCTGAAGCAACAAAAGAGGAAGCATCCAAAGGTGACCGAGCTATTTCGCTAACTCGTCGTACTTTACTTGAATGCCTAGGAATTGTTCGCCGTGCGCGTTATTTACTTTAAGTCTCGATTGATGTATGTCCAATAATCCTGTGAAATTGTGCGAAGGTAACCGCAAATCTGGCAGAGCTTCAGAAATCACGGCCACCTCAGGACGAGCAATCGGTATCATCGGAGAGGTGGAGTCCGGGAGAAAGATCGGACAATACGTGGCTGCTTTACGACTATGAGAACAGGCCCCTCACCGTGGAACAGTGGGACGAGTCCAGATACGTTCATAAGCCGTACATTGGTTATTACGCGTGGCCTAAAAAATTGGAAATTTATGCCCCATCGGATCAGCAGCCTTCCCTGGATCTTGCGAGCCGAACGATGACGCCATCCGAAAGAGAGGTCCATGATTTCTTCGACGATCCGCAAAACGTGGACAAGCTGGTTAAATTCCTCGTTCTGGAGGAGCACAAGGGCAAAGACAAATTCAACGTCTATCATTATCTACTTTTCAAGGGCCTTTTCCGTAACCACGGAGATGCTCACCTGAAACACTTTTTACCTCACCTGCAGAGGCTGGTGGCGGATAAACACGAGAGCCACCAGCGGTGCGCCGCGGAAATAACGGCGGGTCTTATTAAAGGTGCGAAGCACTGGCCCTTCCAAATGACGGAGAACATGTGGAAAGTACTTCTTCCGGTTGTACGAGTTGCTCTTGGTAACCTTACCGTAGAGACCGTAGAAGACTGGGGTATATGTTTCGCCACTGCCCAGGAACGACGCGACCCTAACAAACATCACTGGTTGTTGGAGTGTTTGATGGAGGAGCCGCCTCTCGGTGAATCCGAAGCATCGTTTGTCGAATGTGGAAGGCTATATGCTCTTCAGAGTGCTCTAACTCAGCATTTCTGGAGAGTGCCCCAATTGTTGCAACGCCTTCTGGCTCGTTTGGAAGACAGACTGTTAGCCAATCCGTTTCAGATTGTTCGGGACCGTTTAGGGTCCCTGTTGACTATGATTTTTTATGCAGATCTTAGGTTTCCTTACACTGAATATAAGCAGTCGACCCCTAAAGTGCAAGACCTTATAGATAAGGTTGTCCCTAGGCTGCAAAGATTAGCCGAAGATCCTACGATGCTCCACGACAATGCCTCCAGCAGTGAAAAGTCAATAATGTCACGCGTTGCAAACGTAACGTTAGGAGAGACCAAGATGTCTACGAACAATAATAAAGTTGCTGAACGAGAGGCAGCGATTAGATTGTTTAAAACCGTTTGTAAATGGTTAATCGGTAGCATATCGCGTTCGCAGTACGGGGCTTTGTCTGGATTTTATGAACTGTTCCCTATCATCTGCCAGTTGGAAAATTGCGACGTGGACGAGGAGTTGACGAAGACGTGTTCGATGACATTGGCACTGTTGGCACAAGCATTGACTCTGCCTTGTCATATGACAGCGGCTTTAAATGCCGTGACCAAAGTTTCGAAGAGCTCTTCTTGGTGGGCCAGGGCTACTTGCCTCGAATTCCTTCAAGTCCTTGTATTTCATAATATGAGTATCATACTTAGCAATCAGGAATGGGTCTCCTGTGTCCGTGACATTGTTCTTAGACTCCTCGAAGATGACCGGCTCGAAGTCCGGGAAAAAGCAGGACAAGTACTCGGAGGTTTATTGCATTGTACATTTATCACTGATCACGAAAGTCTTTTGGTGAGTGTTTTTTAATTAACGTCTTAAAATTGGGATAATATATCTTAAAATAAAATTACTTGATTTAGTAGATTTTCACGCTTGGAGCTGATCTTGAAATTTGTGTCGTAGCACATGGATGGGGAAATTCTAATTAATCTGTTATTCTTTTTAGTTTACTTAACGCTAGAACAACCATATCCATTTAAATTATGGGTTTCTGATGACCCACCAAAGACAATAAAAATATCACTGGTTCCAGTATTAAATTATACGTTAAAGATTAAGCCATTCGTATCAAGACTTTAATAATAACAGAAAAAAATGTTACGGCTTAGATTGAATTAAATACTAATTTATAAGCATGTAATTTAATCGCATATTTTAATGATACCTTCTTATTTTTTAGGAACAATTTAAAATTAAGGCAAAAACTCGTATTCGTAAAAGACGACATGGCTCTGTTAGTTACGACGAGGACGACAAAATTGCAGAAGCTAAAGCAATTCGAGTTAGACACGCCGGTGTTCTTGGTTTGTGTTCGTTTATCCGCGCTCATCCATATGATGTGCCGAAGTACGTGCCTCCAGTTTTGGAGCACTTAGGTCTTCATTTGAACGATCCTCTGCCAATCCCGGTTAGTATGTCCACCGAAAAGTTACGGGTACATAAATCGTTGGAAGTGTTGCATTTTTTATCGGAAGCAAGTGACACTAGATGTACTATAATATATATTTTATACAAATGCAATTCACAAACAGGGATCAGTTATCACTGAATTATTATATGCAATGTTAATTTTCAGGCAACAATAAGAAAGACTCTAGGGGATTTTAAACGAACCCATTACGATGGATGGAATGGACTTACTGGACATATACAGCAGTTTACAGAAGAACAACTTGTAGTTTTACAAGATCTAACTGTGCCTCCTTCCTACTATGCTTAGCTGTGCATACATGTGTTATGCGAGAAATATGTTGGCTAACATGTATGTAATGATGCCTAGAGATAAGATCTTTACTCCGTAACGTGAAGGATGGCAACATGTTCAAGAGGGACTATCGATAAATGTTTTTATATAAAAGTTCATTCACTTTTCGCCAAATTAACAAGCTTTGTTTAATTTAACTACTTTGGTCACCTCCGACATTAAATGTTGGAATTTAATATCAGCAGTTTAAGAAGTTTTTATTAAGGGCTCGAGGTCCTATAGGATCGTTCATATGTTTCGACAAGTATCTCACCACTAAGAAAACATTTCCTATCGTAACAGTTTTCAAGACGCGTTTCCTCTGTCTGCAATTACGTTCATTCGTGTATGAAAAAAAAATGTATGTACAATATATTGTAAAATGAGTTTTGTTAAGTCTGCAGTGATTATTTACGAGTAATTGTCTTTAATCGCTATTAAGGGATAGCAGAAAGGTATGAGTTTTAATGTTATTTTCAACCTTTACTATTGTTTTTAAAGTTTCATATTATGTGACAAACAAAATCTTTTGTCCTAGGAATGCACCCTGTTGTATCTGAGGACAAATAAAAGCTAATACATGCCTGACGAATGACATTTAACAATTGGTACACCTCTGCTGTGTACTGCAGAGTGAATTAAATTGGTCAATGTTTATTTTTATTTATAACAATGTATTATTTTATTTGACGCAACATGGTATATTAATTCTGAACATCTATAAATTATTTAATAAACATCATGAGTCGTCGTACATAATTAGATCTTTCGCATCTCGAAATGTACACTTGCAAGTATAAGTGAACATATTAAAGAAAGTCATCTTGAAAACCAAAAAACATTTTCTTTCTTATTAAAATTATAAACGCGAAGAGACTGTAAGAAAACTTAAACTGATATATCAGAAAGGTTAAATTATTGTAGCACTAGACACACTTTGATAAAAATCTTGAAACGAATATTCATACTGCAACTTGAAAGACGTGCACAATGATCATATCTTAACTTTGAGATATGGTTTTTAAAAACGTGATTTCATTAAAATGTAATTATTGAACCAATAGTTCAGTTTGTAATAGCCTCACTTCTTATGTTAAACGACTTAGGTCACTATTTGCTTATAAAACTTGTACCTATATGTATATAAATATACACAAGGATAAGTTGCTAGTACTACAATGTACTATCATCTCTTTTCCTTCACCTTGTCTCAGAGTTCAGAAATTTCCTGTTGCGGTTGCAAACTTACACTCCACTCGCGTAAGGCTGAGATTACATGATTGAACTTTGTCATCCACTTCATTAAATCATTTGTGTCGTCACATGACAAAAGATTTCTGTTTATAAAAAAATATTTGTATTAATTTTTCTTGGAACGAGAGGATGGAATAGATTTAAACATTCACTTGGATCATTAAATTTTTTGGAGGTAGTGGAATTATTTGCTTGTCATTTTTTAAATTATACTTACCTAACGATAGTCAATGAAGATCTGCATTCCATCATCATGCTGTTCCTATCGGATGCGTCTCGACGTCTTGCTGTTTCGATCAACAAAGTTCTTGGTTTAGCGCAAATCGTTCTCTCAGCTATAGTTATTTTATCCGATATGCAATGCTTTAAATCAATGGTTAAAAGTGGACTTTTAGTCTCTTCATCAGGTGGATAATTCCAAAACATAAGTGAATGTCCTTGAAGAACACACCAGCGACGGTTCCAAACAGCCAGACCACCAGCTTCGTCTCCATGTGTCAGGAAACCCGAATGGGTAATGGTTAAATCAAGCTCGCAAGTTAAGCTTAAATCAATAGTTCCTTGCAAGATTGAGTTTCTTGGAACCTATAATAAATAAATATTAAAATATATACAGTAAATCAAACATTTCAGGAATTCTAAAATAAAATTATCTGTAATTTCATTGGCTTATACTACGTCTGTTTCTACATTTTCAAAATTATCCAAAAAGGTTATTTGAATTATATTTATTCACGTATTTGCAGAAATTTCGAATAAAATCATAATATAAAAAATTAAATTTAGAAGAAGAAGATTATATTTACTCCTGACAGTGGCCATGGAGATGATAACGCTAAATCATGAAGTCCAAGCTCGACAAAACCACATGGCATAAATAAAGACCTTCTAACACCCTGTGATTGCTTGTTCTGTAATCTTGACACTGACTTTTCAGCACATTTCAATAACTTCTTTGGTGATGGACATGCATGAAGTTTTTTACTAGATTGCGACCCATTACTGTCGGTATCTTTGTACTCTAAACAGTATATATGTACAGTAATTTTGAAATCTGTCGTCAAGTTTGGTATGGAAAATGTTCCTGGTAAATGGATTGTATAATCATTTCTGGAATATTCAACAGTTTGTGTGGCTAGAATTGTCAATCCGTGTGAAATAACTGCAATGAACCACAGTCTAATGCCGTCAAACTCAATATCATTACTTTGTTCTTTTTGTAAGTTGATATTGATTTCTCCAATCGTGACTTTTCCTCTTTCACTCGATGGTTTACTATTTTTCTCATCAGAGCTCACTCTCTTAATTTCTTCAAAAATAGTCCTTTTCTTCAGATTTATCACTAAAAAGATTCGTTCTAATTGAACTTGACGAATGAAATCTTTATTAAACCTACATTGATTTAATGCCTTTTCCCCTTGGTTCAGTTGCTCTTGTTGTATATCGAGTTCCTGCCAAAGACAATTTATCCTTTCATCTTCGTTAAAATTCGGGTAGGCCAAAAGTTGACTGGTAGATTTCGGTAAAGCTTTTATGTCCGAGCGAAATGTCTAAAATGAAAATGAAACATAATTTCGCTTAATAAAACCGTGGAAAATTGTCATATTTATCCAAAAATTTGTCAGTTATTACGTTACAGTTGATAAAATAATAATATATTTAATTCTTAACAAGTCTTTTGGCTTTGTTTGAAATTATTTAATTTTTTAACAAATTGATGCATAAACAAAGCACCAAAAAGTTAATATTTGCTGAGGGAATACTTTACCTTTCTAATCCTTTTGGTGAACGATCTGTATAAAGTTAAAGTTCTGTTCAAACTAGCTCGTGCTTGAGAAAACGTTTCACGCATTGTTTTATTTTCTTCAGTATTTGTAACATGAGGGGAACTGCTTTCAGAAAAAAACTCGCTCACATTGTCATGAGTGATATTACCATGTGCGTTCAATGGTCCATATGTAACAGTAGTATTATTTAATTCATCACCAAGAGCATCTGTTAAAAACTGTTTCACTGCATAAGGTGTAGTATTATTTAAATCAGTACTTGAATTCTGTTGTCCAGAACTTTCGTCATTTTTTGGACTTTCTGGACTATTTGGGACAGTTATCGTTGAAATGCTCGTTTCGATTTGAGGTGATGGTTTTTCAGGAACATTCATATTTAATGATTTTCTTGTTGACTCCAAATTTGGCTTAGACCTTCCAGTTTTTGGAGTCTGAAAATGATATTTTCCAGCTAATGGAATATCATTTAATACTATTGGTGAAGCAGGTTGTTTAATTTTTGGAAGTAATTTTGGACTACTTGTAGTAGAGATTTGTTTAAAATTGGAATCTGGATGTGGTTTTTCAGCACTATTTTTAATGTGTACTTCTTTAATAATTCTTTGACTACTAGGAGTTAAAGATTTGCAATTGCTATGTTTTAATGGAGTATAGGGTTGTTCAAGTGTTTTTGTAGTGTAATCTGAAGTCGAAGTGAGAATATTTGTGAAGTCAGGGTAAATTTTTTCAAACGGCGATTTTATGTAGTCCTTCCGAATCATAGGCAATTTACTTGAACTAATTTCCAGACGTTTAATGTCAGCATCTAAATCTTTTATTTCTTCTGAAATAGATGATGTTAGCAATGAGTCACTACAGACAGTTTCTCTTGATTCGTATGTCTTTTCTGTCTGTACTTCACCGGCTGAATCTTTAAGATCTTTAGACCAGGTTTTGTGATTATGCTGAACATCATTTAATTGTTTCAACTGATCAATATCTATCAAATCTGCTTTTAGGTCTGGGTTAATGTCGTTATGTTGTACTTTGCAGGTTTCTGGTTTTTTGATTATATCTACGGCGCTGGAATGATTGATACTGCTATCAAGATTTGTTTTATCTGATAGTGTAGATGCAGCATTACACAATGGTCCTCGCCACTTAATATTACCAAGGCGAAAATCCTTTATGTATGTTGAAGACGTGACGTTATTAACAACACCTCCTGATCTTTCTGAACTCGTAAGAAGTACGTTTTTTATATCTTTGTTTTCAATAGTAACATATGTGTTATCAGATTGGTTATTGTCTTGCACAAATAATGATTTATCATTTGGTTGAAGATACGATGAATACTTCTGTCGATAATTTGGGTATCCAGTTGTTAAGGTCTCATAGTGTGAACTTGATCGATCAGAATCATGTTTTGTTTTTTCCTTATTTTTATTATGAGAAGAAGATTGCAGTGGTATTGCATCAGCATTTATTGATTCTGAGGTTTTATGTGTTATCTCACCAAAATTATTAGCCAAATATTTTTTTCGTGCAATGTCAATATCACTTGGTTTCCTGTACATTTCTTTATAATTATCACAAGGAACGTATTCATCAGTTTCCTTCAGGTTTCCTGTAGTTGTGTGTTTAGTTTTATGTAAATATGTATCCTGAATCAAAGATGTGGATTTTCGGTTTAAACAATCCTTTGTACTTTGAGTTTTTAAGATTGAATCACGAACCGAAGATGTGGACTTTCTTCTTAAATCTTCTTTTGCATCCTGCATGTTTCTCTGTGAGAAATGACTGTTTATTTTATTATCAGATAATGTATGGTCCGAAGGTTTATCTGATCAGGAAAAAGTAATTTTATATACATCATGGTACTGTATATTATTGCTATAAACTAATGTTAAATTTATGAATAATAGTAATCCAGACATTTTGAAAGAAAATAAAAAATTGATGTATTGAATCAAGTAGGTAAATGTAAATAAGTTTTTATTCCTTACCAACAGACGCAATACTTGACCTATGGTCGTCGATGGCCTTTAGAATGTTTACTTTTCTACGTACATCTGTGCAAAAATTTGAAGTTCCTCTGTATTCCTTCTTCAGGTTGGCACGATGTAGCATACGCTAAAACAAATATTTATTATTCAATGATTTAGAATAAAATAATTCTATCATGACACAAGAGTGAATGAGTTATTCCAACACTAGTCAATAATCAATTTCCATGTTTCCTTTGTTAGAATGATAATTATTTACCTGAGTAAACGGTTGGGTTGGGTCATCCATTTACGGTCGTGATAAATGTCGGAAGAAAAACCGATTGTTAAAGAGATCAGGCGTTTCAAATAAATTATTAAAAATTTAATCAATTAACGTGATAAAAATAAGGGCCGATTGCACATGTGCGCACTATTTAGTCAGTTCAACCCGATCAGTATCAGAGAGTCAGTATTAATCTCACAAAGAACGTCAACTCTTTAACGTTAAATCGTTTTAAATAGAAAAAAAGTAATGATATATTAAATACGGCTATTGTTAAAAAAAGGTATATGTTCATACGCGCATATCATTAAACAACTAGAGGAGCTACGAATTAATGCAAACAATACACAGGAACTGTTGTCACATTTCAAATCCAAATTGAACTGTGTACTTACAGAGATTTTGAACCAGATGTCCCTCTAGTAGCTATTTATTATTGGCGCGAAGATTTGAATCTGGGCAGTAGCCCAATATCAAGTGATATATTTTCATTTTGATATATTTTCAACTATGTATGTACGTATGTACATATGTACATACTAGGTTAAGCAGTGAAATGTTGGAAATCAGTAGGTGTTCGCTCTATTTTTGCTTAGACGAAGCGTTTTCCGTCCTTACGAATTCAAAATACGGGCCAAGCGTTAATCCCAACTTCTGAGACTTTCTCTGCTTGTAACGCATGTAACGGTATATATTTTAGTATGAATATAGGCGTGCATGCACGAAAGAATGCGCGGTGACAAGCAATTGAAAATCCGAATTACTTTTATATTGTAAGCGATTAGCACTTTGTACATATCAAAAAATGAGTGAGATTGAGAGGAAGGAAGAAGAGACAATCGAGGTACAATATTTACTGTTTTACCGTTAAAAGGATAGATACTAAATATTTGTAATTGTTCAAAACTAATTCCTAAGATAGAAATCTTAACTTCATTTACTTTTTCTAGGCCAAAACATTTAGTGGATTAATATTACATACGAAAGTGAAAGTAATATTTAACACACTTTTGTACGTGGTATTAGGGCCAGTATTATTATATGGAATTTTACATGCAATTTTACACTGGCAAAGTCACTGTATTTCGTCTGAAACTAAAACTGTCACAATAGAAAAAGAAGCACCAATTTTTTGGATTTACGCCAACAATACCGAAACTGGATATTTAAGACACGTACTGCTTGTACTTGAGCGACTTGGGTTTCAACGTGGCAGCAGAGAATCCAGCTGGGATCTGCTGTGGGCTCATGATTATCCATTTACTACGATATCAAATGATCTAACTAATTTAAAACGTCATCAGAAAGTCAATCATTTTCCTGGCTGTGGATATATTACAAATAAAGTACTCTTATCTACAACGGAAGGAAAACACCTTCCTGCTGCTTTCAAAATTCCAGATGACGCAGATACATTTCTAAAATATGTTGCTCATAATCCAAATAAGTCCTTTGTGCAAAAATCCAACTCTCATAGAGGAATTAAGATCTATGAAACCAGTGAGTTAAATCTTGCTGCTAAGGATACTTTCATCCAAGAATTTATTGAACGACCGTATTTGGTAGATGGATACAAATTTGACATCGGAGTATATACAGTTATAACTTCCGTTGACCCATTAAGGGTATATACCTATAAAGGGGATGTTTTGTTCAGATTTTGTCCAGTAAAATATTATCCATTTGATCCTGAGAACGTGGACAAATATGTAGTCGGCGATGACTATCTGCCTATTTGGAAAGTACCTTCATTGCAAAATTATTATTCAAAACTAGGGTTTTCGATGAAAGATTCATTTGATGCGTATGTAAAGTCAAGAGGGGAAGATCCTTGGAAAGTGTGGCATAACATTCACGAGGCTATAAGAGATATAACTCTGAAGAAAGAGGCTCAAATTAAACAAGTTGTGAATAGATATGGAAATGGACGAAATTTCTTTGAATTAGTCAGATTTGATTTTTCTTTGGATGAAAACCTAAACGTCTTTACAATGGAAGCAAACATGTCCCCAAATTTATCATCTGCTCATTTCCCTCCAAATCAGTTACTGTATGAACAAGTATTGTTTAATTTATTTGCATTAGTTGGAATTGGTCAACGGGTCAAAAAAAATTCGTTGAGCATAAGGTAATATATGAAGTACAGAAATTATTACATTTAATTAAGAAGACGTGAAGCGATCATAATACTTTGTTCTTTTTATTTTGTAGAACAGTAAAAGAACAGGAGATGGAAGTGGCTGATAAAAATATTGTAATTGCGCCTGAACTTTGCGCATTATGTGAAGATTGTTTTCGTCTAGAGTGTCAGCTTTGCAAACCATGTTTTACGGATGAAATGAAATTAATATTAACGCAAAGCTATCTTGAAAATCAGAATAAAATGGATTACTACCGAATTTTCCCTCCTTCGGTAACAGAAGTAAGATTATTTTTATTGAATTTCTTAACATATTTAAGATTTTTATGGAGAAAGAATTTAACTTGTTTCATAACATATTCCAGATTAATAATATGTCATTGACAAACTATACATTGAAAAATCAGTTACTTATGCGATGGTACCAAAGAAAATGTGAGAGCGATTTTACATGGTGTACGTAAGTATAAATTAATTTAACATTATTTTTGGAAGACTTAAGACAGTACAAAATATCTTATCCAGAAGTAATACATAATTTATGAATGTTTTTATAACTAACATTTTATACAAGTAATTTTTCTCTGATTATGTATATTATAAGTTGTACAAATATGAATGTAATTCATTATTTTTGTGTACCTTAATACATTTATATTTAATAATAACCTGAAGTCAAATAATGAATAAAGGTCCTCAGAAATTACTTGAACATGGATCCTCCATTTTCTTGCGTGTCTTTTTTAACTTAAATTCTGGAGCATTAGGATTTGTCCCTTTATAAAATTCCTTTAGTAACTGCATTGCTTTTTCTGATTTTACATGGCTTATTATTTTAATTTCCGAATCATACATTTTTGAAACATCAAAAACACCAGAGCACCCTCCAAAGCGATCATTTGTACAGCCATAAACAACAGTGTACACCTTTAACTGATGAAGAGCAGCTGCACACATTATGCATGGTTCCACCGTAACGATAACGTGAATGTTTTTGAAAACTTCTTTATAGCATAATTTGTTAGCATTACAGTATTTCAGAACATCATCGATGCAGTTTATTTCGGCATGACGAGTAGCATTTCTGGTCTCATTCACGGTATTATTACCTGTTGCAATTATTTCATCATTAAATACGAATAAACAACCCACAGGAACTTCTCCTAATTTTAATGAGGCAACTGCTTTTTCTAATGCAACATCCATCCAATAGTTATAATCCATGGTTATCTTTCGTCATATACTTTGTTTTCTAATCAAACAAATTATACATGTATCCAGAATTTTTTTTAATATTCTGTAACATTAGTATTATTTATTTATAAATATTGTAGCAGAAAATAAAACAAGCTTATATACGTGCTTACAACTTGTAAACTTTTTAAATGTTTCCTTTATCATCAATAAATAGATATCCAATTGTATGATGGCTTGGTACTCCATGAGCGTTTTCAGTGCCATCTGTGTTCAATTTCAGTAAGTACAATAATAGCGGGAAAAATAAATTTAAAATGTTAAAAAAAGGTTCATTTTATTTTATAGATTCAAGGTGCATACAATTAAAAATAAACGTAATGAATGTACTCAACACATTAATGAAAATAAATTCTTAGTCCCTTTAAAGTTACGTTTTGTCAGTTGGGTCTTATGCTTTTTTTATGCTTCAACTGTGATTCTTTCCTTATAATTATCATAAAGAACTTAAGAAAGCTAGTAAAACTTTGAAATAATTAGGCATAAACATAAGTATGATTTACATCTTATTAATATCTTGTGTATGGAAATTAATTACTTGGTGAAATAACGCAGAAGATTGATTTCTTGCAGTCTTTTCACAGCTTTGTCATTCCAGTTTGCATTGCCCACTGCCCTTGGGCTGGGGTGAGGAATAAAAGTTACCTATATAAATTAATTCATTTTTTAAATAGTGATTAGTGAATCATGGCAAGCATAGTTACTTATAGACATGGATGTACAAACGATCCACCTTTGTTTTGAGACCAGCAGCTTGAACTGCCAATTGTGCTCTCTTCTCTGCGAAACGACCAATGCCAATGACAGTTTCAATTTTTAAAAGTTTGATGGTATCGACAAGAGTTTTGTCACATATGCGTTGAACCATTTTTTGCTCATTTTCCTGTGAAAAGTAGCTGAAGTAATGCAATGCAAAAAAAATAAATCACACATGATACCTTTAAATCAGCAGGGGTAATATTACGTCCTTTGACATCCATGAGCGCAATCGGACAATAGTTACGGAGATATGCGTGAAGAAAGAAATTTTCTGGTTTTTCACACAGTTCTTGGAACAAACACCAGAATCTTTTTCCACTTACTTCGCTGCGAGTGCAAGCAAAACCTTTAACCAGCCGATCAGGCTGTTCACGCTCTGGTTTTCCTACATCGCCAGAAATACCTAACCACTTCCGAACCATACTTATTTCTCCGAATGGTACACCATTCTGAGACATACCCCATGGTCCAGGGTTAATACCAAGGAAGAGAATCTTTTTTGGATTTTGGCAATATTTTTCAACGTACATGGAATGTATATTAAAAGCATATTCAAGGGGAGAGTAGACATACTCTACTGGCTTTTGGAATTGAATCTTGCTAAGCTGTTCTGCAAGGGAGCGCTCCAGTTTTAAGAGTTCTTTGGCAATATCAGTGGTTAAAGGAATTTTAGGTGGTCCTACAAGTTTGTCATCGTCCTCTGTTTCATTTTCTGTTACTTCTACAGATTTCACAATTTTGTCAATGTTCTCATCTTGACAGTTCTCGACTTCTACGTCTTCTTTTGCCCTCGGACTTACTGGACCGTCATGGCTTGCCTTAAATCTTTTTACAGGCCTCATTGTAAATCTCTTGATTACAGTTTTCATCTAATATAATACAACTTTCATAATTTATTCAACAATCCAGCAGTAATGAACACCTCTAAAACTGCGTTTCCTATTTCACTCCTGTGTTTGATATGTTTATTTAATTTCGTTAATGCAAGAGATTGTTTACAAATGTGTATTAACAAACTACCCTCATTTTCCGAACATTCAGAGCTGGAATCAATGAGAATCGTTACGACAATCGAAACAGATGAAAGAATCGAAAAAACCGTTTGAAATCAATTTCGAATCCAGCAAGTGGGGACGCCGCCGGTAGTAAAGAATGACAAAGGAGAGCACTTTTGAAAATGCGCGAAAATGCTCTTATGCAAGCATTGCCTAGGTCGAAGAGAAACAGCAAATCACAGCGAGTGGGACGGTCCCTGGAAATAAAAAAGGCGCGCGTGTGAAATTTGCCGTGAGTCGCGAGCGGTTGCGATGTGGCAACAACGTCGCGTTAAGATGTAGCGCCATCGCGAGGGGATGGGAAATAAAGGGTTCGTCGAAGATTTGACTTTTCGTAGCCGTCGAATCGATCGAGGAAACCGAAATACATGAGATCTCGGCACGTGCCGCGGAAATTGGAGAAACAGATGAAGAGGAAACTGTCACGGGTGGAGACGCCGGTGACAGAAAATCGCATATAACGTAAAATACGAAATTCAAAATGGCCGCCGTCAGGTGTCTCCTGTCAAAATGCCATTGTGCTCGAACAACGACAACGAACACGATTTATAGGCAGTAGTGGTAACCCGAAGGGAGTCTCGGACCCCGGGAAAATAAGAGTGAGCTAGTCGACGAGTCGATTTCACCAGGTGTCGGATTCACTTTGAAATTTGGAGATCGAGGCGACAAGCGCGACCTGAAGTGGGTCACTTGCGAGCGCATCGGGGAGTGCGGATGAACGCGGAGTCGACAGAATCCAATATGGTGACTGATGGATTGATCAACTGTTGTCGGTCGTCGAAACTCGTAGGGATGTTTAGTAATATCGGCGTCGACTTCGGAGGTGATCGGTGGTGAGGTGAAGTTATGGACTTGAGGTGATCTCGAGCCGTCCTAAGGCCAGAGAGAGGAATCATGTGCGATGTGTGCGCCGACTTTCACGACCTTCTGCTCTCTTGTAAGCAAATTGTTACATATCTAGATTTTTATAAACCCCTTTCGATTCATGACGTGTCCGTGCGTAAAGTGCAGTAAAATCATGTAAACTCGTTGCACCTGCGCTTCACGGAGCGTTCACTGTGATTAGTTACATTTAGACGTACACCTTAACCTTAAAGCACGTCTGTCAACGGTCCTTATAGCATGATGAAACGTACCTGTTTTAAAGCATCTTTGGTGTGTGTTTAGACGAGGAACGCGCCTCCAAGGAGCAAAATGAGTTGGCCGCCCTCTTCGTAGTAGATGTGGAGACGATACTTCACTATGTTAATCAGTGGGTACAAAGGTACGTTTGCATTTGCAATTTTGTCGATTGGAAAGCCTCGTAGTTTACACAGCTCTTTCGAAAGAAGGGGACTGTTATTTCTAATTTAGTAAGAGATGTTAACCTAAGCGTAATGGAATATATCGCTATCCCTAGGCAATGTATGTGCTGCTATCGGGAGGTTAAGAACTTCGACCGATTTATAAGACTGACACAAAGTATCGTTCTTTGCACGTTGCAACAACTTCAAGCCATACATCAAAATGGCCAATGTGTCGAAGATGAAACCGACACGGCTAACGAGCACCGGCATGAAAAGGAGAAAACGGAAAAAGAAAAGTTGATGAATGTAAATCATGTAATTCCTGAATCTTGGAGGAAGTATACATGGTCTCAACAGGATAGAGAAAAATTGTTTCACCTCCTATCCAAGATTTTTTTATTGAACTTTCCATTATACATTGCAATGAAGCATGGTGGAGTAATAAATCCTTTAGCTCCGATCAAGGTAAAAAAGTATTGCATATTTTTTAGAATGCTTATTTTTATGTATTATTTAACATGAAGTAAGGTAATAAGGCATTCTTATACTTACGTAATTTAATTAAATTTGTAAAGTATGAAAATTTACTAGTTGTAAAACTTAAAAGAACAATGATATTTTAATATTAATGTGTATACAGGATGAAGGTGGTTACTGCGAACCTCATGATCCAGAGGTGCCGGCACCTATGATCCGTGCAGTTTCAATATTTTGTCATCAAGGTGGTTTCGATTTGATGTCCGCATGCTTCGATATGAAAGAACCCCTACCTGTTGGTCTAGCTCATTCTATAGTTGCTGTCATATGTAATTTGAAACTATGGTTGAATTATGGTAGCGTCATCCAGTTATTTGTACCTCTGCGTAGTCGTGTTATGAAATATATGTGTCGTCTTGGGGATAAAGAACTCCGTACCCCAGCTGTGAGAACTATGGCAGGTGTGTATTTAAATTTACTTCGATGCAGATAGAAATCCTAAGTAAGAATGAATTTATATTTATTGCAATTTCTTAGATTTTATGTGGAGTGCTGCAAAGGATCCAATAGACGCAGTACTCCCAACGTTCGATCGAGATGGATTAGATTTGGCATTTAAATATTTTACCAGTACGACATTGACGATGCGACTGGCAGGCATAGCTCAAATAAATGCGCACATCACGGCATTCAACGAGCTGTGTAACAGTGAGACTGTAGCAGAAATTGAGCAGGTCGGCCATGCATTAGCGGCGTGGCTCACAGAGAATAACATCATCGCTCATATATTTGGACCAAATTTACACGTAGAAGTAATTAAACAAAGCCACATAGTACTAAGTTTCCTTGCAATGGAGGGTAGAATCTCGTCTTCGGACATGGACACAATGTGGCAGGCAGCACAGTTGAAGCATTGCGGTCGCCCTGTGTACGATTTGCTTGCCCCTTTAGTGAAACACTTGGCACCCACTCCTGTACTCCACTTGTATTCGTTGCTGGGTAAGCTCGAACCCAAGGATCATACGGAACAAAGTCTATTTTTGGCATCCGCTTTGATAAAATTTATTTGGACCTCGGGTGGCTCGGGATATCCGAGAGGATTGTCCGCAAAAGGTAGAGAAGCTTTAAAAAATTCCGGAGAAATGGGAGGTACCAGTAGCAGCGATCCAAGTGGGATGGACGGAAGTAGCCCCGAAGAGGACGAAGAGGAACCTAGTCCGGCACCATCCGAAGGGCCATCGCCAAGAAAGCAGGCACGTGGTGACAGCAGCGATTGCGAGGGTAAGTTAAACGCGACCGTCGTGCACAAATTGACGAGTCGAAAATAAATAACGATTTGTATTTTCGTTAGTTAACTTCAAAATGAAGGGCTTGGAAAGTACATCTCCTGGAGCTAATTTTGTAAAAGTAGAGGAGCTGCCTCTGGCTAACGTGGATCAAAATTCCGACATGTCGAAGAGTTCGGCCTTGAAGGGTGCGACCGAGGGAGTGACTATTACCGAGGAAAAGTTCGATGGTACGTGCGTCGCAAAAGACAAGCAAAGTGGCACCGACGCCGAGGCAGACACCGAAAAGTCGAATACCGAAGAAACCGTGACGCAGGAGAAAAAGAAGAGGAAAGTTTTTCGAAAAAGAAAGAAGCCGCAGAAACGCTCCGCCTTTTCCGAGAAGGCACTGGATTATATCGTGAGGGACGAATCCAATCGACCGTTACGGAAAGATTTACCATCCGGTAAAGTTGACAATGCCTTCGAGCCCGTGATGCTGAATACTGCCGGTGGACAGAGAAGTCCCACGGACAAGATATTCGCTTTGGCGGACGTTTCGGCGTGCGAGCTGGAGACACCGACGTTCGAAAATACAACACCGGAGTCTCAGTTGACATTAGCGGACGACAAAGAAGTTATTTTGACCCAAGTATCGGATAGCAGCCTGGAACCGGATGAAGTCAGCACGGCGCTAGACGTCCGGAGGACGTTGAAAATAAAGAAATTATTATTTAATAGCATGAATAGATTAGCAGGCACTTCGGAGAGTACTCTGGAGACTGCCGCGTTTAGTAGATCATTGGACCGCCAGCGAGGTGCAAAAATGATGGACTTACCTATCGACAATATGACAAGATTGGCCGACGTGTCGGAGAGGGTCATGGAGCCTGCGGTACTCAACATGATGCTGGAGGTACAGCAAACCCCAAAGAACGTAGGGCTGTCCATCGACAAGATGAGTATACTGGCAGATGTGTCGAACAGCAGATTGGAGCCGAGAATATTCAGCGCTGCTCTGGAGGCCCAACATGCTCGAAAGAGTGCGGAGTTACCTGTTGGCAAGTCAAACATCTTGGCAGAGGTATCGGACAGCAGCCTCGAACCGGCTGTACTGAATACAACCGCGAACTCGGAGTACAGTCGAAAGGAACGCGATAAATCTAGGTTGGATAACATTTCAGAGAGTACTCTGGAGTCGGTTGGACTCAACGTGGCGCAGAAATCCACGAAGAGAATGGACCTTCCGATGGATAAGGCGAGTCGACTGGCCCTCGCTTCGGAGCCGGGGACGTCTCTGGAAGACCGCGGCGCGGAGACAACCGACGAAGCAACTCTCGAGTCACAGAAGGGTGCCGAGACCCTCGACAGGGTGAAACATCAGGCCATGGAGATGGAGCCTAGCGATCAGGAAGTACCCACCACTGCGGCACTGTTAAGGGGAGTAAATAAAGCCAGCAAGTACGTATCACTGGTAGGACATAGCGTAGACAGAGTGCCTAATTCCGCGGATAGTTCCCACGACGAGGACGACAGCGACGTGACGGGCATTGTCGGTCCATCGGGAGGAACGGGGACCGTCATGTCCGAGCTGACCGGGTTGGTACACGCGACGGGTCCCCGATTTCTACCTTCGGGACTTGACGACATGCTGTCGGATGAAGAAGGGTCTTACAGCAGTAGAATATCGAACAAGAGCGAGAAGAATATGGCGGACTTCGACGGGGAGGAGAGTGGCTGCGAGGAGGAGCTGGCACAACTGGCTGCGAGGCATCTAACGGCGATTCAGATGCAGGCCTATCACCCACACAATTCTCATCCAACGATGACCATCGGCAGATCCGTCTGCAGAGCCCCTCAAGTGCGGACCATACGGCAAACGGTGGCGAGGCTCAGTTCCCAGTTTAACCTGGAGACAGTTTGTAAGCCAGGTAATACCCTTTTGTGGGATCTCCTCCAGGACGACAAGATCGGCCAGCTTGGCGAGGGCTTGGCCCTGGAAGCCGAAAAGGCCCTCTGCAACTTGCTTTGCTTCAACGTCGAGAGGCTGATACCCATGAAGTTTATCGAGGGGTGCCTGGAAAATCTGGCAGCGAATCGCTCCGTAGTGGTGTCGCTTCGACTACTTCCAAAATTACTGGCCAGTTTCCAGCAGTTCGGTACGATGGATGCCCACGCAATTACGACCTGGGCCGACCGAGAGAGGAACATGATGAAGCATTTCTTCAATAATCTGAAGACCTATGCGGCCACCGGACCGAAGACGAACCTGTACTCGCATCAAACGGAGGTTCAAGTCAGATTGCAATTCCTCTCTTCGATTTTCTCCCCTCTGGGCTCACCGGATTGTTTCAGGCTGAGTCTGGAGCAAGTAGACATACTCTGGCAGTGCCTGTCTCAAGACAGCACCTGCGCCGATGAGCTCTTCAGCTGGTTATTGAGTCAAGCCAAGTCCACGGAACAACACGCGCTGGGTATGGACACCCTGAAGCACCTGTGCATGCGCAAGCTCCCCAGCCTCCCCCCGGAAGCCGTAAGCATGACAGGCCTCAGTCTCTTTCAACAACTCTGCAACCTGGCGAGATTAGCTGCAGCTCATCTGGACAGGCCTCTGCGAGACGTGGACTCGGTCGGCATGGACTTCCTCTGGCGGATAGCTTTGAAGGCGAAGAGCACGGACGTTAGCATGGCGGCGATACAGTATCTGAACGGCTATTACATGTCGCGGCAATTAACGCAAGAAGCCGAATTCGTGTCCCAGTGTATGACTCACCTGGCTGCGGCCAGCGCAGACCTGGAGATTAACGAGGAGGCCAGTCTGCGGTGCATCCAGCGAGCTTTGCTTTTGCTGAGGACTCACCTGGAGGCATTCAGGAAGCGATACGCTTACCACTTGAGGCGCTGGGCATTGGAAGGTCGTGGGACCGACAGTCACATCGCCATGAGCGGCTCCGAGAGGGGCCAGCAACTAAGAATCTACGTCCAGCCGGCAGGTATTCCCGACAAGACTAGTTTCACCCTGCTGAGTACAGACTACGTAGCCGACTTGAGAGCGGAGGTAGCCAAGTGGTGGGATGATATGCAGAACGAGCAGGAAAAGAATCCGTCGTCCTCGGTGACGTCGGCCTCGGTCAACAACGGAGGCTCGGTGCTAGGTTCTCTCCTCAGCGACGGTCCGATTAGAATGATAACGCAGGGGCAAGAGCTGACCATTGACTTCGACGAGAAGACCCTTCAAGAGATGGGCTTCAAGGACGGCCAGCTGGTGTTCATCTCCCTAGGCGCGGGTAGGGGTACGGGGAGCGGAAGGTCCGGGAAAAGGGACTTGGAGTCGCCGTCTTTGCTGCCTCCACCGTCTAGAGATTCCTTGCCGACTCTTCTTCTGCTAAGGCCTCAGTACTTCGAGCAGCTGTTCACCTTGATGAGGACCCTGAGCGCCATGAAGACGACCGTTAAAGGCGGTCAGGAGATACCCCACACGAAGGCCCAAGTGCTGTCCAGGAGGGTCTGGGACACCTTGACTCTGCTTCCCACCAGCCCGACCCTCTTGCGAGGCTTCCAGAAGCTGGAGGAGGCTTCGCTTCCCGAACTGCTGGACCCCGCCAGTCCGCAGAAGCTGATGTATTCCCTGTATATCGTCGAGTCTTTAAGCAAACGAGGACCCCCGTCTAGACCCGCACCCACCAGTTCCAGCACAGCAACCCCCGTCCACGAAGGAGGTGGTGGCGACGCCGACGATAATCAAGACGACAGGGAAAAGGAGACCAGCTGGTCCACGCAGTTCGTCCAACACGGAGGACTCAGGCATTTGTTCGACATCTTCATGTCCGGGTGTCTTGAGCGAGGGGACGGCAGCGAGTGGCAACAGGATTGCCTCGCCAGTCTGCTGAAACAACTGTGTCATTTGGGCGTCGTCAGAGAGGAGAGGAAAAGAGGCAAGCCGGACAAGCTGCTGGTGCCCAGACTGAGCGAGGCGATGTTGGCGATGATGGACATGGAGACGGTGATGCCCAGACTGACCAACATCCTGATAGAAGCTTCCCTGCCTAGGGACCCTAATCACTATAAGACCGGCCTCTTTGGGAGGTCCCAGGTGATCCATTACGCGATGGCGTTGCTGGTCTGCTGGGTTCACAGCGACCTCGGGGTCCGGCACTCCTTGTTCTCGTCGACCGAACCCTTCGGGAAGACCTGGCTTCGCCGGCTCGTCCTGGAGGATCCTGAGCCCGCCGTGAGGAGAGAGGTTTGTACCGCCTTGTACAGACTCTGCTTAGGAATCACCGGCACCGAGGACGAAAATGCCGACACGTCCAACTTGATCGTTCCTATCCTGAACACTCTGTTGGAGCATCTCGCGATCGCCGAGACCATGCTGCCTTCTCCTCGTAAGCCGGACCTTCCTCTGCATCTGCACCCTGTCCTGGACGACGGCAAGGAGCCTTACGGACCGGCGTGTCGGGACTACTTCTGGCTGGTCTGTCGCCTGGTGGACTCTTTGCCCGACGACGTCATTCGGGAAGAGGGCTCCGACGAATCCTCGGGTGCTATCATAGACCTTGAAGCATTGGCACACAGAGCCATTGATTCCGCCTTGAGCAGGGAACACCTGGAGACCAGACACAATACGGTCGAGGACGACGGCCTCGTCGGCTTGCTGAACCTGATCTGCAACATCATGACTCATAATCCTTCCTGCAAGCAGGACAAGATCGGGCAGAACCTGCTCTGCGAGGTCTTTGACTTCTTGTTCGCCCTGCCGAGTCCGAAGACGAAGCACGTGCCGAAGTGCAAGAGCCAGGCGTCCAGGTCGGCTGCATTCGATTTATTGGTGGAGCTGGTTAAAGCCGCGCCCAATAATTACAAGATCTTGCACGAGAAGCTGTTGGCTCAGCACAGGCCTGGAAGACACTCACCGTATCCTTGGGATTACTGGCCTCACGAGGACGGACGTTCCGACTGCGGATACGTTGGCTTGACGAACCTTGGGGCCACCTGCTACATGGCTAGCTGTATGCAACACCTGTACATGATGCCACAGGCTCGGGTCTCGATTCTCGGTGCCGACTGTAACCGAGCGAACAAGCACCAGCTGACTCTGCGGGAGTTGCAGAGGATGTTCGCGTACCTCCTGGAGTCAGAGAGGAAGGCGTACAACCCGCGCAGCTTCTGCAGGGTCTACACAATGAACCACGAGCCTCTCAACACTGGCGAGCAAAAGGACATGGCCGAGTTCTTCATCGACCTGGTCTCCAAGCTCGAGGAGATGACCTCCGACCTGAAGAACCTGGTGAAGACGCTCTTTTGCGGGGTGATATCCAACAACGTCGTGTCCTTGGATTGCGAGCACGTCAGCAGGACTCTGGAGGAGTTCTACACGGTGCGCTGTCAGGTGGCCGACATGAGGAACCTTTACGAGAGCCTCGACGAAGTGACCGTCAAGGACACTCTCGAGGGTGACAATATGTACACCTGCTCCCAGTGCGGGAAGAAGGCCCGCGCCGAGAAGAGGGCCTGCTTCAAGAAACTCCCTCACATCTTGTGCTTCAATACCATGAGGTACACCTTCAACATGGGCACTATGCTGAAGGAGAAGGTCAATACGCACTTCAGTTTCCCCCTGAGGCTCGACATGTCGGGGTACGTCGAGAAGAAGCTGATGCCCCAGCAGTATCAGGACGAGAAGAAGAAAGCCCTGGAGAAGAGAAGCGAGGCCGAGGGCTCGGGAGACTTTGGCCTCGACGAGGAGGAGATGGAGCACTACCTCTACGACCTGATCGGCGTCACCGTCCACACCGGGACCGCCGACGGGGGTCACTATTACAGCTTCATCCGGGACCGCACGTCCCTCAACAAGGACAAGTGGTTCCTCTTCAACGACGCCGAGGTCAAGCCCTTCGACCCGAACCAGATCGCCGCGGAGTGCTTCGGTGGAGAAATGACGAGCAAGACCTACGACTCGGTCACCGACAAGTTCATGGACTTCAGCTTCGAGAAGACGAACTCGGCCTACATGCTCTTCTACGAGTGGTGCACCGATCCCGTCGATCCTTCCAAGGACGAGGAGGCCACCGTCTCGAGTCCTCGCGCCCCGGACACTCCTACGTCCTCTCAACAGCAATGCAACCCGAGGACCGACAAGCCCCTGCCCCTCGAGCTCAACAAGGAGCTCGAGGACTGGATCTGGCAGGACAACATGCACTTCCTGCAGGACAAAAATATTTTCGAGCACACCTACTTCAGCTTCATGTGGCAGATCTGCGGTTACATACCTCACACCATGCAGCCGGACATCACGGAGATGTCGGCCGAGCTTTCGACGTCCTTCTTCATGGAGACGTTCATCCACGCCAAGGAGAAGCCCACCATGGTCCAGTGGGTCGAGCTGCTGACGAAACAGTTCAACGGATCCGCGGGAGCCTGCGCCAGGTTTCTCGAGAGGATGGCGGCCGATTCCTGGTGGCCTATCCAGATCCTGGTCAAGTGTCCCAATCAGATGGTCAGACAAATGTTCCAGAGGCTATGTATCCACGTTATTCAGAGACTGAGGGCCACCCAGGCACCTCTGTACCTTGCCTGCGACCCCGACAGCGACCCCACCACCGTTGGTACCAGGTCCTGTGTCACCAGATACGTTCGGATGCTGCTCTCCCTCATGGAGCACGCCAAGCAACACCTTAAACACCTCACGGAGTACTTCAGCTTTCTCTACGAGTTCAGCAAGATGGGGGAGGAGGAGACGCTCTTCCTGATCCAGGTGCAGGCGATCTCCACGATGGTGAATTTTTACCTTGGACATAAGACCCACGAGTACGTCGATGCGGTCAGCGAGGAGGAAGAGGAAGAGGAGGTCGTCACACTGGCCGCGGAGAAGCTGAGGCCCGCCTCGCTTGATAAGATGATAACGCTCATTGCTACCTTGGTGGAACGTAGCAGAGGACCCGATCACAGGTACATGTCTCCACGTCCTAAGAATTCCAGCTATATCGCGCATACTTGCCACTTAAAGTACTTAATCTATTTTGTCTTTTCAGGCTAACGCTGTCGCCGGCAGACTTGAACGCCGTTGCTGGCGGAAAAGGCTTCCCATTCCTGTACCAACAGACTAGGGACACCATCAATTTGAACCAGACTCGCAACTTGATACAGTCGCTCTGTCGCTGGAACGACCGACTGGCGATACACATCGTTACGATGATATTCCAGGCGATAACGAAGCACACGGACGTCTGTCAGCCGTTCTTTAAATTGTTGACGCTTTTGACGGAGGGCTCTGGGCCCAGTGGACTGCCTTGCATGACCCAGCTGATCTTGGGTAGAGTCTGGGAAGCTGCGAGGGTCGCACCTCACGGAGCCCTCGAATGGCTCGCCCTTGCTGTCACTAGGAGCAAGCTGGCTCATGCCTGGGTACTCCAAGGACTGGACACGTGGCTGCAACATTTCCTTTTGGAGCATACCAACCAAAGGGTGCGATCCGCCGCTGCTTTTCTTCTGGTCTCTCTGGTTCCGTCTACGCAATTCCGCCAGGGGTACAGAAACGCTCACCGGCTAGGATTGGGATGCAACCCCACGAGGGAGTTGCAGCTCTCGTCCGAGGCCACTTTGATCCTCCACCAGATCTACACCGCTCTTCTGAGACTTCTGCAACCTGCCAGGCACTATATCGACATTCAGACTCATGGGACGATGAAACTTACCGCGTACTTTGCACTTCTTACGTACTGTGTTGTTTCGAAGACTGAAAAGTTGATGGTAAGGATTGATCGTCGGAGTGGTTTCTCTTGACTTGCCTTACGTTGCTACGATATTCTGGTGTTTAAGGTGAAGTGAAACATCCATCAAATCAGTCGATTCGAATACAACACTTTTTTTTAAGGGTATTAGGCCAAACTGTCCAAAACTTTGACACATCACTCCTGATCAGCTAAGAATTGTCCTGACACATTAAAAATTTGGATTTTTCAAAAAAATTTTTTAACAGTCCAGACTAGAACTAAAATGGCGTCGAGCTCTCATATTTCGATCAATATACAATTATCGAAGGCTCTGATATGAGAATCGAAAGGGTCAGGACAATTTTACGAGAATTTAGAACACTCTGGTAATCGATAAACTCGCATTTGAACGGGATAAAGGCAAAAAAAGTGTTGTATGCGCTTCTTTGCTAAAACGATGGTAATAGGAGGTCTCGGAGTGAAAATTGAATTGACCTGGAAATCACAGATGGCGCAGGGGGTCCCTCCGCAGTCAATTAGGGCCCAGAAGGCATGAATCCAGAGGATTTCTGGAGTTTTACATCGATTTCTTCATAATTATTGTACGAAAACGACAGGTGGAATATGCCATTTGGTACAATACACAATATAATTCGACTTAGCTGTCAATATAAAAACGAACGTCGGCAACGTAGGCATTTAGAAAAATCGTCTTTATCGACGTCGATCAAGTTCCTCGACGTGTTTCACTTCACCTTAATTTCTTTTAATTCAGTTACTGTTAAGATTTAATTAGGACGTTTTATCGGAACGTTTAGCGGTAAGCACGGAAACAGTGGAAGTTAATTTAACTTCGTTGATTCCAGTTCGGACAATATTTAAACGATCTGTGGACCCTGTTTCATCCGAAACTATCGGAGCCGAGTATCCCGGTCCATCATAATAAGCAAGCTGTTCTGCTTTTCTGGTACCACGTCTGCTCCGACTGTCCAGAGAATGTCGCCACGATACTGCACAATCCGCACATCACCAAGAACATTGCATTTAATTATATACTGTGAGTAACGTGTCGTTAATACATTTATTAGAATATTTTATCAGCGAAGGAACGTGTATTCCTATTCGTTCATTTAATTCATCTCATTGCAGAGCCGATCACGAGGATCAGGATGTCGTTTTATTTAATAGGGTAATGTTGCCCGCCTATTACGGGCTTCTAAGGCTATGTTGTCAGCAGTCCCGAGGGTTCACGAGACAACTGGCTGCGCATCAAAATATCCAGTGGGCCTTTAAAAATATCACCCCGCACCCCACGCAGTACTCGACGGTGAGCAGTCGCAATAATACGCCGACACTTGCAATTTAGATTCTTATTAACACCCTCCGATCGATCAGGCGGTCGACGAGTTGTTCAAGTTGATGCAATTGCTGGTCGCGAGGCACCCGGATCAAACCGAGCAGGAGGAAGCGGAAATCGCGTCCTTCCGAAGAGGAACTCTATCCTCGTACCTGCAAGGTTTAGACGGTCGTTCCTGTTGGGCGACCTTAATTTCGGCCTTCAGGTACACTCTATAATTCGGTACGCCTTTACTTAAGGTGATGTAAAAGTGGCGTCCGAGGGATATCGCGTAGGAAGCTTTTCTCCCAGCTGGGTGTACCGAATTGTTTAAAAATTTGCCACCTGAACATTAAGGCTCTAAGAAGGGTCCTGACGTCGATGAAATTTTTTTTTAATTTGTTGTTTTCCAAAAAAAAAAGAAAAATGAAATATCATGGACGTCAGAACCTTTCTTAGGGCCTTTAAACTCACGTGGCAAAATTCTAAACGATCCGGTGCACTCGGTTCAGAGAATAGTTTCATAAACGATTTACTTCTCACGTGCCACTTTGATATCACCTTAATGAGTATATAAAATGTCGTTGAAACGCGTTTGATGTTTCTCGTCCTTAATTCGCAGAATCCTAATAGAGTCCGACGACGATCGGCTCTACGTGGTTTATAATGGAGGCCTGAGCATGGCCTTGGAGGCATTTCACATGCTGCACGTAATGTACCACGAGGCAACGGCCTGCCACGTGGCGGGCGACCTGGCGGAGCTGATAGCCATAATCGTCGAGCTGGTCCGCTGCATCAGGACTGCCCGGGACGGGCCGGACGCGAGGAGCATCCTTGCGAATTGCAAAGAGTGGCCGGACGTTCTCCGGAAACTGGCCACTCTTTTGAACACGTACAATCCGCCGGATATGCGGAACCTCGCGATAGACTTATTGAAGGAGCTGGTGATGCTGGTCCCCGCCGAGGCGATCCTGATCTTGGCTCCCTTGCTCTCGCACTGCCACGCCGCCTTGCAGGAGTCGCATGCGGCTGTTCCCCCGGGACCGTATTTGCCGAGGAGGACCGCGCCGGGAAAAATGGCCTCCAGGCCAGCTAGGCCGATGGTGCAGATGGCGGTTCCGCATTCTCAGCTCGAGGCATCGAAGGGCGTCGATCCGGAATACGACAGTGCCCTGCTCGAGTTCTATTTGCCTTATCATGAACTGATCGACGTCATGTGCAGGCTGGCTATCAACAACGACTGCATGACGGATACGCTGGTTAATTTGAGCGCCATGCTAGGATTCGAGGGTAACGTTTCCGTGTCGCTGCTTAACCCGCGCAAATCCTCGCGCTAAATTAATCTCAATGACAATGGTTCTCGATGTTATCGGCATATCGTTCATACAAGCCGTGGATGCGAGATAACAATATTCACCAGAAATAAACTCAACGTGTCTGGACTTTGCTGTGCCTTTTATTATACGCGCACAAGAATGCGAACGCGAGAATCGAGCTCGGCAATTACTCTACCGGGAAGTCGTTACTTTGGTGACGACGAGGTTTAATTTAATAAAAATCTGTAGACCTTTAATTGCTTTTAATTCAGAGTTAATTAAGATGCATTGTCGTATTCCAGGAGTGCCCTTGCACTTGGCGCTATTTCCGAGACTCTGGCTGGACGTCCACGCGGCAACCCACATCGACAGGAAGCACATAGCCGCCCTTTTGTGCTCGTCGTATACGGTAGACTACGTGGACGCGGTGCTCCTGGACGAGAGGTCGTCGTTGGGGGTGCCGGCGATACACGCCTTCTTGAAGACGTTCTTCCCGAAGCTGGCGAGCCACGTGCTGACCGAGCAGACCTGCTCGCTGATCGACAACCTGGTGAGCTCGCTGACGGCGATGGTCGAGGCGGTCGATCCGCAGGCCTCGGCGCACAGGTTAACGGGAGACCTGCGCGCTCTGGCTCTCGTCTACAGCAGCGGCACCAGGCTCAATCCTCCGGTCAGCCTGCAGTCGGCTCTGGAGACGTTGCTCTCGCGAACCAAGGCCGCCAGGATGAAGGAGGCGAGCCAACGGGAGGCCGGAGCGCCCTCGAAGAAGCGGAAGTTCAACCCCGGCGAGGAGGGCGAACGCGAGGGGAAGAAGGTCCCTCCGGAGACGGAGGAGACCGACGAGCGGAAGCGGTTCTCGTTGATGGACGTCGAGAGCAAGGCCAGGACCGGGAAGAAGGACGACGCCAAGTCCGTCGACTCCGGCGAGGACGAGGCCGAGGACGAGGCCAAGACGACTGCCGGGAACTCGTCCGCGATACCTCCTAACCCGATCACCGCCTCCACGGCCAGCGGACGCCCCGACGACCAGCTCCGCTGCACCCTGACCAACGTCTCTTGGCTCGAGATGCTGGAGAAGACCATCGTCAACCTGCAGATGATAGTGCAATTGCAAATCAAGAATAATTAAGGGACCTCCCGAACCCTGAACGGCGATTATAGACCCCTTCAAGCCCCGGTCGACCCTGGGAACGCGGTTCGACTTGGAGTGCTCGCGGTCGCATCGGCTCTCGTCGACCACCACCGGCTGGAGCTTACTTAAACGGAAACGCGTTTCGGCCGATCATTTCGAATGGTTCTTGGTCGACCGATTCGCAATTGGAAAGTAGGTAGTCCGACGCTCGGCAGGCCTCTACCTTACCGACGCCGGTCTGGCAGGCTACTCGGTGTTCACGTCGAGAAATGGCGATGAAAACTCTCCGGAGAAGCTGCGCTGGAGGGCCTCCAATCTTGCCGGCAACTCCAAGACGTACCACAACGAGATACCGAAGGCTCGGCGTAGCCAACGCTCGCCGCTTGGCCGTTAGTCGTAAATTTTTTCAATATTATGCCCGCGTAGATGCGTCGAGGGGGGGCAGCTCTCGGCGATTGTGTAAAAAGTGTGCGCGGATGGATATCAATTGTCTCGTTGCCTCGAGCGAGCCTCTTGTCTGCCAATAGTCGTGCTGCGCTGTCGTCCCGCTTTTGGCATCCGCGAATTACGTCTCACCTGATTCCCGAGGTCAGCGTGTTTTTATCCAATGAACACTTTTACCGTGAGCGAAGATGACAAGTGCGTGGATTATTACTTGACAAGTCGGAAATGAACTCACTCGGATCGGCATGGACTAAGAGAAGACACCGAACAGCTACGACTTGTAGGATGCGATTAGGAATTTCGTGGGGGAAAAAAATAAAAAAGAAAATGCGAGCGCCTTTGCGAAACCCGATGTGTCATGTAGGTACTTCTATTTTGTTAGTCAATAGCCGAAAACGACTTTCATCCGAGTTAAACTCCGGTTCGAGACGCCATTTTAGGTAATCGGGAACCCTTTTTTTTTCTTCTCTTTTCTAAGCGGATAAAAAAAACACTAATCGGTTTAATCGGTCTTATAACAATCCTAGGTGATGACGCGTCTGCTATAAGCAGGACAAATCGTGCATGATTAAAATTTGACTTGCACTCGGATATTTAGACAATTGGTCTTGTGCAAGCGTGAGGACATCGCTCTCCTCTTCCGTCGTTATGGAAGCTTCGTTTTGGAATACCCGACTAGCAATGCAGGACTACGGTAATGATACACGGGCTTCGGTTATCGAGCACTGGCATCGCACGATTAGAACGTATAATTGTTAGATACAGGTTGCAGCTGCTCTCGCCTTCTCTCCTAAGGAAGGTGGAAAATCGAGTAAGAATTTTATCTGGTAAACGGCTGACCGTCGCGTCCCAATAAGTCTCGGTTTATTATGGAAGTATTCACGCGGCCATATCAATTGTGAACCTTCCCTCCTTGGTCCGCGTATTCCGCGACATTCGTTCAAAATCCGCTTCGTTGCGCCTTTCGTGAATACGCAGATTCGTCGCACTGTTACGCTGGGTATAAAGGACGCAGAGAGGAAATATACACATTTGGTTTTCACGTCTCTTTCTCTCTCTCTATATATATATACATACATATATTATGTTTCGATTTTTTATTTAACGAAGCGTTAGAGGAGTAGAGTGCAAATCATCCTAACGACGATCTTTGGCGCGTTTTCTTGTCCTTGTCGTCCCCGATGCGTGTATCATTAATGGCTTACGCAATATCGTATGTACATTACATCATGTTGCATCACACGCTCTCTCGGGTCCTGGCTATCGGTTTGCCTTGCGCGTTTTTATTGTGTGTCGACTTGAAGCTACGTGGCCGTGTTTTCTTTTTTTTTCTCTGCTTCTGGTTGGATCTAATTGAGGTTCTGACATTTTGATAGGGCTCAAGCTTTAAGCCAGCTTCGCTTATCGCGACGCAAAGTAATGATTGTATACGGTTTCGTTGCTGCGCGACTGTGTCTCACTTTTGACGCCTAGCCGAGCATTGCGGAACAAATGAACGAAGGTTCGGTGGTTTTTTAACGAAGGCCCTATTCGTGTATGTGTACGTATACTTGTACGATACTCCGCTCTGTACAGCTGATTTCGTTCTTACGCGGCGCAGCCTTGATTCGCACTCTTGAAATTTCCGAGCCTGGTATTTCTGGGCTCCTTTGAACGGCACTGAAATCGAACTCGCATCCTTCATTTGATTTCCTGCCGTATGTATCGTGCGAATCGCTTTGATCTCTTGGCTCGAACGATCCGAGGAATACGCAAATCGCACGCTACCACCACGACATCGTCCAAGTACTCGTTATCATTAAAGTGTATAGTTTTCGAGCGAGATTAAATAAACCCCCATGATTTTAAACGACACGTTAATCGATTCGTGGTCATTAGAGACCTTTTGGGAGAGAGGCAAGTAATGAGCAAGTGTGTTTACGTACACGTGTCTAGTTTTAAACTGCCTTCTCGTTTGATAATTCACCGCACTGTGTATTTATTCCCTGAGTATTCCAGATAGGTCGCTATCATCCGTCCAATCCTTTAAGACAGCTCGCTAGCTTTTGGGTCTTGTAGTCGGTCCTCAGTTGGATGAAATTGACGAGTATCGATCGATCCAGCATTGCCTAAAAAGAGGAAGAATTGAAGACATTTCATACTCCGTGATCACTCTTTCCGTATAATTCATTAGTACGTGCATCTGTAATTTTTCCTTCGTTCCAAGTGCTATTATACGAAGCAAGTATTTTGTCATTAATTTGTGAGTGACAAATAAACTAGAGCTTGATCTCCACGTTATTCTAAGCATAACCATGCAATTAAGTCGCACGAATTTCTGATGAACATAAATTTGTCTAGGAGTTAAAATTTTGGGAGATACCGTAAATTGGATTAGAAAGGATTAACTTAGTTGTTCGTGCAATTTGGTTAAAAATGTATTAGAAACTTACGAGCTGTTCTCCTGTACAGACTTGTTTCAGGTTTTCTGGTTTCACTAGTAGCAAATTACACAGTGCGTGCAGTGTGTCGAATAGACTTGTCACCAGACCAACTTTCAATTCCTTTACGCACTTTCGATACTCATTCATGTCACAGATCGCACACATTGCTCCAGCGGAATTGAATTGAAATTGCTGCAGGTGCTCATAAATTACCCTGTGAAATCTTATACCTAGCTCCGTTAAAACACTTTCTGCATTTTTTCCATCGAGGCTATTTCGTATGTGTCGAATCATTGTTGTTACGTATTGTACTACTACTAAACAGGCTGGTGTATTAAGGGTGTCTACGTCGGTTTCAGGTTTGAAGTCTTGCTTTCGCTGTTCACTTTGTAAGTACACTTTGACCCAGCCAACTATTGCATGAATACTTCTATCTAAGCCGGTGTCCAATTTTTGTTCGATTTGCTCTAAAGCTGCTTTCTTCTTCGATACACAGTCACCATGACGAGGGGTCGATCTGGAAAATGCAAATAATGATTTCTACTCGCTGTTTGTAGAACTATTGAAACATATTAGGTAATTATTTGAATGTATACATGACAAGTGGCACGAGGCTGTCATTAAATTGGTCTTCCAGTAGTCTGATAATAGCGTTGCATTGACGTGCGACATTGAAGAAATGTATTTCGGGCTGATTGCGACTCTCAGGAATAGGAACACTTTGAAGACCTAGTTCGAGGGCATAATCGACATGCTCGTTCAACAAGTACTGTAACAGGATCTCCAAAATCTGCACTGCGTTCAATGGCAAGTCACTCGGTGGAGACAGGATTTGACATCTTTGATAAGCCAGTTTACTTCCCTGAAGTAGAGCGATGGCCAGTTCTTCGGAGAGGAATGTTTCTCCTCCATAGTCTTCTATTTGAGCAATATTAATGTTGGTTCTAGTTCCAAGTACAGCTTGTAAGTCCCGACGTAACACTTGGAATCCACCAGATTGTAATTGCTTCTTTTGATGGTTCTTGGACTCGTAATACTCTATTAACAACGCGGCTGATTTCTCTCGTAAGGCCTTCAATTCGACACTAAAAGAAAAGAATACTGACATTTCAAATTTTTAAATTAATTTGTTGCTTCACTTACGTGATATACGTGTCTAGATGTTTCTGGAAAATATTCCTAGTTAACGTGGTTAAATATGTGTTATCGGTGCCCATATCAAAACACTTTAACTCTTCCGAAAGTTTCACCGTTCTTGAGTATAAGTCAAATAAATTTCTTAAATATTTATCAGAATCATTTCGGTCTGCTAATTTAGCTACGACATACTTCTGTAATCGTAGATGAAAAATGTTCAGAACAAATTTTGCCATCACTTGTTCAGGATTGGCAAACACCTGTTGCATTAGTTTGTAATTTTTGGTACACATGGGTATGACATCCTGAAATACGTCCTTTCCACCGAATGAACCAACTTGGCTCTGTTCAATGAAAGCATCGACACACTGAGAATATCCTTTAAAATGAGACAAAACGGAAGCCAATTCTTTCATGCGAGATGCATCTTCGTTACTGTGAGCTCTTACAAATTCTTCAATTAAACTACGTTCAATTTCATCATATTTTGCACTGATCTTTTTTTTAGCATTTTCAAATTTCTCTGATGGTAGCTCCTGAGAGATTAAGTGAAGTTTTTGTATGACGTCTGCAGCCTCGTCTAACTACAAAACAAAATTGTAGTAAAATCATTAATCATAAATATTTATTATTACTTTTATGCTATGTAGTATGAATAGCAAATACCAATGATTTATCCATAAAAATGGGATCGGTCAATGGTCCAGGACTCAAAAATTCAGAAAAGTGTTTCATCAGTTTATGAGTTTCGACTGCTCTAGCACGTGGGATGTTTACACTTTCCAATTGATCTCCCAAGTGAAGAACCTTAGTAGCGACAAAATTAATCCTTTCATCCAGTTGATGAAAAAGTTCTATAGCGTGTTTGTTATTCTCTTGCAATTCTAGAATCTCCAACACGTGTTTAGCCTCCTCATCCTTAAGGGCAGCTTCCAATTTGTCGCACTTCTTTTGCTGACGTTCTTGAAGAACCTGCAAGTCTTTAATTGCTTGAAGAAATGTTTCATGTACTAGCAGTGGATCAAAAGAACCCCTTTCTCCATCTATTATCGAATCATTGACAGTCCTCCAGGCAAGTCTTTCCACAAATTCTTCCGCATCAAACGGCTCCTAAAATAGTTCTTAATGAAATATATATTATATAAAGAGTAAAATACTTCATTCGAAATAGATTTAAATTCACCTGTTCAAGCTCTTTCATGTATTGTTGCATCATTTTGAGACAGTACTTCTAAAACAACTGACAAGTACTAAATGTACGTACAATTATGGCCTGCATTCAAATGTCACTCATTTACTAAAAACAGGATAAAATGTCAACGTGACCAAAGACCAAATGATCTATTTGCATTGCTTGTTTTGGAAACAAGGTACATGTTGAATCAAAATTAATAAGGATTTTCATAAGAATTTTTGAACTTTACTACCCCTTTAACTCTGTGACCACCCCCAATCATGATATATACATATATATACAAATCCAAATCTCAGCCCACAGGTCGTATGAAAGCGGATTTACACAGAGATGAATTGGGAAGATTGTTCACGGGTAGGTCGCGCGATATCGCATCCAGTGCTGCCCCCCGATGGAGGATGCGGACGACTAATGCACTTGCCACCTGTTACCCCTCAGTGGCGGCGCAACTCATCTCTGCCAGAAATGAGTTACCCCTATCAGAGATGAGCCTGCTCATCTCTGCTACCAACTGATCTCTGCTTTGGACAGTATCTTACACACGTGACACAGGGTGCCATAAAATCACATAAAATGCAGTGATAAGTAGGGAATGATTTCGAGGTCGGCAGAGGTCGGCGACGCTGGCAAACTTTCTAATATTCTTGTATTTTAGTGGGAGTGAATGCAGGTGACAGCCATAGTTTAAACCTGCCGTGAATGTTGAGGTATTAAAGTATCCGTGATTTTAAATAATGGATTTTTTAGCAATCCAAAATGCTGCAATTACACGTCATCCAAAAACGTATAAAGATTACATCCCGTATGGAACAGCCGGCTTCAGAACCAGGTGATTGAGTTTAATTTTTAAATTTCTACAACAGATGGTAATATGTTCACCTTTTAAATATAAGTAAAGTGAATAACACGTGGGTAATAAATAAAGAATTTATTGACAGGAAGCAATGAATGTTATTTTTCATTTTATTCATTTTTGCAACTTGTTATATTAAAGGACTACCTTGAATATAATTATCTTTTGCATCTGTGTGAATTAAAATAGAGAATATGATACTAAGATGTTGCATTAGAAAGAAAATTATGCTACTTAGATCCTTAATTTAGTATAACATTTTTAAAATTCCAGATCCGATATTTTGGATTTCGTTATGTATCGAATGGGGGTCTTAGCGGTGTTAAGATCAATGACAACAAATGGTAATGAATAGATTTACATGAAAATAGCATATTTTTAATTAATTTATAAAATTGTTATACTGTGAATAGATAATAAAGATTGTCATTTAATTATATTTTCTGTCACAAACTGTAATAACAAAGTCTGGCAAATTATTTTTAGCTGCAATTGGTGTAATGATAACAGCTAGTCATAATCCAGAAGTTGACAATGGAGTAAAGCTAGTTGACCCAGCTGGTGAGATGTTGGAAATGTCATGGGAAAAAATTGCAACCGAGCTGGCAAATGTGAATGACTCTGACATTGCATCGACCCTACAACGCATAGTGAAAGAAAAAAATATTAATACATCAAAATCTGCCACTGTTGTCATTGGTAGAGATACTAGAAAGAGTAGTCCTTCTTTAACAAATGCGGTACTTGACGGTGCCACCGTTGCAAAGGGCCAAATTAAAGATTTTGGCATTGTAACCACACCTCAATTGCACTACCTTGTTGTATGTACAAATACTACTGGAGGATATGGAATTCCCACGGTAGAAGGATACTATTTAAAATTGAGTAAAGCTTTTAAGCACGTAAGGAATGGTCAAAGAAATAATGGAAAGTATATTGCTGAGATTCAGTTAGATGCAGCAAATGGCGTTGGAGCAATTGCTATGAAGGAATTTCAGAATCACTTAGGAGATTCCATTTCAGTAGAAATTTTTAATGACGGTAGGGGAGAGCTAAACCATAAGGTAAAATTTAATTAAACGGTTTAATAAGAATGTTGCAGTAATTCTGACATTTGTATATCTAAGCAATGGCAATCATTCTGCATAGTGTGGAGCAGATTATGTTAAAGTTCAACAGAAAAATCCTGAGAATGTTCCAATCAAACCGAATGCAAGATGTGTTACTATTGACGGAGATGCAGATAGAGCTCTGTACTATTATACGGATGAAAATAATAAATTCCATCTGCTCGATGGAGATAGGATATCGACTCTTGTAGCCAGCTATTTCAAAGAGTTGCTTGAAGAAAGTCAACTCAATTTGAAACTTGGATTAGTCCAAACTGCTTATGCAAATGGAGGATCCACAGATTATATCACTAATGTTTTGGTATGCCTTGTGGTATCGAAAAGAATTAATTTATTCATTTGATCATTAATATTAGTTTTAATAACACATTTCAGAAAGTTCCAGTGTCATGTGTTTCAACTGGAGTTAAATATTTGCATCACGAGGCAAAAAAATTTGATATTGGAGTTTACTTTGAAGCAAATGGCCACGGAACTGTCACTGTTAATGATGATGCTATTAAAATTATACGCGAAGCTCAAAATAATACAAGGTAACAAACGTTAATGCTTTGAAGAGATATTAATTTTCACTTTTGCAATTTATTGTATACTTTAAATAATCCTGATTGAATTTTGTACAAATGTTTTAGCCTCTCTAGTAAAGAAAGATTAGGCGCATCTAAATTGGTGACTGTGATCGATATAATTAATCAAACAGTTGGCGATGCACTCAGTGACATGTTATTGGTAGAAACGATACTACATGCGAAAGGTTGGGATCTTGCAACATGGGAGAGCAGTTATAAAGACCTTCCTTACAAACAGTTACAAGTGAAAGTTCAAGATAGAAATATTATTTCCACAACTGATGCTGAAAGAAAATGCTTAACGCCAATTGGTTTGCAGCAAGAAATTGATAATTTAGTATTACGCTATAATAAAGGAAGGGCTTTTGTTAGACCATCAGGGACAGAAGACGTGGTGAGAATATATGCGGAGGCTGAAGTTTCGGCGGATACTGACAAGTTAGCTGCCGAAGTAGCTACAGCTGTTTATAGATTAGCGGGTGGAATTGGGCCTGAACTATCTATTTCAACGTAAAAACGAAAAATGATTCCAATCCTTTTATCTCTTGTTTCGGTACCTATGGAGATAGCATTTTTTCCACATAATTGATAAAAAATTATGTGCTGGTGATATTAAAATATCTTAACTTAAGCTTTAACGGACAATGGTCATACGTAAATATTCTTGTAACATTTTGTATAAAAAGGTTTTATTCTTGCAATAAACACAACAAATCCTTTTAAGTTTGCAATTACACAAATTATAATGATAATTTCGAATCTTTTCGTACAAACTCTTTTGTAGTAGTCTACTCTTTTTAGTAGTTGAAGAAATTATTTCATTATGCGCTGCATGGTTATCAAAATTACTGAATAAAAATGATTTGCGAATTTAACGAAAAGGAAGCAATAACAATATTTGGAGCCACAATAGAAGTTTTAAAATGTTAAGGAAGCATTGTTTTGCTCCTCGATTGTCATGGCAACAATATTGATCCCCATGGAACTTATTTCAATGGACTAGTAATTGAACTTGTGATATGCAGTAGAGTGGAAAAACGATTAATTTTACACGTTATCTTTATTTAGAAAAGATGTGGCAAGACAGTGAAGTTAGATTCGACATTAATTCTGTGTAATTACTTTGATGAGTCATTTGTATAGAAATCAAACCAAGATGTTAACCTAAGCTTTGTAAATAAACATAAGTAATAAGCAATCTGCTTATTTCTGCGATTGAAATATTTAAAACAAGTTATAAAATAAAAATGCTCTTGCATTTGTGAACTGTATTACAATAATAATGTTCAAGATGGGTTTTATTTGATTTAGGCAAATGCAAATGCGGCTTGGAGAATTGCTTATGGATAAACTCGACATGATAGAGGATTCGAAAGGAAATAGTGGTGACACTGGTCGTCTTTTAATAACAAATCTTAGAATTGTTTGGCATTCTATGCTGTTGCCACGGATTAACTTGAGTATGCACACAATAATAATCTAATAGTGCAATGAGTACAGCAACGGAACATTATTCAAAAGTACAGTGTGTCATAAGTATAATTTTATGCCGTAGGTATTGGATACAACACCATCGTAACAGCAAATTCGAAAAATGTGAATACAGATATCACTTTTATTATCCTAAAGTTACAAAATATACTCTTATTCAATTTCTTATCGATACTATCATAATGGTTTTCAGATACACGGAAATAATACACACGCCTTACATATTCTGTGTTCATATCGGAATTGTCGGTATGAGTTTATATTTACTAATCAAATACCAAAAAGTTCACGCAATTTTACATCTCTATTAGGAGTTTACAAGTAAGTTAAGGAACCTAAGCAACGCATTAGGTATATAAACATTACCACCTTGATAACAATTATTTCAGAGCATATTTGTCATCAAAAGTTTATAGAGAGGTCAAACTTAGAAGTGGCATTATTCACGAAAGCCGATTAAGTGTGCTCAATAATGAGAAAGTTCATTCAACACTACCAGGAGTTTGGAATTTATCTACCGAACAGGTGATAGCAGAGCAATTTTACATATACAATTTTCTGTAGAATATCTTATAACGTGCTGAAAAGATTAAGACTCACGCAAGAGTTGTGATATTTAGATTTTATAATACAAGAAATCATTTACATTGAATATTTTTAGGGAACTGTCGGAACATTTATCGTAACAAATTTGAGGCTCGTATGGTTTGCCGACATGAATAATCAGTTCAATGTATCCTTACCGTATCTTACAATTACTAATGTAAGTATTACTGTTAAGATAAATTACTAAATTAAAGGATGGTTTGAAAAGAGTTTAAAAGAGCAATATGTACAATTGTTACTTTTCTTCTATAACAATAGGTTAGCATTAGGTCTTCAAAATTCGGACCAACGTTAGTCGTATTAATTTCGGAAGCTCATGGATCGCTTATTTTGGGTTTTCGAATAGATCCTATGCAAAAATTGTACATCCTTCATAAAGAAATCACATCTCTTCTTGCCGCACACGAAAAATGTCCTATATTTGGAGTGGAATACAAAAACGAACGTCAGGTAAGATAATAATGACGAATTACTGAAGGAAATATTGTATCCACTTATTCTTTTTTTTTTTCGTACATACATTAAAGGTAGAAGCTCCGCCTGAATTCGACGTAGAAGGTTTTACTGAAATTCAAGAAAACGAAAACGAAATCTCTAATGTTATCGGTCTGTATTTTTCTGAAGGCGGAACGACCCAGAGAAAGCCCGTTTTATGTAATTACTTAGGACTTGCAGCAGAAGAGCCACGAAAGGGAAGCTCGTTGCAAACACTTTGGGAATTGTTACCAACGGCCTGAATATCTTATTAAATGGATTTATTTTAGAGTAATGGATTATTTTTATTTTCATTTAGGTATACATTTTCTTTTTGTAAAATAAGATCTATAGTTATTGACAGTACTGCATTCCGTGGCACTACTTCAGATAAAAAGGTATAAATTTTATCAATTAGAAATTTCGAATATTTAAGTTCCCGATAACTATAACAGGATTTCCAGCTTAGCGTGGAATTTAAAATAAACGGGAAGGGTATTCGCATAAATAATATTATCAGTACGTTATGTACTAGGATAAACTTTGACTGGTTTTTTAATCTTGAAAATCTTTAACATACCTTTAACAACAATGCTTAGCTTGGTCTACAATTGGCCTGTGCAACGGATCCTTGATGCTCTGCTACACCTTCCTCGTCTAGACCAGTAGGATGTCCAGAAAATCGATATCCCATATTGATTAACATTAATTCGAAAGGATCACTATTCATACGTAATTGATTTGCTGTTGCGGCATCGTCTAAGTTTTGTATTTCTCGATCATTTACGCTGCCATCCTAAACAAAGAATAAAGGTAGTACTTTCACTCATATACACGCATATACAATAAAATATTACTGTAAACGTTTAGTTCGCTATCATTGCAAGTGAATCTGAATGTTCATTACATAAGTTTGACAAGTGAATTACGTAGTCGATACAAATAAATTCCATTTACATAGTCCAAATATGACATTTAATTATGAAGTAAATGCAAGTCATATTAATAAATTCTAATTATTAAAAATAAAAAGCTGGATATAGATACCTCTGGACGGGGACTCCACAATCGAATAACGGATTCGATTCCACTGGTAGCTAATAAACATGTTGAAGGATGTGGTTGAAGACAGTTCACTATACTCTCGTCTCCATGTAGTACTCTAACGATATTTGTTGTCTTCCGATCCCAAATGAAAAATGATCCATCATCGGAACCCGCGACTATATACTGGCCATTGCTTTTAAAGCAGTCAAAAAATTCATTTTATAAATATTAGAAATAATATAAATAAAATTAAGTAAAAATAATAAACGTTTTCTCACTTTCCAAAAAAGTTGGCTTCCTTTATATCTGTAGTAGTGTTACAATGTCCACAAAACCTCATTTTGTAATCAGACGTATTTCGTCTCCATTCTCGTTCATTAGATGAGATGTGTAGGGAAAACTGATTTCCTTGTGATACATCTTTCCCTACAATATTAGATAAAAAGTTTCACATTACTACTCAGGTATGCAGGACCGTGAAATTCTTAAAAATGTATATTTTTCATAACCAACCAGAATTCAAGGCTTCTTTAATATCTTTTCTTAAGGCTCTACAGACTGAGTTAGATACATATTCGGGAAACTTTTCTTGAAAACTTTCAATGACTTTATATGCGTCAGAGGCACGATGTAAGTCGTAAAGACAACGAGCCAACCTATAAAGAAGGAATAAATAATAATTAGATTACTGTAAATCAGTAAAAAGATCCTTAAAAATCAAGAAATCTAAATTTTACCTGAAATGTGCTTTAACATGTTCTGGGTCGAGTAATAGAGTCATTTGACAATCACGCAATGCAGCATATACATCTCCATCCCTAATAAATATATTTAATGAAATGTCACTGTATTAAACAGAGATTATAAGACAAACAGTAAAAAGGGGACTATCGTTAAATGTTTACCATCCTCTTTTCATAAGAGCAGCAGCTCTGTTAGCAAAAAGTACTGCAGCTGTGGGGCAGTAAGAGAGTGCTTGATTATATAAATTAATTGCCAGAGTATATTTTTGCCGATCGAATTCTCTATTAGCCTAAAAATGTAAACATTATGTTGTTTATTAAGTCAAATTGAAATGTGGTTAATATTGCTTAAATATTTTCATAAGCTTATAAATATGTAAAATAAAAGAACGAATGTTACATTTACATTCACTTCGGTTAAATTACTTTTATTTTTGTGCGTATGGATTTACGTATGTAATCTTATGATTTACATATAATAGAGCACACTAACCTCTAGCTTTAGGCTCTCTACGTAACCAGGCAAATTTTTCGTGTTTGTCATGGTAAATCTGGGTGGATCTTCCAAATTCCTTTCTTCTGTACACCTGTCTAGATCCTGATCCTTTTTGATTGATTCTAAACAAGCATGAGTACAAAATAAAAAGTAAAAGTTACATTCATTCAAGTTAAATATAATTTCCTTACCTGAGCCTTTTCTTGGCAGGTAAGTGTCAAATATTTTGGAATCGTTTTGCTTGTTGATATCAAACAAATAAATCTGTTCACCACCCATGTTAACAAGTAATTCATTTCCATTGGCATTAAATGTAAGATACGTTGCAGCTAAAGTTCTTGCATGATCACGTCTTGAATGTAAGTGACCTGTTTTAAGTAAATTACTATTGTAAAAATAAAAGAACACAACTTATAATCTCCACTATTTAGAATCTTATGAACAAACCTGCAATAAAGTACTGCACGCATCCTAAAGGAACATTATTGTCCGGATCTCCTTCTGCAGGATGTGAGGTTGCTACCGGAACCTACAAGGTGTATAAAATATATAAATTATAAACATGTATTGTTTGAATGAAAATATCATGTGGATAAATGTTAAGCTACGACACCGAGGCATCATAAATACGTACTTTTAAAGGGGCAAGTTTAATCATTCTGCGATCATACATTCGAATATATGCATCGTTTGCTCCAATCGCAATTAATTCTGGCCTTCTGGGATTTATGGAGATGCATTTTGCTTCCGCAAATGGCCCCAAGTGATTGACGAGATTTATAAGAACGCCTTTATGATCAAACGAGGCACAAGAATGTGGTACACGTATATCATACTGTAACACCAAGCCATCTTCTGCTGCACTCCAGAACAGAAAAGGTACACTAGCTGCGGTTGCAATTCTCTTCACTCGGCCAGTATGGCAGCTGCATGTAAGTGTTGTATCGGCAAGTGGTATATTATGGACCCGTATCCTGTTATCCCCTGCACCTGACACCAGTATACTGTCATTCGATTTTGGCATAAACTAAAAGCAAAGAAAAGAATAAACTAAAATAAATACCATGTGTGAATCATGGTGAATAAATATTTTATTGTACAACTATTTGTTGTAGAAAATAATTCAACGTGTGTATGAAATTTATGATATAAAACTAGTTTTATATTGTAATATGAAAATGTACAACATACTTTAACGGAGAAGATGTTTCCATTATGTCCTGTGTGTAGAATCAACTTCTTTTTATAACGAAATGGATCCCATAATATTATTCGGATATCATCGGAAGCAGATGCCAAAATCCTGAATTAAACAAGTTTAATAAAAGAATTTAGTTCACATCGTTGTTAACGCTAAACGATCTATTGCAAATATCTGATATTATATTTTATAACAATATACAAACTCTCCCGTTTCGTTCCACTCCAAACAGTTGACGCAACCACTATGACCGTTCAGTTCCTTTTCTAAACCTAAACGGTTTATAAGACTATCCGTCACATGCCATTTTTGTGATAATACATATGCAGCTGACTCCTGAATAAAGCAATAAATAAATAAATAAAATGTATCAAATTTAATTATAAAACATTATTTAAATACGTGCCATAAAAAGTTATATGTACGATAACTTGTATTTTAGTAAAATGTTTTTAAAAGCATTTTGAATATCAAGTTACGCATAGTATGTCAATTTATTAATCCATTCAAAATATCTATTACGTATGAAATACTATGCAGGGTCATTATCATGTTTTTAAAAATGGGTCATGAAAGACATTTGAATAAAATAAAGAAACGCATTTAATTACTTACATGTATTTCTCTTTGGCGTAACAAATCTACTATTTTATGGTCCACATCCATTCTATTTCGATACATTTTGTTTTTTATTTCATAGCTTGCGCCTTAGTATCTTTTGATAGTTATTACGGTTACATGACTTCGCATGACATTAGTAACCTCATGTTTCCTGAGTCTTCTTATACCAACAAATAAGAAAATATCCATATCATAACCTTTTTTTTCTGATAAAGAGACATTTTCTGCGCCGTGCGAAAATAAACTTTACGTTGAACTTACGTTACAATTAACGGTTGTTACCCGCTGTACGATTGGAAAAACTACGCAACGTATTTCCTATGAAAGCTTGGTCAAAAAAAAGGTGCTGCAATAACCTGCCGGAATCATCTTGAACGTTTCAAAATTTTCGGTTTTCATGCACATCAACTAATGTTTTTTATTTATTATGATGAATATGCAATCCAAACGAGTCTCAAACATTATGCCAGGACGTTGAGTATGTACGTTCTTCCTGTTGGCTTACGAGTAAATAAAGTATGTATGTCAGGCTCTGTGTACGCTTGAGAATAAATTGTAAACTCCATTACACATACACGTAACACAAAAATCTATTCACAGTCTTCTCTATCCCACGTTCTGCCAGGACGGAAAATCAGGTAGAAAGAGTGCGGCGATCAAACCCCTTTATGCTCAGGTGGATCAAACATGACTATAATACATATGCCACACCATAGATAACGCTCTAAACTTTGCATTTCGAGCGGGAAAATTCAAACTATCTTTTACATTACCAATTTAGTACACCAGACCTTCCTAATAAAGCGTTTAAACTCAACTTCTAATATTAATACGTTTTTTTCATTAAAAAAAAAATAAAGGTTTTTCTCTAACTGCTAATGGAGTAGAATGAGTTCAAAAATCGCGCCATTCGAGCCTCTGAGGACAATTCCAGTTTTGTATATACATCCACGAGAGAGCGCTTTTGTGAGCTGATTCATTTGGAATTTGCGACGAAGTGAATAAGAAGTTTTGATTGGCCGTAGAAAACATACGACGGAAGTTCCCCCACTCCAGTATTTCTCTGCAAGCAATCGGAACATCCGTCGCAAATATGTAAATTCTCATAGCTGCTCGGAAAAAAAAGAGCTTGGAGAAATGACCGATAAGTTACCAGGAATTTCTCATCGTTTCCGACGCAACTTACCGCATTTGGAGCTCTAGCAAAGACTAAAATGCATGTAAACTTGAATGGTAAAAGGTGCTGACATAGAATTCATTCCAAGAAGAGCATAGTGGCGCCATCTGTGGGAACGACTCCCAAGTAGACCGCATATTAACCCAGTAGCAGGTATGTACAATGGAAAGGTAACCCTAGATGTCATCAGTCACCGTACTTTTGTCTTCAGTCTCTTGGCAAGTGACGACGAGATACTCTCAGGAGCCGCAAGGTCGTGTGTTGCCCGCGAAACTTTCTACTCTCGCTTTAATAAATTACGCGCCGACGTTGGCGCACTAACGCAAGATTTATTAACTGTACGTACATACTCGTTCGCTGCGAGGCACATTCTATAAATGTCCGCGGAATGTAATTAAGGGTCACCGGGAGTATATTGGTTTTAGGGTACGCGCAAGTTAGTCCGCACCATGAAACGCTAAGGGTGAGGTTAGGTTGCTTCTGAGCGCCAGGCGTTATTTATCGCCGCGGCTCTCAGAATGATACCGCCAATGCATATGATTATGCTAATGTACGGACTTACGGGGGTAAATATCGATGGGGAATTTGCGACAATAGCGGGCATCAAGTGGAACGACAGATGAGCAACCAGACTCGAAACCGGGCACAAAAGTGCAATGTCACCAAGCCATATTATATACCGGTCCGACCAATTTCACATTTATTGGAGTTAGAGCCTTTGCCGCTAAATCGGGCTCAGAGATCGAATCCGAGGGTTGGCAATGCTCGTTAAATGTAAATTGCAACCACCAGCACCCTTCGCAGGAGGGTTTACTCTAATGATTCTGAAAATCCTCGGAGTAATTCCTATTTTTTTCACGCCGAACAAGCGGGGCCACTTCCATTTTCTGAATCTTCCTCTTATGGGAAGAATGTTTATAAGCATGCCGTATATTAAGTATTCTTAAGGTGAAGTGAAACATCCTTCAAATCAGTCGATTCGAATACAACACTTTTTTTTAAGGGTATTAGACCAAACTGTCCGAAACTTTGACACATCACTCCTGATCATCTAAGAATTGTCCTGACACATTCAAAATTTGGATTTTTCAAAAAAATCTTTTAACTCAGTCCAGACCAGAACCAAAATGGCGTCGAGCTCTCATATTTCGATCAATATACAATTATCGAAGGCTCTGATATGAGAATCGAAAGGGTCAGGACAATTTTACGACAATTTAGAACACTCTGGTAATCGATAAACTCGCATTTGAACGGGATAAAGGCAAAAAAAAGTGTTGTATGCGCTTCTTTGCCAAAACTGTGGTAATACGAGGTCTCGGAGTGAAAATTTAATTGACCTGGAAATTCACAGATGGCGCAGGGGTCCCTTTGCAGTGAATTAGGGCCCCAGAAGGCATGAATCCAGAGGATTTTTGGAGTTTTACTTCGATTTCTTTATAATTATTGTACGAAAACGACAGGTGGAATATGCCATTCGGTACAATACACAATATAATTCGACCTAGCTGTCAATATAAAAACGAACGTCGGCAACGTAGGCATTTAGAACAATTTTCTTTATCGACGTCGATCAAGTTCCTCGACGTGTTTCACTTCACCTTAATCATTCTCTTTCTCCTGGCGTGGATCTATGTACCTTTAGGTATATACTTGTATCGGACATTTTCCAAATTATTCATTTAGTATTTATTAGAGCTCGGCCATTTAGTATTGATTAGGGCCAGAGCTTTACTCGCGGATCGGGGCAAATGGAGCTATATCGAGAAATCGAATCCGAGGGCGGTGATTGCTCTTGAAATGTAAATTTCGCCCATCCTCTAGCCTCTTTCGAAGGCAACAGATGTACGATATGAACCTCGAGAGTCTAGTCTCGGGAAGTTCCTACAACAATGACACGCGGTTCGCTATTTCTCGATATTCATATCAGGGATGTGAGCGTATTTTTACTCGATGAATAATTCACCAAGGAACGCGTCTGCTTTGAATTGTACTCGAAAGATTTGCCAATTTTATATTTATTAAAATTACGGCTTTGCTGCTAAATCGATGTGAATGGAGCCGTATCGAGAGATCGAATCTAAGGACCGTGATTGCTTTTCAAATGTAAATGGCACTCACTCTCGAGTCTTTTTTATCATTGTCGGTGCAAATCCAATGGTAAAAGATTTATAGGAGTCTTCAGGGAATCCTTCCGAAGGGTTGTCACGAACTGGATCATTTGTTCTATTGACATTGCCAAACAATGACAGTACCTATTTCAGACAAGATAATTTTATTCCAGGCTTGCCATTTCAACATTACTAAGGGTGTCACTACGATTTACTGTATTGTGCCCTCATTGAACCTTGGGAATTTTTTGTGAAATTCACGACTATCGATGAGGGAAGGACCCTATGCTCATGAAATTTAATTTTCTTTTTTAAATATGTCTCCTTGGTTCTAGTCTGAGATAAGTAAAAACGCTTTTGGTTAAAAAAAAAAAAATTGAAATTTCATGAGCATTGTTCTTTAGGGCCTCCACGATCACGTGCTGAGGTTTCGAAAAATTCGGTGTTCGTCAAGCTTTATAAATATTTGGACTTCTTCATACGTACACGTACGATGCTTTCGTAACATATTAAGGCGAAGTGAAATCCATTTCAAATCAGTCGATTCGAATACAACACTTTTTTTTTAAGAGTATTGGATCAAACTGTTCGGAATTTTGTCACGTGACTCGTGATCATCTAAGAATTGCCCTGACACATTAAAAACTTGGATTTTTGGAAAAAAATTCTTTAACTTAGCCCAGACCAGAACCAATATGGCGTCGAGCTCTCATATTTCGATCAATATACAATTATCGAAGGCTACGATATGAGAAACAAAAGGGTCAGGACAATTTTACGACAATTTAGAACACTCTGGTAATCGATAAACTCGCATTTCAACGGGATAAAGGCAAAAAAAGTGTTGTATGCGCTTCTTTGCTAAAACGATGGGAATACGAGGTCTCGGAGTGAAAATTTAATTGACCTGGAAATCACAGATGGCGCAGGGGGTCCCTCCGCAGTCAATTGGGGCCTCAGAAGTCATGAATCCAGAGTATTTCTGGAGTTTTACTTTGATTTGTTTACAATTAATGTACGAAAACGACAAGTGGAGTACGTCATTTAGGACAATACCCAATATAATTCGACACAGCTGTTAATATAAAAACGAACGTCGGCAACGTAGGCATTTAGAAAAATTTTCTTTATCGACGTCGATCAAGTTCCTCGACGTGTTTCACTTCACCTTAACGGCTCTTCAGGCGGAATAAACGGCGATGATTTCACTTAGAAATGTGTATTCATCCTGGAATTAGTCAGGGTATAAAAATGCGCCCATCCCTGATTTCCGACATGGAGGCAATCACCGTAAGACGTCTTTCCCTCGGAGATCCTTCCAATCAGGGAGCTTAACTCTCGTTCGCCGAGATCAGCTGCGGATTAAGAGCGACGACTTGACAGAGAACCCCGCGGATTTTCGTTACAGGAGAGAAGCCTCCTCGTTCCTTTACCTCGCTACTCCATTCTGTTTTGATCTCCTCCGGTTAAGGTGAAGTGAAACACGTCGAGGAACTTGATCGACGTCGATAAAGACGATTTTTCTAAATGCCTACGTTGCCGACGTTCGTTTTTATATTGACAGCTAGGTCGAATTATATTGTGTATTGTACCAAATGGCATATTCCACCTGTCGTTTTCGTACAATTATTATAAAGAAATCGAAGTAAAACTCCAGAAATCCTCTGGAATCATGCCTTCTGGGGCCCTAATTGACTGCGGAGGGACTCCCTGCGCCATCTGTGATTTCCAGGTCAATTAAATTTTCACTCCGAGACCTCGTATTACCACCGTTTTAGCAAAGAAGCGCATACAACACTTTTTTTGCCTTTATCCCGTTCAAATGCGAGTTTATCGATTACCAGAGTGGTCTAAATTGTCGTAAAATTGTCCTGACCCTTTCGATTCTAATATCAGAGCCTTCGATAATTGTATATTGATCGAAATATGAGAGCTCGACGCCATTTTGGTTCTGGTCTGGACTGAGTTAAAAGATTTTTTTGAAAAATCCAAATTTTGAATGTGTCAGGACAATTCTTAGATGATCAGGAGTGACGTGTCAAAGTTTCGGACAGTTTGGTCTAATACCCTTAAAAAAAAGTGTTGTATTTGAATCGACTGATTTGAAGGATGTTTCACTTCACCTTAATGGCCGTTCATTTGAGCCGCCTATTTTCTACGGTTTAGCAAACGGCACGGTATGTGGCCGCGGCTCACCGCTGACAAAGAATGGAGTACGGATGATAATTGCATTCCGCCGAACTCAAAATGGCTCCGCGAAACTCCGTTCCACGATACCAGGCTCGCCGTCTACCGCGCGGGTAACCGCGTTATTCGGTCAAACGTTACAAATGTGACCGTTAAAGAACAGCGGCTCGGGGATCTTCAAACGACTTTTATACGTGTG